TCTAGAGTCATCATTTAAGATTTGAGAGCTGGTAGATAATAAAAGTAGACTGTACATTTATGCAATCTGAACAAACTAAAATCTTTGTTTTTCACCCTAACTTACAGTTCCAAATTCAAACTTCATTACACACATGTATTACGTTTCAAAGACAAACAAGTTATATCATTTAAATGCAGACTGTCTCTGGTTAAGGGTTTTCTCATTAGTAATGTAAAATTGCTGAAAAGAGTAGTAATAAATTTGCTTATTATAATGGACTGGTGGTGCTCTGAATTTAGTACAGTTCACAGTTGAGTTTTGGAATTTCAATATCAAAATACATTTGTACTGAAAATCAATCAGTCAACAGCAAAGAGTCTTATCAGTCTGCATAGATTAGTCAACAAACTGGCCTGGTTCAAGATATAATCACTGCTAGCTCTCGTGATGTTAAATGACAAGCATTAGAACCTTGTACAAGCCTTGTTGGTTGGTTAAATGAGTACTTTTGCCATTGTTTCCCATTGTTAGGAAGTAACATCATGCATATTTAATGGGTTTTATGGAATGCAGCCAGCAGTTATGTGTGCTCTTTAACCCATCTGCCTGCAGAAAATCAGATACAGTTTTTTTCCTGACTGATCAACATGGAACTAACTACAAATGTATATATAAAATACTTTTTGAGTTGACAATCTTGTTTTAACAAATACTTTATTTACATTATTTGTAAGAAAAGTTTTTTTTGTGAATTGAATTGCCCCCTCCCCCACCCTCCTCCCATACATTAGGAATGGTTTGCATGAATGATATTAGGACATAGAATACATGATCAGCCTCACTTTTAGTGTGCCAATTTTCTTTAGTTTTATGTTGGTTCAATAGTAGGCATATGAAACTCTGGAAATGTATATGAAATTGAAATTTTAAGGTATGAGAATGTTAGCAGGTGCGTTTTAAATTGATTATCTTTGTCAGGGAAAGCAAGCTTTGTCATAAAATATAATTGTATTTTCCATATATGCATGCTTCTATAAATAGTTGATGCATATTGCTGAAGCCTTACGTTATTTTCATAATATAAATTTGCATGAAACAGACTGAAATATCAATTTGAAAACAAACTAGAATGAACTGTGAGAGCAAACATAAATGAGATATGTCTTACTGTATATGAATTACCAGGGGTAAGCAACATGTTGCTGACGTCAATTCACATTACTCCCTGTGAATTTAAAATTTAAATTTGAAGGACAACTCTTAATACTTAAATTTTTAGCATGACATGACAGTAAAGAACAGATAACTAATAATGGAAGAGAGTGTAGGAGACTGGCTGGCTGAATCTGTAAATCAGCAAGGCTTTACAGAGTATAACTTAAGTCATGTGTTCATATGTAGAAATTTGTTTGAAAGCTGCTTGAATATAACCTGATAAAAGGTTCTTAGTGATTGGTCTTTATCTGAATAGTTTAACCCTAAACAAAAGATTATTAAATTGATATCTGGACAAAAACATTCATCATTTTAGGGAAATTTTCAAAATATAGCTTGTAGCACAGTACAGACCATGAGGAGTTGACACAGATCTAAGACTGCACTGGTCACATGGGTAGAGACAGTTGCTACAAGTAGGCTAAGGGTTAATTTTGTTCTTACAATGATATTCAAATGTTGTCTTGAAATGCCAGCAAAGCAATTGGCACACAGCCTGAATCTGTGGAAAAATTTCAATTTTTAACAACATAGGTATATAGGATTGTGAATGAAGCATCTTATAAATAATTGACTGGAAAAATTTATTGCAATTAAAATAAAAAAATGATGAGAAAAAGAAAGAAAAGCTAGAGAGGAAAGATCAATATTGCGTTTATAAGTTCACAAAGAAGTGTCTGGTTAATGCAGTGAATGATTTGTTATTGATTAATGTATAATTATCCCCCGCCGATGGAATCGGGAGGGGGATATAGTTTTGGCGTTGTCCATCCGTCCGTCCGTCCGAATTTCGTTTCCGGAGTATTTCTCTGCAACTTATGGCTGGAATTCAACGAAACTTTATGGGAATGTTGATCAGCATGTGAAGTTGTGCACCTGGGTATTTTCGTCTGGATATTTTTAGTATTTTTAGAGTTATTGCCCTTGACTCAGTAAAATTTTGTCCGAATTTCGTTTCCGGAGTAGTTCTCTGCAACTAATGGCTGGAATTCAACGATACTTTATGGGAATGTTGATCAGCATGTGAAGTTGTGCACCTGGGTATTTTCGTCTGGATATTTTTAGTATTTTTAGAGTTATTGCCCTTGACTTAGTAAAATTTGTAATTTTTCAACTTGTGTCGCATGTAACTCAAAAAGTATTTGACCTAGAGTCATGAAACTTTACAGGAATGTTGATCAGTATGTGTAGTTGTGCACCTGGTATTTTTCGTCTGGATATTTTTAGTATTTTTAGAGTTATTGCCCTTGACTTAGTAAAATTTTGTAATTTTCAACTTGTGTCGCATGTAACTCAAAAAGTATTTGACCTAGAGTCATGAAACTTTACAGGAATGTTGATCAGTATGTGTAGTTGTGCACCTGGGTATTTTCTTCCGGATATTTATAGTATTTTTAGAGTTATTGCCCTGACTCAGTAAAATTTTGTCCGAATTTCGTTTCCGAGTAGTTCTCTGCAACTAATGGCTGGAATTCAACGAAACTTTATGGGAATGTTGATCAGCATGTGAAGTTGTGCACCTGGGTATGTTCGTCTGGATATTTTTAGTATTTTTAGAGTTATTGCCCTTGACTTAGTAAAATTTTTGTAATTTTCAACTTTGTGTCGCATGTAACTCAAAAATATTTGACCTAGAGTCATGAAACTTTACAGGAATGTTGATCAGTATGTGTAGTTGTGCACCTGGGTATTTTCGTCTGGATATTTTTAGTATTTTTAGAGTTATTGCCCTTGACTTAGTAAAATTTTGTAATTTTCAATCACAATCATCAGTCACAGGGCCAGAAAAGGAGTTTCAAAAATGCAAAATTAAAAAATCTTGTTTGAAGGTACAAGGCTTCAAGTTCAAAGAATATTACAGTTTATGCCATGATTAATATATAAATAAAGCCTTATGTCTTCAGTTAATAATAACCAGTGCTCGGCGGGGGATATAAATTCAACGAATTTGCTTGTTTGTTATTGATTGATTTATAATTTGTTATTGATGGATTTTGATACAGGGTTGTTTATTGATTGTTCATACAAGTTGATTTAAAGAGTCTTTTTGTTGTTGATTGCAAGTTATGTCATAATTCTGTCAGATGATTAATTATCTTCAGTTTTATTCACTAGGGAGTTGTTGAAGAAGAGATGTAATTATTTTAAGAAAGCATATCTGATATTTTATTGTCCTCTATGTGGTTTATATGGTTGTTATCTTCACCCTGTTGAAACCTAAAGTGATAAACCTTTGCTACCTGTATAGTGCACTGCGCAGTCTGGCCAGGCTCTATAATGTTGCCAGGGTGACAAACTTCAAATTTTCATCTTGATAAATGCACAGTCTCTTTAATGGAAGCTGGACAAATAAAGTGCATACAATTTAGCAGGTTAAGATTTAAAACAAAGTTTGATGCTTGAAATGTTTAAAATCATTTTATCAAGTGATTAATGATTATCTCTTTATTTCTTGTTTTTTGCTTGTTAAAGATATATATGTAAGATTTATTGCCACAAGTATGCAGACTTAAGAAACGTTAAAGTGACTGATATATAGGCACTTTATATAAACAATTAGGCGGATGTGGTAGTTATTCATTTATTCAATTTTAGAAATTATGGAATGCAATAGTTGAAATATAATAGCCTAAGGTGAAATTTAAAAGGAATTTAAATATTCTTAGAAATATAAAATTAAGAAAATTTTTAAGTGACTTAAACATTAAACTTGAAATAAACATAGCACTTTTATCCTTTTTTCTCTCCAATTAAGGAATTAAACCAACTTATTTTTCACTTAACAGTAGTCACTAAATTATTATAAGTGTCTCTATAGTTTGTTTCATTAAATTTAAAGTGTATCTATAGTAATATCCATGCTCTTTAGTTTATTTCTTAAAGTGTTTTTGTTTTTATAAAAATGTCTGGGAAAACGTGAAGCCATAAAATTGATTATTTCCAGAAACAAAATGATAGCTATCAAGTTTCAGCTTAAGTTACATTGAATTTCAATTTCTCTAAATGCCTTAGAAAATGAGAAACTATAATTTTCTCAAATGTTTTTGTAGTAATGCAATAAATACTGATAAGATTTTATAATTTTCTGAACTCTGTCTTTTCCAAATGTCAAATCAATGTAAACTTAATGTTTACCGAATACAAATTAAATTGTTTCCATACAGTTTGTTTCAATATGACTTTTTGGACAATCTTATTTTGTTCTGCAGTTTGAAGAATAAGGCAACAAAAAGCCCAGCTAAAACAGGACTTGAAATTTCATCAATATTAAAGATGTAAAAATATGAACTTAGTCTTTGAAATGTAAAATTACCCATGACTTGTATTCTTTTTCCATGTACTGATGTTTCATTGTACAAAACATATGTTGATCTTAATGCATTGGTATTTTTTGTGGCAGCTAACCCTAACTCTCTTCAAAATTTCTTAACAATCTTTACATGTACATATTGATGCTACAAAGGGCAAAAAAATATTATGCTGTTTAAAGAGTAATGGTGTGCAAGTCATTGAAAGGGTTATTGTGGCTTGGTTGATAACATTTTTGCCATACATTGAAACATATGTATAGGGAATTTGTTGTTAGTTAGTTTTTAAATGAAAATGTAAGAAGTTGTCTAGTTGAATATTAGAGACAGACCTAAACCTTGAAAATGTTGCTATACTAGATATTGTAAAATGAATACAAAATTAAAGTAAAATTTAGAAGTATAAGGAAATTAATGTTGGCTGATAATAAATATATGCCTTGAGTACTATGGTTATGTTTAGCAAATAATCAAATTCTTATTTGTGTTTTACAGTTGTTGGACCATTGGTCATTGAGAAGAAAGTGGATCAAAGCACAAGTCAAACATCTACTGTTGTTGACCCCAAGACTGACGGATCACAGGAAACAACAACTGAAACAACAACATCAGAATCAGCAGATAATGTCAAAATTAACAAAGCTCCAAAGATAGCCGAAATCAGACTTACAGCAGTGCATGACCATCTTAAATCTTTAGAAGAAGATGAATCAAAAGACAGTAAAGTTGATGTGAATATCATTGAAGGAAGTAGAGATGAAGTATCTGAAGATGTTGATGCAGAAAATACTCAGCAAACATCAGTAGAGAGTAAAGAGGACAGTTTTGTTGTCAGTAAGGACACTGAAACTACTGCTGCTGATGATGATAGTGATGACGATGATGATGATAATGATGATGATGAGGATGTTGGTTTAGAAGATAATCATACTTTAGATGGCAAATTTGACTTTGACGATGATTATGACTCAGATGATGATGACTATTATGATGATTATTATGATGATGATGACAGTGATGAAGAAAGTGAAAGCACGGAAGAGACTGATGACTCCTCTGAGGAAGACACACCAAGTCTGGTACCAATGTTTTGCACACCAGATCTGTATCAGAAGTTTAAAGCAGACGTTCTAGAGTACCATTGTATCTTCTTTGATGAGGAGCATTGTGATCGACAAACACAAGAAGGTAAAGTATAGCTTAACATTGTTTTCCTTCATGCCATTGAACTGTCTTAATGATTATTTATATACTAATATGTCATAGTTTGTGTCATATTATAAGAAGCTTATAAGGAGTTGCTGATAATGTCCAAATATGTGTGAAGAATGTCATTTCTTTATTATGAAAACGATGTGTTTTGATGTACATGTATGTGAAATAAAAAAAATTACTGATAACATTTGGTGTAGAATTTAATGTATGCAGTAAAGTTGGTTTTCTTAATTTTAGAATAGACAATATATTTAATTCATTGATTTTTTGAATTTTAATGATTTGTCTTGAGTTTATATAAAATTTGACATACAGATGTTGAATTTGTGTTGCTAGGGTAAGCTTGGAAAATATTTTCAGTTTTTGAACTTTATAAATGATTTTTTGAAATTATATTTCATATAATTTATATCATATCAAATTGTTTGTTTTGTGGTAAAAATACTAATAATTGATTCAATGAAAAAATTATTTTTGATGAAATTTGTTTTCCCTGAACAGAAAAACAGAAACTTGCAGCGGTCATGTTCAACTATTTCGACAGAGATCTCAGCAACCATATTGAAAAGGAGGAATTGTGGGAAATGCAGCTTCTGGAGAGAATGGATGAGATTTCCTCTTTGTGCACATTACTTGACATTGTAACCTTCGATGAACTTGGAGAGAGGGATTCCAAGCTCTCTATTGATGAATTTATCCAAGCTTTTGGTGAGAATGATTTTTACATTACATATGGTTTAATATTGGGATTGAGCCCATGGGACACAACTAATTTATCTAGATCTATTATATTGTCATAAAGCTATGAGTTTATCATTTATTAATGGGAAATATGTAATGCCAAATATGATTTTACCAGACATTGCATATTTGGTGTAGATGGGATGGAAAATAGACAAAAAAAATTTCTAGTGACGTGTATAATGATGTAATACTTATTAACTGCAAAAAACCCTAACCTAATGACACATTCTTTAACATATCTTGATACCATGTAAAGTCCATGCAATGTATCTTTACTGCGCCAGCAATTTTTTAACAGATTGCTTTCCCTCGTGGCTGAGTGGTTGCCTTAAAGGGTTCATAATTGCAGCGGCCATTTGTCCCTGGGTTATTGTAAGAGGCAACTAAATGGGTTCAAATAACTGGAGTATATGCGTCTCTTAGCTCCAGCAGGTGAGGGGGTTTTGAACCCTGGTGTTGCTTTGTAACACCCTAAGGTTAGCCAAAAGCATTAATAATTGACAGCATTATTTTTAATTATGAAACTTTTCCAGTCAGAATTTTTAATAATGGTCTGCTTAGCTCAATAGATAGAGCATTGGATTTTGAATGCAGCGACCCAGGTTCGATTCCATGATCATTTAGGTCACTTTCATTGATTGATCATGAAATCCTTCCTAAGGTCATTTGCACTATACCTCTGCTCTGGCATGTACAGAAGTTATCCGTTCCTTGCCAAATATAAGGCGTAGTGGCTGAACTGTGCTCTGGTAAATATAGTGTGACTCACTGCCTTGATTTGAGTGAAAAAACTACCACCACACATCCTATAGATATAACTCCCGAGTATTGAAACTCCGAACCATTATAGATCACACCATAAACAATATGAGCCTTGACAATGCATCATAATTTGTAAGTGAGAAAACTGCAATATTTTATACTATTCAATGAATATTCTGACATTTTCTAATGCAATTTATTTTTTCCAATTAGGTTAGAATACAAAACAAAAATAAATTGAACAGTTTATTTTTTTCAATATAACATTCCCGTGACAAAATAATGAAGAGAACTTCCCTGCTAGATGAAAAATGACAAACATAGTTAGGTTGCTATTTAATTCCTGTAACGAGGTTGAATCATAGTTTGAACAGGGTTGCATTTTTTTTGCATCGGAAAGCGGTTCCATTTAATCTTATTGATTCGCATATAGAAACAGCGGTTTGTGGAGGACTCTCCATTATTTGCCAATTGAAACTGATTGAATAATTGATTGTCTTATTTGAACGAGTATAAACCAAGTTGAATCTGGAAATTTTGTGATAAATTTTCTCAAATAGATTTTCCTTGATATTGATGGTGGTATCACATGACATAATACATTCACATCCTGGCCTAATGTTACATCATTTCTAAGGACGTTTTAGAAATTTTGCATAGCACAGCATGATTTGAAATTGCAGTGAATTTTGTTTTAATCTTTCTCTGCAGATTGCCAGTTTGGTGTTTTCCTATTTACGTGATCAGAATAATATACATGAATATTTATGCTTATTAAGAAATTTTACAGTTTACTACTTTCTTTTTCTTTGACATATGGCTTACCGGTATAAGTAAGGCATCGAGGAGTACCCGAGTACATACATGTTGAGTACTAAGTGTCTGGTAACTGGATCCAAATAAGGAACCAGATATCCGTCTGTTTGATGTAAAAGATAGATACAATTAAGCACAAACTTACTTTTAATATAGGTAACTGAAGATATCTTTGAACATTCTTGGTAAATGTACAACCATTTTCTAGAAACTGTTTGATACAAATTCGGACCATAAAGGCTCTTTGACAGAATGGATGCTCTAATATTTTGGTTTTATGTGACTATTATATTGTTCTAAAAAAAGTCACATAAAACTTTATGGAATGAACAGGATCAAAGAAAATTTTACTGTTGCCTATTGTTTCCATAGTCACAAAAACTCAAAATGTTTGCTGGGAAAACAGTGTAGCAGAAAGATGTATTTATTGATGAAAGATATTAGCAAACCTGCAGTGTTAGCAACATCAGTTTTATAATATTGAGACATGCATTTAACATAGGACAGGTCATACTATTTCAAGGCTATGTTATTGCATGTCTTGATTTCTGCATCTGAGATGATATCATATTTCCAAACTGAAGTATGAAAATGATATGCACTAACTTATAAGAGACATTAAAGGTCTTGGTTTCTAGAAATCATTGTAATATTCCATTTAGGAGCAGAGAAATTCTTTTGAAATTGGGAAACAGTTTGATGTGTAACTTTTTTCCATTTTGAATTTACAAAAAAAATAATATTTTAGTTTGTAAAAAGAATATTCAAATTGAATTGAAAGATTATATGATATATATGAAATTTTGAAAACCTTTGAAAATTTACAATTTTGCATCCTTTTTACATCATTATTCTGTTTGTATGATAGACAAAAATTGTATTTGTATTGCTCTGAGTTGCAGCTAATGGGAAAACATTTTCTGGTATTGCGCAATTCGTCTTTCCATTGCCAACTGTGACAATCCTGTCTTACATAGACATGCAATAGTGCATGTTTAGAAATCTTGTTTCATTTATTTAAGATTCTAATTGCCTATAATCCTCTAAAATATTATAAAAATATACAGTAGGTTGTGACAACCTTGCTTACGAGTTTGTTGACATTCTAAAGCTCACAAAAAATACATCAACCCAAACAAAAAAATGTTATCAATCCTTCTTTCTGCAAGACTTTTAACATGCAGAGGTACACCTTAAGCACAATTGGGAGGCCTAGATTCAAATCTCATATTTGCAATTTCCACTACTATTTTTTAAGGTTTGGATGGCTCTTTTTGCTGGTGATTTCGATATTTTTTGGCCGGGTTGCACAGGTGCAAACCAGGGTTATATTATGGTGAATGTTGGGCGGCGGGCAGGGAAAAAACTTTCGTAACAGCTTTCTCAGCAGCTACTTATCACAGCCTCTGGATATTTGGCATACAGCATTAACATGTGGTCCCATACTGTAGGATTCCATTTCTGGTCTGTCGCTCATCCACTTACTGTTTGCCGACTTAGTTAAATTTTCGACATTAATGGTCAATGGTAGGAAATTTTTGTAACAGTTTTCTCAGCAACTACCTATCACAGCCTTATGATATTTGGTATACAGCAGTAACACATGGTCCCATACTGTGGGATTTGATTTCAGGTCTGTCGCTCATCCACTTCCTGTTTGCCAACTTAGTTAAATTATCGACATTATTGGTCAATGGTAGGAAATTTTTGTAACAGTTTTCTCAGGAACTACTTATCACAGCCTTTTGATATTTGGTAAACTGCATCAACACATGGTCCCATATGGTGGGATTCGATTATAGGTCTGTCGCTCATCCACTTCCTGTTTGCTGACTTAGTTAAATTTTTAACATTAATAGTCAATGGTAGGAAATTTTTGTAACAGTTTACTCAGTAACTAGTACTTATTACAGCCTTTGATATTTGGTATACAGTTTTATCACGTGGTCCCATACCATGGGTTCTGATTTCAGGTCTGTAGCTCATCCACTTCCTGTTTGCTGACTTAGTTAAATTTTTGACATAATTAATGATCAGTAGTAGGAAATTTTCGTAACAGTTTTCTCAGCAACTTCTTACCACAGCCTCTTGATATGTGGTTCACAGCATTGACATGTGGTCCCATATTGTGAGATTCCATTTCAGGTCTGTTGCTCATCCACTTCCGGTTTACCGACTTAGTTAAATTTTCAACATCAATGGTCATTGGTAGAAAATTTAAGTAACATCACAGCCTCATGATATTTTGTATACATATGCAACCCAAACTTTTCTGTCTTTGACCCATTTTTTTCCAATATTTTTTTTTCTAAATGAAACGAACTGTGGTTTGACCTGGCTTAAGTCATGTTAATTTAATCTCTTGTAGAAAGATACAAAAGTTACGCAAACAATGCTAATGACATGCCTATGCCTCCAGTTTAAAGTCAGACCTGCCTTCACATTGTGTACTATCTGCTACGCAATTTAAATATTGATATACTGGAATTCCTGAAACTATAATATAATAGATGGTTCCGCATTGTAAATGTTAAAATGCCATTATTGGCGGCAAGTGATATTAAAACTTGGAGCGATCATGTACATTGTGAGTCATGCTAGACATAAATTGTTTATAGATTCTGACTAATGATTTACATTTGATCATTATGTAAGTTGTTAAACCAGAGTTCATGATGTAGTTCTACAATGAATTATCATTAGTCATAATTTAAATACCCCGATATAACCTTGTCATTACATCCATTCAGAAGTGGAAAACAAACTTGCGAGAATACTTCAAATCAATAAAAAGAGCATAAAATGAGAGAGCCATTTTTTCTCTCTCAATTTTCCTGAAAGGTTGTTGCCACATCAAAGAATTGCCATATATTTCCATGTTCGGAATTGAAAGCTATTCTTTTAATCAACCATGAGTGTGGGAAGTGTATTGACTTCCCTTTAGGACTAACCGGCTAAATTTTATAGACAAATCTGTAGTTTGGTTTGACTCTTTTATGATGCTAAAAAAAATGCTATTATTCTACTGAGCATCTTAAATGCACTTGTCTAGCTTCCATTTATTTGGAACTTCACTGTCCATTATCAATTTTAGGCATTGAGATAGTAAATTGATTAACCAACAGTATAATGAAAGCCTTTTTAGTTTGTATAGATTCATTCTACAGTCTGGTCTGGCTGAATACTTGGTTGGTATAGGGTGTTCACATCAAAGTCTTTTTTTTAGGGTAACAATAATAGTACCATCACTGTTGTAGTATGTGTTACAGTTATATTGGTTGACATATTACAGACATACCTGACCTGTTGGAACACAAGACAGAGATTGTACCACTATCAGCAACAGTTGGTAATGGACTTGATATCAAATGTGACATCACAGAATCTTCTGACATCATCTGGAAGAGGAATGGAGTTGACCTTAGCCTTATTGACTTCCCAGGAATTTCAGTAAGTTATGATAGAATCTTCTCCTTTGTCCATAGTTTACACTTTCAAAGGAGTCTTTGTGACAAATATTATGTATCCTAGGCTTTCATATAAAAATCCAGTTTGTACTTTGTACTGCATAAGCATGAAGAACGATTACATTGTGTGATTGGCAATCACTGAATGGTTATTTAAACATTTATTTGTAAATGATGCAGACTGCAACAAATGTAAAATAATTCCATTGCATTTTTAAATTCTTACAAAAGAAAAGCAACAAGTTTCCAATGTTTTAGATGATTATTATTTTAAACTTGCAAACTACTGTGAATTCACTTAATTTTGAGGGCCTGAAATTTTGTGGTTTTGTCAAAAAAGAACATTTTCGTGGGTTCTTAAATTTGTGGATTGTCTGATTTTGCAAAAAGAAAAAGTGCAAAAGCAAAAAATGTAAAAAAAATAATCATACAGCATGAAAAATAAAAATTTGTTTGATCTTTTAAACAACTGGAATTAGTATCTCTGAAATTATAAAGATTTTGTACTTTGTTATGTTTCAATGCTTGTGGTATGCATTAAAATATAAACTATAAAAATTATTGTGATTGACAATCACTGCAATAGAAAATACTGTAATATTGTCAAATTTTATATGTTAAGACGTGTTTAATGTTATATATGTCCGTATAAAAGCTGTAAAAGCTACACATCATGTTTTCTTGAGGTTATAATTATGCAGACATAAATAACTGGGAGAATATTCTAGTGTATCTTGATGTCTGTATGTGTAATACAGTAACATCCTAGTGATTTAATGTTACCATCACACACTATTGTAATAGTCTGGTATGAGAAATTATTAAGATTTACCAGTCACTGACCTCTCAAGGGATGCCGCAAAAAAAAATGTCCATTTTGAGAAATTGACAGAAATATTGGCTTCTGGTTAAAGAAGTGTGTCTAAGATATCGTCACATTATCTAGTGTGACTTCTTTGACATTGTCACATTATCTGGTAAACACTTTAAGTGTACAGCTGTCAGATATAAATTAGAGGCTTATAGACATCTCCTGTCTGAAGAAGTTTTTAAGCCTATATTTAGACAACATTAGAATTTGCCATTTAATAACGCGCAGGCTAGCATATGGGCTAATTGTGCTAAATGCGGAAAGACATAAGTTTCATATTTTATCAGTAAATCTTGATATTATCGTATTTAAGTAAAAAATGTATTTTACTGTTTTAAATAAAGAATCTTCATAAGGTACTTATTGATTATTTACTTATTTATTTTTCTTCCGATTTTAAGATAACTAACTCTTTTAAGGCAATATATTTTACACTTGCAGAAATCATGATGCATTTAAATATTCCAGGCAAAAACATAAACCTACATAAAATGGATAGCTGTTTCAGTAAATGAGGTCTAGATTATAAACAGAGCATTTGTGATTGCATATAGGCTTGCTTTCATTTGATGTTTAAATTACAATTAAAATATCACTGTAAAAGTTGATGAAAAAAATTAATTTTATAAATAAGACTCTTTAATTTTTGCTTTTTTGTTACATTATGTCAATTAAATAAAAGAATTGATCAGCATTTGTTTCAAAGCCAAGTGAGTAATGGAAATTATTTGTAGTTTATCAAAAATATTTATTAACTTAACACTTACTTGTTTTATCCCATCAGTAAATGTCAAGGCAAAGCAATGCTGTGACAAGATTCACTGTTTCAGATTCTTTTAGTGTGAATATCAAGAAGATTATTAAGTTGAGTAGAAAATATATCTCCAGCTTAACACATAGGAGACACTTAATGGAAATTTCAGTACAAGTACACGGAAGTTTCGTGACAATTTTCACAGTAATCTTACAGGTCACATAGCAAAATATGTTACAGTGTATTTTGGGAAGGTTTCTTCAATTTGATTACAGTTAATTTGTTGTCTTGTTGGTAGAATTTGTTACGTGATTTTATATGTTTGCTGTTTTAAGTACATTTATAAAATAGGTGGTATGAGCTGTCACAATATAGAAAGACATGAGAAAATCTAAGAAAAAGGAAATGGAAAATGAAATTGCAAATCATTTTAAATTCGATAAATTTAAATGACAGACAGATTATTGAGATTTGATTTCAAAAATAGATCTGTTTTTAATGCTACAATTAAATAAGACATAATTATAGGCAGAATTAAGACTGTATCATAGAATTTATTTAATCTTTGCATGATCTTAGAAAAAGAGAACAGAAACATCTTAGTGACAAAATAGGGGTCACCAACTTTGTTTTGGAGTTATCTGCCAATAAATTTAAGTTCCCAGCACACTTAATCCAAGTCCATATAGTCATGGTCAAAGGCACAAGTGATGATGAAATGTCCAGATTATGTATGTAGAGATTTTAGTATTACTTGATACAAAATGGTTAACATTTGTATCAAGCACTACATGTAGGTCAGTAGGTCAAAGGTTACCAGTAAGGTATCACCTAAAAATATGAGCCACAACATATATGTGCTATGTGCAAAATTCAGGACGACAGGCATATTGTATGACAAAGACATCTTTGTTGATAAAGATTTACAGATAATGTTATATTTGTAATTGGAATAAACAATTGTTTACAGGTGTTAGGAGAGGGCAGCTTGTACCTGGATACAGTTGGATTTCACATGGTTGGCAACTTGACATGTCATGAGAGACAAAAACCTTCCATCAAACAGGTCCATCAGCTTACAGTTCAGAGTATGTATATCTAGCTATCTAATTGTTGATCAACTTGTGATTGACTTCTGTAACAACACATATAGTGAAATTATCTGGAGTAGCATGACTTGAATGCCTGTAATTTGGATTTCATTAAAAGTGTGATACAATATTACAATAATCTTAATGTGTTATATATTTTGTTCATTTAAATAAGAAAATTTCATTCTGAATAGGATTTGAAATGATAACAAACTATTATTATATTAACTAGAGCCCCCACATGTGCTGATCCATGTTGACTCACACGAACAAGGTCAAGGTATAAGCTTTGATATCCGTTGTCATGCTGAAGGTTACCCTAAACCTACAATCACCTGGATGTTTGAAGACCAACCTGTAAAACAAGGAGCTAAATATCACATACAAATGTGTAAGTATATATTCAGTCACATAACATACTGTAGTTTCTAGAAGTTTGCCGTGATAAGTCATTTAGTTCATAAGTTAAAAACCTAAAATGTATGTGTCTCAGGACATTTGTTATCCTCAAGTGTATCAGTTAGATAAGTTTAATAAGGTCAACTGCAACTATAATACTAAAGCTATACACTTTATACACATCAATATATTATACATGTAGTTTTCAGAATATAACAAATGAATATAGTAATATTGTTCTTGACAATTGGGTTGTATAATACAATTTTTTGTCTACTCTGATGCCATTTGCTTTTGAAATCATTTATTAAGAAAATAAATTATAATTCACTCTAACAAAAGTGTCATTAAAAATGGGAGAGCATATTAAGTTCTAATAAATATCCTTTCATTTTAGTTGACAACACCCTAACAGTACAGGACCCAGACTATGTGAAGGATACTGGGGTATATAAATGTCTTGCCAAAAACCCAGGAAATGGAGAAAGTGAAGCCTCAGTTACAATAACTGTACACAGTGATAATGATACCAGCTTTTATGGTGAGTTTGATAATTTTTGTGAAGATTTCTGGACAGGATAGAAAATAAAGGCTGTAATCAAGGATACATAAATGCTTCAGTAGAAATAAGGGTTTGTAGTTGCTATGGGAACATCATCAACTCAACATTACTGGTAACCTTTTAGAATGTAACCTGGAGATTGCAATTTAAATCCTTCACTACTACAACTAATATTACTAATAGTGGAATGATACTATTGAGCAAGGTTCTGTATTGACTGGTGCTTCATTCATGCATGTTTATATAGACTTATTTCTTAAAAGTCTCCCCCCAAAAACATGATATAATGAACTCTTTCCTGTTTATAAACTTATACACAGAAAAGGCTTTAGAAGGAAGGTTAAGAGCAAAGAAGAGCTTTTGTTTTAACTACAAATACAAATGTAGATCTAGTTGTCATTTTGTAATGTCTGATATACATAATAACATTAAACAGATTGGAAGGTAGACACTTTTAATGTCAGATTTAATGGTATCTTATTCAGACAGACCTTCGTGTGACAATCCAATAAATAAACTATAATTATGTTGCCATAGTTGATACCAAAATCATTTAACAAGATTTTACTATTTGCTGCTTTTAGATAATGGTGATTTTGAAGAGACGTTCATCATATTCCATGACAATGGCTACACGTTGCATGAGCCTAGAGAGTGTCTTACCCAGCGTCATGTCTTACCCGACTTTGGCAACTTCTTCTTTGTCCCAGACGAGCTTGATGCCCCACCTTCTCTGTGTGAACCTGGAATACCTTGTGTTTGGGGCGGGGCTATAAATGTTAAGAATACCTTTGTTTATGCAACTCAGCCAAGAGAAAATAGAGTGGTTGTCATTGATATGGATACATTTAACCCAAATCAGGTAGATATTCTGAATTATTTTGTATTAATTATAAAATAGTTTCTAGTGAAATTTATTTTTATCATGCCATGTTAGTATAAAGGACATGTCTACATCTTCATCATACCATACTTGTACAAAATAGATGTCCTAATTTTAATCATGCCATGTTTATATAAAGGACATACCCTTACCATTATCATGCCATATTAGCATGAAGAACAATGTCATGTCCTTATCTTTATCATGCCATATTTGTATGAAGGACTTGCCCTGATATTTATCGTGCCATATTTGTATAAAGGATTTGCCCTAATCTTTATCATGCCACATTTTCATTATGGCCAGTTGGAACAATCCATTGTGTGGTTTAAAGATTTCCCATTATATTAAAATGATAAGATTATGTGTAGTCAACAGCATAAAGCCTGGGTGTTCAGAATGGTCAGTCTGGTTCTAGTATTGTTGCTATCCAAAGAATTTATTCAGGAAGTTAAGTTATGTACATTATTATTATGTTGAATACAATACTTGGATAAAATATAATGATATATATCACAAATGTTGTGTTGCAGGTGATTTTCACAGACCACATGCCTGTATCTCTACACTACATTGCTCACCTGGATGAAGTATGGGTGTTGTGTTGGAATGGTGAGGATGATAATGGATCTAAAACTGTAGTTATCATCAGGAATGCCAGTCAGAAAACACAGCATCATGCAGTACATACACAACCTATTGGAAACAAATTTGTTCAGGTATTTGCTCTAATTGCTGCATAAAAATGTTTATGCCCGTACTACTTTGGGATAGGGATAAAGATTTGCCTTTGTCCGTCCAGAGACAGACAAAGAGTGGAATGTTGAGGCATCTGTGTGTTGAGGACATATTTCTAGTTTACCTATAATATTGTTTATAATACTGATACAATACTGGCAAGATTTGTAGGGATCTAATGTTATTTTCTTAACATTTTGAAATTATTATTAGAGACTAAGTTTGCCTGCTGAGAGAAGCAAAAATAGTTTTGATCATACAGTGAAGAAATTTGGTCTAATTTGATTATGCTCTTGGTCATTCATATGTCAGTGTTCCCAGTAGCATAGTTGTAAAGCTGGGTGTAAAAAACAGCATTATTCTTGAATTATTTACCATCTTAGTAACACATATAATTGTAACAAAACCTGCGGGTACTGAATAATATTTAGGTGTGAAATATTCCCTAATTTGGTGTATTTTGAGAATAATGTAAGTAATAGTAAATTGAAATTGAAATTGATACAGGGCAAAATAGTCATCCATAATTTACGTTATTTTCCCTACGTCTGTAATGGATTGACTGTAAGGAATACAACATATAGTGTAACATTTTAAGAGTACATAAGAAGAGTATTGAAGATATGAGCCGCGTCATGACAAAACCAACATAGTGCTGGTCGTAAACGCACTGTTGGTTTTGTCATGGCACGGCTCATATGCTATATTATATTTCATTTACAGGTTCAGGATATTTTCTTGCCAAATGACAATGAGTTCCACCACCCATACAAGTTTGGTTACACTGTACACAATGGTCAGCAAGGCTTATTTAAGATTAGTCTTGAGGAGAAGAAATATACCAGAGCTGTTGACCTCACCAAATATGACTGTGTTCCAAAGTCTGTGGCTTTCGTACCATTAGGTAAGTTTTAAAATATACCCCAGCTAAAAACAGTAAAGAAAATTTCAATTTTGTAGGCATAAGAATTGAATTGTTGTTTTCATTACACATTATATTGAAAAGGAAATTGAAATCCATACTCTATTATTTGTACTGATGAACAAGAATGGGTGCAGTGAATAATGAAGTAGACATTTGATTATTGAATTGCAAATTTAGAAAAATATATACAGTTGCTGCAGTACAAGCTCTTAAAAAACTCTAGATTACTATAAGATGATGGATATTTTAGTCTTGCTGCTCAAATGATATAAAGATGCTAAACTAATATAGCCAACATTTTATAGCATGTACAGGCTGCAGTTTCATGTATGTTTGGCTATGCTCTTTGTGCAGTCTGACCTTTCTCTATACAGTATATTGTTTGTAGTTTTTTGCTAAATCTTTGCATTTTCTACTGGACTCTTTCAGAATTATTGCCTTAAGCATTTAATAAACATTTTCTCCTTTCTATCCTAAAAAATGTCAAAACTAATTAGTAAATAATTTGATATTAACTATGACTTTCTGCTGTATGCATACAGAAAATGAAGGTATCTTATTAAATTTACAATTGTTTAACCATTATATATTATAGGAGGACATTCGTTGATACAGTGTGTAAAGAAGACATCATATGACACCACTACACATATTCTGACCCTGGATTATATCACAGATACTGTTAAAGACAACATGACACTAGCAGCCACACCATATGTATCTCCTGATGTCAATAATGTTGTGTTTGTTGAGGAGGAAACTGGCAAAATTATTATCAATCAAATCACAGATAATGGTTAGTTAAATAATAAATCATTGTGTTATATAAAAAGCCCTTGTTTTTATTAACTGTTTGCCTGATCACAGCAACATATTTTACCCATGTTATTATATCAGTACAGACAAAGATCAGCCAGCACATCTGTGCCATATGGTCATGGACTGCACTGTTTGCTATTCAGTCAGTATATATTCTGATTTTTTACCAAAACTGGATTTTTGTCCAGATTGAAAACAGAAATTGGAAACAGCACATAAAAAACCACCTGTTGGTTTAAAGATTATACATTACTCAAAATAAATAAGATGATAAATTTATGCACAGCATCTGACAGATGGTTCTATATTTGAGTTGCAGCTACTTTACAACTAGAGAATATTTTGGAACATATTTGGTGAAACTTAAATATTTAATGAACATATTTATTGTACCAGTACTTAAAACAGAAAGTTCAGAATGTTCTAGCTCTTTGAATGTTGTTTGACAAGTCTATATCAACATTATAGTGACAAGCCTGGCAGCACTTTCATGCTGTATGATACCAGACACTATATATACTGTTGATGTATGCAAATTTTTGTATTTTGATATTGAACATTTAATGGACAGTTCTAAATTTCAAATGAGATAAGTCCGTTAGAGAAGTGTAGTGAAATATAGCAGGAGGAATATTGATTTTTCCCCATTATTTCAAATGTGTCTAGATGGTTTGCTCTGTTCTCAGATTTTCTTGATTAAATTATAAGGACATCTATCCAAAATCATTTGTCAATTATTTTACCATTATTTACATTGCCACAATCATTTTTTTAGAGAATATGCGTATAAGTGTATGTAGTTTCAAAAACATGACAGTAAAAATGCTGAAATTTGATTGTTCTATTATTTACTACAGGGAAGATAGTGCACCAGTTTGATGTGACAGTTGGTTCATCTGTAGGTCATGTGACCTTCCACAAGGCAAGATACAGCCATGGATACGACCTTTACCTTACATCAACACAATATCCACATATATACTCCATCAGTCTTGAAAATGGAAAAGTAGACACCATCAAAGGTGAGTTCATCTATAAGAGTCACCTTAAAAGTAACAGTTGTTTCATTCAAGGGATAAAGATTATTAATAACTTATTTTTTTCTTATTGTTGTTGTCAAGAGGCTATTGTTCTCCAGAGGGTCTTTCCTTATAGGTTGCACTGTATTTAAGCTTTAACTATATTACAGCAATAATTAATTTTCCTATTCCGCCATTACAGAGCTAGGTCAGCATGTACATATATGTAGAATCTGACTTAATTATACAGCTGCTTGCTTACTTATGTTATTTGGACTTTTTGATCAGTAATTGACAGTTCCATCTCTAAAGCAATGCAAATTTTGCTTGTTAAGAATGACGTGTTTTACACATAATTCCTAGGTTGACATGATCTTGTCAAGTGTGAATATTTTGTCCTATCATCCTCAGTAGGATATAAAAGTCATTCTGTTACATTGAACAAACACCTAAAGAGTCTGTGGAAGGGAGGTAACTGATAAAGAAAAGAATAACGATGTCCCTGACACCTGGCTGTTTAGTAATGTCAGCAGGCCAAAACGTGATATTGCCGTCGAGGTTATGGATTGTTAACCTAAATTGTCACAAATGTCTATAATGAACCACATGTAATCATATCAGGCAACATGATAAATTTTATCATATGAGGTAACATGAAACTTTTTATCATATGAGGTAACATGGATACATTTATCATGTGAGGTAACATGATACATTTTACCATGCAATTTTGCTGTGTGTAAAGAATGTTTTTGTTTTTTTTTCATGTAAGAAAAATATATCCCAAACTGTGATTTTATCGCTCAATAACATCACTGTTTGGAGTTCGGATGCGAGGAGTTATATCACAAGGGCGTAGGCTGAGTGATATAATGATGCGCAACCGAATGACAAACAGTGATGTTATCCAGTGATAAAGTCACCGATTTGGATATATTATTTGGTTTCTATTATGACATCAACAAATAAATGCTGCTGTACCTGATATTTAGCAAAATTGTGTCTGATTTGTTTCCGTACTTATTGTCAACGCATAGGATTTTATAGTGGTTACGTCACATGTATAATGATTACGTCATTGTCTAAATATAGAACGTCAAACAGTGATTTTATACCATAATAACACACACTTTCGGTTCTTCTATGTTCAATAGGGAAAAATGCGGGTCATGTTAGAATTAAATACAATCATGATCATTGTTCAATTAAAGTATTAATATATTTGCTCACTGTTGAGTGTGTTAGAAATTATTATTTTGATCATTGTTTCTTTTTTAGACATTGGACAACCAGACTCCGAGATGTATTTGCCATGGTTTAAGAAAGGCCGACCCTTGGAAACAGGAAATGTCTTCAGTGATTTCCTGGGCACGACGGCAATGTCCTCAATGTTGATACTGAATGGAAGACATCATAATATACAGTGTGACTATAGAGACCTGCAGAACCCTGCCGTTGTCATATATGCACACCTTACATTGTAGGAGAAACAGGGGAGATAATAACAATGTGAAAATTTAAAAAGGGAGATAAAACAATTTGAACAGATATAAAGGGAGAAAATAACAATTAAAAATATCTATCAAGGGAGATAACCAAGGATGCAGAATGAATTATCAGTAAAAAATTAACATTTTGATTTGAACTCGGAGAAAAAAAAATTGTTTACAGAAAAGCAATAGTTGAGAAAAAATGTTTTTTATTCTCTCTCGAAATAGTTCATTATTCATACGTTCCTGTGTGTGCGTAGGAATATTTTCTTATCTAGAATTAGAAATCATGTTTTTACATCACATCCTTTTTGATTCTTTGATTAAATGGTAAGTGATATGTGGATTTATGACAAGTATGTTTTGATTATTTAATGAACATGTGTTTCAATGTTAGGCAATGTATAATAATCTCTAGACAAATATGTATATACATTTGGAATGAAAACCAATGTATAAATGAGTTGTATTTTCTCAAACAATTTAGAAATTTCTCTCTCCATAGGCATTAGAATTGAAAGTTATAAGAACTGTTTTTGGTGCAAAAATAATGTAAGAAAGTCATAAATAAATACCACTTGTTGGTAAATGGAACCTAGATATATTATTCAAACAGGGTAGTTTGTATGTTGATATCTGATGTAGAGGGATGTAACGATATAGCCCAGGTTAGTGTCAATGTTTTCCCTGAAATATTTTACCTGTGTATTTCCTAAATGTATTAAATATCACACATTATAATTGGCTATATTATCCAGTACGTACAAAACTATTGCATTTTGTCACTTATGTATATTGTATTGTACATGTGTCTGCCCAATTAACAAGTTTATTTTCCAGTTTTTTCTTCTTTGTAAGCATTTTTTTGTGTGTGTGAAAATGCCTTATCACAGTCTTTAATCTACTTGGGCTGTTACATCACTGTATATTAGATGTCAATGTACATGATGAAAGTAAATGTACTTGATTAGAGTACATGTACATGTTTGAAATACATGTACTTCATTAAGAGTTTATATGTATGTTTGAAATACATGTACTTGATTAGAGTACATGTATATAATATGGTACATGTACATAATTAGGATGCATATACATCTTTAGGGTAAATGTACATATTCCTTGACAATACAAAAGGTCATGATTTTAGACAAAAGGTCGTGATTATAGACAAAAGGTCGTGATTCTAGACAAAAGGTCGTGATTCTAGACAAAAGGTCATGGAAGTTTAACCACCAGAGTTTTTCTTAACTGCTGCTGAATGTTTTTTTAACTAATGTTTATTCAAGAAATAACAACATGGAGGGTCACAAACAAAATTTACATCAAAATATTTTATCATGATCTTTCACCATGTGTTTTGTTTTATTTGATCAAATTAAATAAATACTACACATATATAGTGTATGAAATCATATGAAGGGTTTAAATAGGCTGTATATTGTTTGTTCTATACAAGTTTTGCTTGTTGTATTAGAGACCAGAAGTTAAGTGTCTTGAAAACATTTATATTCATTCCAGTTTCAGTTTATAAAACTGCTTACTGCTTTTATTTCAATGTTATTTTGTGAAGCTTATTTGTAGCTTTGATACTTCTCCAACAAAAATACTGAGAGAAATGAAAATTCATTACGGTAATTAAAAACAAGATAAATCTTTCACATAGTGGATGAACTTCATAAAGATGAAAATGTTATTAAATTTCCCAAAGATATTATGGCATGCAGTCATAATCTTAATGGTTTTTAAGTACCAAATCTTAATGGTTTTCAAGTACTAAAATTTGATCAACTTTTGAGTTTTGTTATCCTTAACTTGTAAATGGTCCCTGTTCAAACAGTGAAAGTAGATGGCTAAATAGTGCTATGAACTAACGCTCGTATGTTATAGATACCCAACAAAAATATTCTTGAAAAATTGGTAAAACCAAAAAAAAATGTGTATTGTTGAAACTTGATGTTCAATAGCTCATGTTCAAGTATGTAAAACACTAATTTATGTATATGTTTGTATGTATATATGTTAATATAACTGTTAAACAGCTTGTTCAAAGTGTACACATTTTTTTAAAACATCCATTGTTGCAATATATCTGTATGTTTTACATTAAGTTTATATAATCTACCTTAAGTTTTGGTTTTTTGTCTTTCAAACTTTCCTCTTTGTTAGTACATTCCCTCCTGTAAAAGCGTGTATTTGTACAGTGATTTTATTTTCTATTGTTTGTCTACTATTTTTACTTTATATTCTTCATACTTAACCATTGCTTTTGTATGTTTTTTATTTTACACATAAGATGTACATGTATGGGTGGTCCCAAGTTTACCTGCCACTTTTTAAAAAAATCTTTTTGATTTTATTTTTACACACTTTGAGAAGTTGTGATTTTTGAAGATACTTTTGGAGAGTATATTTGTGTTTGATGTTTAGATAAGAATTACTGACATGTGTACAAGATGTGTAAGTGATTAACACAGGTATCTTGTTGTTATTAATCATGGTTTCAAATATTCAAGTTTTGATAGGAAAATCTCCAAGCTTTTGTCATCACAAGATAAAAACATTTTTGTCAAATAGTTTATAGAATAATCAACACCTTTGTACAAGTATTTCAAAGGTAACTTCAGAAGAATTTGATTGTCATTGTGAAGATGTTGTTAAGCTAAGATTTTTAACTCCAATTTTAATGCAAGATTATTGTGTGTGTGTAACATATTTTGCATTTTTTTGTAAAACAAAATGAAGATGAAAGAGTTGTTCTTTGAAAATTATCAATATAATTTTTGAGTTATTTCTGTTTTGGAGTTATAACATTTGTAGGTGGCTGTATGTGGTGCTGTTGTTAAGGAACAATTGTTGTTGCATTGAGGTGTTTTTTTTTCAAAATTGAATTGAGAGAATTGAACAATATTATTAAGGTAGCATTCCTCCAGATCTGTGCTGGAAATATAAGTATACCGTATTAAAAAAAGTAACTTAAACTAGTTCACACAGAAGATAGTTACAGGTACCAATAAAATATGAAAATATGCACACAAAAAAATAATTAAGGTGTTAGTATATTTTGATGACCAAATAGTAAAGTTTTCATAAAACATTTCAAGTATCATTTCAGTTAGTCTTTGATTAATGAGGGTGCATCCATCTGCCAGGTAAGGCACAAAAAGCAGCTTTTGCTATGATTACAGAACAAGACATGTCACCAATCATGCTAAGGCCTTTTGAGGTTTATTTTGTAGTAGAAAGTGGTGATTATTAACCTCCATGCAATTTCTGCAGAGCATTAGCCAAAGATATGAATTTTGAGCTGAAAGTAGCTTATTGTACTGCAGTTCAATGGCATCTCCTGGATTGCAAATATTTTTATACATTTCTAAAGTTTTGACATTTGTAGAAAATTTATTCACTCATGTGGAGGTATGCATCTTTAACATACATGTAATTGAGGTGATTAAATTAATGTAACTGGGTGAAAGGATCATGATTTAAGCTTGGTAATATATTTAAGCCATATATAAGTGTTGTGAAGTAGATGTTGTTGGTTTTCTTACATTGTCTTGTTTTATTATTATCTCATGTGGCTTCGTTGTCATGGAAACATGCAATATTTCTGTGGCTGTAACATGTATAAATGTATCAGTACTTATCAAACACGTGTTTTAAAATCTCCTTGTCAGAAATATGTATATTCACAGGTCATATTTCATTACTTCATTCTAGTCAAATCAAATTAGTACATCAAAAACGATAATAATATGAAGACATCTATAGATAGTTTTACTGGTAGGAAAAAAAAAAACTTTTAATGATAAGGCACTTTGAAACTTGCATTCATGTAAATGGTTTCTTATTATCATGTTGAGACATTATTGTATTATAAAGATAGCATTGTAAACTAATGCTTTTTTTGGTACTTTTTCTAACAAAATACCGAGAGTGGAAAGTCTTGTGTTTTTCAGGATTATAAAAGATATAATCTCCTATATTAAGTATTATTTTTTCTAGTTATAACAATTTCTTTCTCTCCATGTAAATGTCAGCATCTCTACATGTAACTTATAATGTTTGTAAAGTTGTAATCAGCCATTGCTACAGCTTATAGACTTTGTTTTTTGTACATGTATAAAGGTATTTCAACAAACAAAACTCAAGTTATTTGACTTTTTAACAAAATCCTTTTATCCCGGTCTTTGTTTGAGGTTAGTAAATTTTGATAATGTTGTTACCATTTAATGGTCTAGAACTTATTTCTGTTGCATTAGAAATGAAAAAAAAACAACTTGTTCACAGTGTATTGGTGTGGAAATGCAATATTTGCTTCTTGGGTAACATAAATTTATCACTCTGTAATGCAATTAAGTTCTAGAAACCAATATGGTGCCAGATATATCTCTTAGAAAACATAACATTTACAACACCAAATTTGTATTTATTATCAGGAAAATGTATTATATTACATTCCCTCCAAACTCTTCAATATTTGAAATGAGAATTTTACGCTGGTAGTCTCTTATATTTGTTTTATTATTTGATAGAATATTGAAGTTTACATACAGATATTCTAACCTCTAGAGCAGATTTTATTCAATTTAGAAATAATGTATTTGGTAAAGTACACTGCAATACAATTCAAATTTGTAAAAACTAGGTTAATACAACTAAGGGAATAATTTTACGATTATTCCATCATATTACAACAAAATTGAAATGTAATATTTCTGAAACCAGAAGAATATGATTTGTTTTTCTTTGTTCAACAAATCATTAATGTGATTACTATTTATCTGACTTGCATAAAGTATTATCTTTCAGTGTTCAAGTTTTTAAAGTATTTAGCGAGAAATAAAAAAAATGTTAAGATCTATAAGAAATTTCACATGTTATACATATTCACTCACAATGAACATTGAACTCAAGATCATTTTACTGTCTGCTGTTAAAGAATTACAGTAATCCTACTGTCAGGGAAAATCTGTCAACAGTTTCACTGTCACTGAGGCCCACAGGGAAGACTGGGCTTGCCCAACTGTGTTGCCTCATTAAATAAAGTTGTTACTTACTTACTTACTTACTATACCTGGATGCTACTAGGCAGAAATGTGCAAGTCTAGATTAATTAATGTGTAAACCTTTGAAGATCAATCTGACATTTTCTAATTATTTGTATAGCAATCACTGTTAGGGCATTTGTCACCTTTAAATGAAAGTTATCACAATTTAACTACTGTTCTTATTAATTTTTTTTTTTATAAAGTACATTTTTTCAGCGTTAGACAAGATATGTATAATTATGTATTATGCATTGTAGTATTAAACTAAAAAGTGGGTATGTTCCAGTAATCGTGATATATTAACTCTGAATCATGTAGAATTTCCTGTGTGTCTTGCTTGTTTTGATAATCATGCAAACTTCATTCCATTACAATATTCCATTTTATTGTGAGCTTTTTTGTTATCTTCGGTCATTGCTTTTAATAAAATGGCCTAAATAAACCAGTTTTGTTTCCTTATTTTACCCAATATTGTGTGAATGAATATTTCCAAAAGAACTGTTTCAAACAAGAAACAGATGTTGAGAAATCTTATGGCAAGTCTACTAGAATTTTCCATAAATGACTTTTAAACTTTTTAAAACTTTTTCACTACCCTATAGTCAACTGAATTATAATGTCAATCAAGCATAATTGTGTAGCTGAACAATTAAGAAAGCATGATAAAATGTTAATTGACAAATTACAGTCATATTCATGTGAAATATCCAAGATTAAAGATAAATATACTATGCTCAAATTTGATGTTACAAAGTATTGATAATTGCTACACAGTATCTTTGTAAATATAAAATAGACACAAAGTGTGTTTGAAATTCTACACACACACACTATAGGTGTTCACAATAAAAATATAATTGTAGTGTTATGAAAAAACTGGCAGTTTTTTTTAAGACCGGACCAACTTTACTTCTCCCGTAATAGGGAACGCACCTTCCCATACATAGTTTATTCAGTCTTTTATTCAAATTAGACATATACAGTAAGAATTTCATAGATTCCAATAATTTCTGTGATTAAAATATTTTACTCAAGGATGAGCATAGTATTTCTTGAAGTAATGGAAAAAATACAAAATTATGAAGCTTGAAAGATTTGCAAGCCAAAGAACATGTCTTACATGAAATTCCAATTTCCAATCAAATAGAAAGGTAATCTACCAAAATAACCATCTACAAGGTCTTGCAAGATATTACGGAAGACAGTCTTTTTCAAGCTGTTGTTGATAAATAATCATCTACCAAACACATACGAAAACTACATAAAATTTTAGAATGAAAAGTCAAATATTTATCATCAGATGGGTAGCATCTGTAAATTGCCAAGTGAAATATTATACTGACTTAATTGCTTGTTTATAAATACCTATTTGTAGTCTATTCAATTTCCAACATATTAATGTAGAAAATTGAAATAGCACCAAATAAAACCTCTAGTAAGATAATTACAAAGCAAGAGTTTCCCCGAAGATTTCCATAAAATCATTTTGATAATGTCTAGGTAGATATTTACAAAACGGAGATAATAATACAAGAATTGTCAAGGTTACACCTTAGGTTTTATATTAATCAATTTCTGAACAAAAACAGTTAATGTCTGAAACTGATTGTCAACAATTCTCTTATATTCTAGGTAGAATTTTATAGTCCTCTTGGCTTAGAGTCAATAGCACCTTAGTTAGACGGTTGGACAACCACTTGGTTCAATTTCTGGGTTTTAAATATTCTCCTGAAATATAATTCTAATGAGATATTTCTGACTTGTGAAATATATTCTGACAAGTGAATATATTCTGATTAGTGAAATATATTCTGACTAGTGAAATATATTCTGATTAGTGAAAGATATTCTGACTAGTGAAATATATTCTAATGAGATATTTCTGAGGTAGGGGTCTGGTTGTTGCGCATGACACAATCATGGTCTTATCATAACAAAATTTGTGCCAAGTTATTTCAAATTCCTTTGATAAATGACAAAGTAATGGACCGGACACAAAAGTGTGACGGACGAACAGATGGATGGATCCTATTTCTATATCCCCCTTTTTTTCTTCGAAAAGGCTGGGGACCATTAAAAATAGGTACATTTGTTATTACCAAACAAAACCTATCTGTAGGCAGTTATAAATAATAGATATATTTTTAGTTAAAAATAAAATAAACTAAATAATCATTCCACATCTTTATTTACTAAATATATCAAAAACAAGAACAACAATTTTGGAATGTCTGTAACATAAATAACATGACAAATAATTGCACACAACTCTCTGGAAACACTACCTCTGCCACTGGCATGGTATTTTCCAAATTTATATCATACTTTGTAAAATGTTTCTAGTGTTTTTAATCAGTCTGCATGTAAAATTTGCATATTTGGCGAGACAGAAACTGAATTGGTGGTTTTGAAATGTAGGTAGTAAAACAAATTTGTCCAAAAGACATATTAAAATGCCAAAATCTCCAGACAAGTATAATTTACCTAGACTGTCTATAGAATATTTATCAAATTTTGAATTTTGATGGTATTAGAAAAGTTTTGTTTTCAAATTAATACAAAATATCACCCAATATTTCACACAAGGTTAATCGCTCACTGATTCTTAACTCTAACTTTCTTAAAAAAAAACAACAAAAAAACAACAACAAAACAACAAGCCTTTTAATAAAGTCTCTTAGGCAGAGAAAAATCTGGTATATGAAGTAGTAAAGAGATGTCTGCATTAAAAACTGATTAAAAACACTTCTAAACAATTTACAAAGAAGACTATATATGGCACCATAATCTATGAAATCACATTTTTTCCTTAAACTTTATACACATAATATCTATTAACATAATTTACAAACAATAACTATAAACAATAGCAATGGAAAACCAAGAACAAAAAGACAAATCTTTTAACTTTTACTTATTAATGATTTTGAACTGAACAAGTAAAAGGTTTTTTTTCTTTAACAACTAAAACAAATCTATGGCAGAATTGTAGATATTTCTTCATCCTCAACTAAACAAAAAAAGTTAATAAAAATATTAAAATACCTACTTACAATAATGTTCAAACTTACTTTTTTTAAAGGTATGAATCACTATTGGTGATTAAAGCATAAATAAACATATTGAAACAAAACAAAGTCAAAGAAAATTTCAAAATATCAATATCGGGACAAATCAATCCACAAAACCCCTGCACAGTTTGCTGGTTAAACCAACATCTATTTACATAATTCACATATGATATCTATATGTACAATGAAAATAATATCAAAATGGTTAACATATATACACTGATTGTCACAAAACAATGTACAAAAAAAAGCCCTGGAAAAACTATTTCCCACTTGGAACACAAATACTCAAATGTTTCTGTATTCTAGAAAGCCGAAGAAGACATTTAAATTCTCTCAGCTGATATTTTACAAGTTTAAACATTGATTTACTGACATCATTTGCTTCCCATGAGTACAGAAGCACATTACTGCTCCTTGATTATTTCACTGTTCCCATTACAAGTGTATTTCTGTGTTTTAAATGAGAGAAAAGTAATACCAGTAGTTGTTAACACAATAAAATAAACTTACAATTCCATGACATTAACTTTAAACCTGTTGAATTTGTGCTATAGGTTTCCCCGTCTTCCCCTTTTAAGTTGGAACTGTCCATTTAATTTTTAAGGATTTGGAACAGTTTATTTAATATGCAAGGGATTTCAATATCAAAATACAAAAATTAAGCTACCAACAGTATAGAGTCTGGTCAAACTGCATTGAAATACAAGCTGGCCTGGCTCTGTATTGGCAGCAAAAGCCAGTCATTTCAAGTTCCAGTAGGTAAAGAGTCAATACAGGTCAATGCAGAAAAAATGTTTTCGTTTGTTTAAAAGCATAATAAATCTGCATTACATTTTCATTTTATTATGGTTCTAGCACACCAAACAATTACCATCTCCTAAAAAAGTCAAATTATGTCCACCAAGAATGAATAACAAATATAACATCAGCAATAATTAAATTAAAAACAATATTGATCATTTGATTTGATGTCCTCATACGTAGCATTTTTGTTTTATTTCTACAATTCTTTTACTACAAGATACACTGGAACAGAAATATACAAAATACACATGCATCAGAAAATCCCACTTTACAAATCAGGTATAACATATTCACATATGTACAAGAAACTGGTGATGTATCAAACGAAAGACTATATCATGACATGTGATATGTTTATAAACATAATATGAATAATGAATGACTTTCTTTAACACCTGAACAAAATAACCTACAAAAAAGTTTGATATCATATACAATATATCATTGATGAAAAAAATCCCAAAGTATATACATTCAAAACATATTGCCCGAATTACATCAGCAGTCACATGTAATGAAACATGAATGAAAAGGCATATCCTCGGGTGAATATTCTTCATGCTAGCACTTCCTTCAGTGTATCTATATAAGTTTTAAACACTTTATTTCTACTTGTTCAAACCTCTACATTGATGGAAATTTGACACTACATAAAATTTATTATACTATGACTATGAGACACTGAACAAAGTATGGTGTCAAATCAAGGACAGGGTCAAATCTAGGACAACTGCCGATCAGACATTTTATCATAGATAAATGAGGTATAACATGCAAATTCCAAGTCATATTTATCTTACACATTGATTCCCTGTTTACAGAAGGACATCACTGAAGTTTAATGACATTTTACAAATATAATGATAAATATTGCTGAATCATTTTGTCCTCCATGATAATTTTGCATTCAACATATATCTCAGACTTTCTAACCAGCACAGAAAAAATGTTATCAATATAAACAAGCTAATTTCTAAAATAACTAAATATTACTTCTTCATCCTTATATGAATTGTCTGATTGTCTATAAAGACTTTCTTATCTAAAATAGCTGCCACTAGCAAATTTATGTTAACAATACAGTAAAAAAAGTCAAATATGAGAAATAACATTCACACAATTATGTATCAGAAATAGCTATTACTGTTCAAAATACACTAGTCTAGATATCAGAAGTAGCAGTCACTTATTTACGACTGGTATATGTGTAACAAATACTTGTCTCATCAGAAATAACCAATATAAGTTTCAAGCATATCAGAAAGAGCTGTCACAAGTTAAGATATATCAGAAATAGCTATCACTTGTTTGTCCACTACTATTGCTTGCATTCTCAATCTCTCTCCACTGAGGTCTCGGGATCTGTGTACTAGCTAGAGTAGAAGAATGTGTCCTTGTAGTACTCCTTCCCTCAAATCTCATTGGATTCATGGCTAAAGCAATAGCTCGGAAACTTGATCGTATATCACTACGATGTACAGGGAAATAACTCTCACCGTTCTTATTTAGCTGCCTGTAATGTATATATAACAGTGTCCTAAAATGTCTTTTCTGCATCATTTAATAGCTAATTATGATGTTCTGAATTAAAATCATGTACATAAAGTGGAGAAAATAAAGTTTAGACAGAAACTAAAAGAATAATACTCATAGAATAATGATTGTTAACTTACGTTTTATAATATAAGAGTGAACAAAAGTATGAATATTATTTGCGTCCATTTATTTGTATATGTAGAGATAATAATTATGTATAAATAAATTACCTTCTAAAACATAAGAATATACAGGCCAATATAACAAGAAGAGCTGCCACAGACGTAACACCTATACCTGCTATAGCACCTGTACCAATACCTGTATCTAACAAAAATAAAGTTCAACAATCAATTCATTGTCTGTATCTTTTCTACATGATAGCATTCTCAATATAATTAATTTCATATAATTGCTGCTTCATGAATAGATGCTGGCTGAAATTTGGACATCCCATGTGAATAATGAGAACAAAGCAAAAACAAATATTGTAACTTTGATTATGATGAAGAAGACTTTATAGCGAGTCTTTTGTTTTCTTTAAGAAAAAGTTGGAACAGATCAAGTTGGAAATATCCCTATCATCAAATTTATTTGAACAATAAATTCAAAACTTCTTCAAAACTCTCTTTTTTTCCCCTGCAAGGTCAATTTATTTATTGTAACTACTTACCAATTTCTAGTTCACACTTTAAACCATGGTAACCGTCATGACAAAGACATTTAGGGTTTCCTTCTGTATCTTTACTACAATCACCATTCTCACATTTACCGGCACAATTATCTGAGAAAATGATTCAAAACAAATACAATATAAAAAATAAAAATTCGCCAAGGTAAATTAATCTTTGAGCCACAGACTTCTTCTGATAACCGCTTAAAATCATGTACAATAACTTGTCATATGTCTGCTTCCTAATTTACTAATCATTACTCTGACATGTAATAACAAGAGGGCCATGATGGCCCTGAGGTCGCTCACCTGTATATAGCCCCCCCCCCCCACCCCCGGGCCAATTTTTACCCAAGGGTTTATATTTGTTTATTTGAACAGACTTGGTAGACACCCATAAGAAGATGTTTCATGCTAAACATCTAAGTTCTAGCTCATTGGGTTTTTTAAAAGAAGATTTTTAAAGTTTTTACTATACACATATAGTAAAAAACAATGACACCCCTGGGGCAGGGCCAGTTTTGACCCCCGGGCTTTTATTTGAACAAACTTTGTAGATATTTACTTAACGATGTTTCATGCTTAATATATAAACTCTAGCTATTTGGGTTTTTTCAAAGAAGATTTTTAAGTTTTTGCTATACACTTATAAGGAAAATCAATGACCCCCCCCCACCCCGGGCGGGGCCAGTTTTGATCCCAGGGCTTTTATTTGAACATACTTGGTAGACACCCATTAGAACATGTTTCATGCTAAATATCTTAGCTCTAGCTCTTTGAGTTCTTTAAAAGAAGATTTTTTAAGTTTTTACTATATGCATATAGGGAAAATCAATGACCCCCTGGGGCGGGGCCAATTTTGACCCCAGGGCTTTTATTTGAACAAACTTGGTAGACACTCATTAGAAGATGTTTCATGCTAAATATCTTAGCTCTAGCTCTTTGGGTTCTTTAAAAGAAGATTTTTTAAGTTTTTACTATATGCATATAGGGAAAATCTATGACCCCCTGGGGCGGGGTCAATTTTGACCCCAGGGCTTTTATTTTGAACAAACTTGGTAGACATTCACTAGAAGATGTTTCATGCCAAATATCTAAGCTCTAGCTCTTATGGTTCTTTAAAAGAAGATTTTTTTAAGTTTTTTACTATATGCATATAGGGAAAATCAATGACCCCCTGGGGCAGGGCCAATTTTGACCGCAGGGCTTTTATTTGAACAAACTTGGTAGACATTCACTAGAAGATGTTTCATGCCAAATATCTAAGCTCTAGCTCTTACGGTTCTTTAAAAGAAGATTTTTTAAGTTTTTACTATATGCATATAGGGAAAATCAATGACCCCCTGGGGCGGGGCCAATTTTGACCCCAGGGCTTTTATTTGAACAAACTTGGTAGACACTCACTAGAAGATGTTTCATGCCAAATATCTTAGCTCTAGCTCTTTGGGTTCTTTAAAAGAAGATTTTTTAAGTTTTTTCTATATGCATATAGGGAAAATCAATGACCCCCTGGGGCGGGGCCAATTTTGACCCCAGGGCTTTTATTTGAACAAACTTGGTAGACACTCACTAGAAGATGTTTCATGCCAAATATCTAAGCTCTAGCTCTTAGGGTTGTTTAAAAGAAGATATTTAAAGATTTTTCTTTCGGTTGCCATGGCAACCAGAGTTCTGCATGGAATTAAATTCTTTGAACAATTTTTCAAGGTGACCACCAAAGGAACATTCCTGTAAAGTTTGGATGAAATTGGCTCAGTGGTTTATGAGGAGATGTCATTTAAAGCAAAAGTTTACGGACGGACGGACGGACGCCGGACGAAAAGCGATCACAAAAGCTCACCCTGTCACTTTGTGACAGGTGAGCTAAAAACCATAATACATATATGAAGAGGTTTAATTCAAAATAAGAATAGCTTCGGATTACTGATAACTTATAAATAATTACTGAACAGTGAAATAACATTTATAAATATTGAAGACAAAATTCCAAAACAAATGTATCTTACCAACACAAACTCCATTTTGGTAAGTAGACCCTTCACAGCATTGGCAATTGTATGAAGTATCAACTCCTGTACATACTCCTGTGACCTCACCACAACCATGTAGGTCAAGGTCACATGGATCCTTGTCTGTTTCCATGGTGACACATTCTGAACTAGATACAGATCCTTGTCTGAGAGTTGTTTGGCCAAAGTTACACCTGAAATGATTGAGTTTATTTCTGGTTAAATAATACAATTTCTAACCTTCTATAATTATGGGGTGAGGCAGAGAAAAGGGCAAAAATTCGGACCTTATGCTCTGCCTGGAGTAAAGAGGATAGAAGTAATATCCCCAGAAAATATGATGACATATTAACATACATGTATTAATTCAAGTTTGATTGTGAAACAAGTTCATTCAACCTGTATTACAACATCTTTAAGTCTACTTCTTTAACTGGTATGATGATAAGAAACAAAGTCCTGGCCAAAGCAGGGCTTGAACCAGCAATCACTAACCTAAGCTATAACTCCCTTTGGTTGAAATACCGTAGTCCATACAAGAACTTGGTGTCAAATAAAATTATGGTAAAGCTTTCAATCAAGTTAAAGTCAAATTTAATCACTAATTTTATTAAAACAAATGAGAAATATAAACAACAATTACCTAGTGCAACAATCTTTATCATCATTTTCCTGATATGTTCCTAAGGGACACAACTCACAAGTATTGTTGACAGTTCTTCTCTCCCCTGATTTACATTTTACTAAAATATAGAAATATTTATGCTAATAAGTAGAAAAACATAGACAAATCTGAATAATAGGGAGAAATTAATTTGAGTATTTTCTTACTGACACTAATAATCATTAATCAATATTTCACTGACTCAGGTGAAAGATGAGCAAATTACAGCATAAAATTCTGTTAAAATCATTTCATCAAGGTCTTTTATAACTACTTGCAAAAGAATACAATTCTTAATTACATACCAAATGAACAATCTTGTATACTTTTGGAACCAGTGTACATAGTTGTGTAACTATAGGGACAAGACTGACATGTGACCTCTGACCTCTCCTCTTTGTACATGCCTACAGGACAAGGGACACAACTCCCATCAACTGACATCTCCATGCCCAAAATATTGCACATAACTGTGAAGACATAAAAATATATATAATTTACTTAAAGGAACTCCACTGAGGTTCAAAAGCCTAAAATCATAAAATTTATTCTTTTACACAGATCAGCTGGGGCACGTAAAACAGGAAGACATGAAAAAAAAATTAAGAAATTTACTCAGAAATTAATTGAAAAGCGTATTTTTGTGACAGTTTTTATATGATTTGAGTGAAAAGCATTTAAACGCTTTTCAATTTTGGGTCATTTTTCACTACTTGAATAATTATCCTGGATAAACCGAGAGAGCAAATGATCTAAAATTTTGCACACAAGTTACTGATCTAGACCAACATCAAACTGAGCATTAATCTCGAAAAAATATTTCCAGTCTCGTCATGTCAAAAAACCTCAGTGGAGTCCCTTTAAAGTCTTTACAACACATGAGTCACAATTTGCTGGACAAAAACTATTTTATTATCATACTGAAAGACTGACCTGTCTTTCTGTCTTGTCCTCCGACAGCGAAACAAGTTCTTTCAACTTAAATCACTTTCGAGTCCACTTCCTGGAACCAACCAGTACTGGAGTCATATGAAGAAACATGGTTGTGACCCCATTAGGGCTCAAACCCATGTGTCCTGGGTTTAGAGGCAAACACTTAAAACTAAAACAATAGAAAATATTCCTAACTAATATGCATTTTTTCACAATTTCAAATTGTCATATATGTAATTCTACATTATAATATATTTCAGTAAAATAACATATAACTAATATCAAGAAAATACACCATGAATATAATTCACTTACAATTACAATCATTTAATGACTTAGAAGCATCATATTGTGTTGTATGACCTAGGGGGCAGGGTTTACAGGAAGTAGATCCACTCGTATCCTGGTAAAATCCTACTTCACAGGGCTCACAATCTTCATTAAGAAGGTAATAGCCCCTCTCACAAATATCTGAAATCGGATGAAAAACCAGAATTATCATAAACTTAACTACTTTTCTTTCTTTTCAAAATGTAAGTGTGACAATGAATGTAAGTTTTCAATATTTTCCATAAAATAAAATGTAAGTTAAAAATTCAACCATTGAACTTCTTCAAAAAAAAAAGAAGCTATATTCAACTTTTTAAAATCAATTAAACATGCCTAATCTGGAACATAATATAATGAGACAAGCAACTACCAACTAGATAAGCAGTCTGATGTTGTAGTCCAAATGACAGCCCAAAGATAAGCATACTTTTTAATCATATATATTAATGTCCTTAAAAAAACCTATGAATTAAAACACAAATGGACTGTTAAACCCTTACTCAAGTCGGTTTATATTTTTATTATTGATACTGTTTACTATGGAAAAATAAATATCCTTTTACAACAAATAACATAAAACAAGAGGGCCATGATGGCCCTGAGGTCGCTCACCCATTAGAAGATGTTTCATGATGTTAAGTTTTTGCTATACACATATAAGGAAAAACAATGACCTTCTCCCCCCCCCCCCGGCAGAGTTAATTTTAACCCAAGGGCTTTTATTTGAACAAACTTGGTAGAAACCCATAAGAAGATGTTTCATGCTAAACATCTAAGCTCTAGCTCATTGGGTTTTTTAAAAAAGAAGATTTTTTAAGTTTTTACTATACACATATAGTTAAAAACAATGACACCCCTGGGGCGGGGCCAGTTTTGACCCCAGGGCTTTTATTTGAACAAACTTTGTAGACACTTATTAGAAGATGTTTCATGCTTAATATCTAAACTCTAGCTAATTGGGTTTTTTCAAAGAAGATTTTTTAAGTTTTTGCTATACACATATAAGGAAATCAATGACCCCCGGGGCGGGGCCAATTTTGACCCCAGGGCTTTTATTTGAACAAACTTTGTAGACACTCACTAGAAGATGTTTCATGCTTAATATCTAAACTCTAGGTATTTGGGATTTTTTCAAAGAAGGTTTTTTAAGTTTTTGCTATAAACATATAAGGAAAATCAATGACCCCCGGGGCGGGGCCAATTTTGACCCCAGGGCTTTTATTTGAACAAACTTAGTAGACACCCATTAGAACATGTTTCATGCTAAATATCTTAGCTCTAGCTCTTTGAGTTCTTTAAAAGAAGATTTTTTAAGTTTTACTATATGCATATTGGGAAAATCAATGACCCCCCTGGTGCAGGGCCAATTTTGACCCCAGGGCTTTTATTTGAACAAACTTGGTAGACACTCACTAGAAGATGTTTCATGCCAAATATCTTAGCTCTTTGGGTTCTTTAAAAGAAGATTTTTTCAGTTTTTACTATATGCATATAGGGAAAATCAATGACCCCCTGGGACGGGGCCAATTTTGACCCAAGGGCTTTTATTTGTTCCTTTTATTTGAACCAAGACACTCATTAGAAGATGTTTCATGCCAAATATCTAAGCTCTAGCTCTTTGGGTTCTTTAAAAGAAGATATTTAAAAATTTTCTTTCGGTTGCCATGGCAACCAGAGTTCTGCATGGAATTAAATTCTTTGAACAATTTTTAAAGGTGACCACCAAAGGAACATTCCTGTGAAGTTTGGATGATATTGGCTTAGTGGTTTATGAGGAGATGTCATTTGAAGCAAAAGTTTACGGCCGGACGCCGGACGAAAAGCGATCACAAAAGCTCACCCTGTCACTTTGTGACAGGTGAGCTAAAAATGGCAGCACATACTGCTTATTGGACAAAAAGAAACTGCAGAGGAGTTATCCACTTTCTTGTCTAATTATATATCCCAGATTCAACAGAGCTTATTAATTGGTTTCTTTTTTTGTCATTATAATGAAGCATTTTCAACTTACAGTAACACTGATTTTCAGAAACAGAACCAGCTGTGAGAGTTGTCTTTCCTTGATCACATGACTTGCATGTAGTCTGCTTCTCTAAGTCATTGTAATTTCCTACCCTGCATTGTTGACACAGTCCAGCTGTGGCATTGTAGAAGTACCCTGGACCACAGTTTACTAGAAAAATTACAATTTCAATATTTGTGTTGACAAGTCCAGTTAGCGAAATATTATTACTCTAAATGCCTGCATAAAAAATTTCATAATTGATTCATACTGTAAATTATTTCATTTGAGACAGTACAAGTATAAACTTAACTATACATGTATTAAGGGCATGTCTATAATCATGCTGATAGCATCCATTCCATTATTAGCCAGAAGTTCAGCTTATTCTCTATTAACACAAATGCATATTTACATCACACATAAACAATGTTTACACATTAAGTGCAGAAAAAACAATGGTTACACATTAAGTGCGGAAACATACATGTATTAACATTTCCGCATTCCAGTACAGCATTCTTGGTCAAGTACCTACATATTGTCAAAATAATCTTTTCTCTATAGAATTCAGAGTTGTGATGCCTTAATCTTAGAACCAGCTAGTACTGGTGTCAAAGGATGAAACATGGTCATGTAACCAGTAAGGCTTGAACCCACCATCCATGAGTTATAGGGCAGACCTCTTAACATTTACTCTACTACTCACCTTATCTGTGCATGTTTTTTTTTCTGCATTCAAAACATGCTAAAGTGTCTTTGCACGACATAATTTATATATATTATATAATATTGTATACATAAGCACAAATCTATCACACTTACCACAATTTCCTTGACTGAGGACCTGCCCCATGTCACACGACTGTTCTGTTGTTACAGATATATCAACTGTTTCAAATTCACCAATACCTGATTTCAATGAGTTTTCAAACTGACCCATTACAGTGGATGAATTCTCAGATGTCAACCTAGTCAAATAAAAAAGAATATATGTTTAAAAGATATATTTAAAACATGGCTGAATAGAGATGAGGTCTACAACAGGTTTTTCTATATTTTGTTTGTAATCTTAACTTTAAGAATACTGATTTTTTTTAATTACTCATTTGCTTCCTATTTTATTGATTAGTGAAGATATAACAACAGTCAATTGTTATCCCCTACAATGTTTTCCACAAACAGCATGCTTGACTGTTCTCTGTGCTTGACAGAAAGAAAGGGGCATAACTCTGTAAAAAGGTAACTCAGAGTTATGAAGCATGTGACCATCCTGTTAGATAATCACAGGAAGAGTTTCAACCCATTTCCTGGAGATACTAACTTGCACATAAAATGTATGATGGCAATGCCAACACAGACATAAGTACAATAGCTCTCCATACTCTTTAAATAGTAAAGATATTAACATCAACAAATTAAACCTCATAGAAATCAGTAACATTACACTGGCAGTTAAATATCTTTAATGAAATATAAGACAATTCCAAGCCTTATGTTATGCATTAAAATGTCTTTATCTAATTTACCTACAGGTAAAAGTGAGGAGCTACGTACTCATTGTTTCTAATACTGAATGTCACATTAAAATGGACTGGCTCAACAGATCTCTTGATGACATTGCTGAGGATACAGTCTACATTAATGCTGGCTGTGTCACAGTCTACACTAGGACATAAACCAGTCTGGGAAAACTCTTCACTAAGTAAGTCAATAAGATCCAGTTTAGCTGAATCAGAGCACACTGGTCCCAACAGTTGTAAAAATCCATCAAACTCCATCAAAGGTGGTTCAAATCCTGCAATATAATATATGGGTTATGATAACTGGTATAACTGGCATGCCTTAAACATATCAAATGTGGAATGTTATGTAGTCCTATATATATATTATGTATGTGGATGAAGTACAATACATCATATGACCTTCAAAGTGTCTAAATGACTTAAAACGAAAGAAGTTGACCTTTACGGTGGTTTATTTATACTGGGCATGCCATATGTCCCAGACTTTTGGCCTCTTATTATGTCGCTGGATGTAGAGCCCCTATGGAGGACTTAGTTTAATTGCCTCTTTACTTTGCTGATCTAAGAGCCGCAATTGAGGTCTTCTCAAGCTGTCTATCGTCATAGAGATCTTCACCCAGGACCAAATTTTTTGTATGGCAGAACAAAGGAAGACAATAGTTAAAAGGCACCTCTTCCAGGAGGCAGCAGCATCTTTTCAGAGCCACACCCTTCACTGTTAGTTACGTCACACAAGCAAAGTGATCTAACAAGGTCACCTATCTGGTGTGACCTATGCACTCCCAGCAAAGTGCACTGACTGCAAAGTGGTGTAAGACTCTTTTACAGTGTCTGTATGACTTAAAACGAAAGAAGTATAGTATTTAGCACTGGCCTAATATCAATGCATAAACAAGTATTAAATTCTTACTAGCACAAGGTGGAAATATGAAATTTTTTCCTCTAGGTGGATCCCACAAACCATATCTACATGCATACAGTCTTGCAACCTCTTCTACAAACATGTAGCCATCTAAACACACAACAGTACATTCCATCCCATATTCCCCTTGTTTATCACATGACACATCACCATGGAGAGGGGCATCAGGCTCTACACATGTCTTGGCTGTATAGTATCAGTAAAAGATTTATCAAAGACTTTATCAATCAATCTCTTCTATGAACAACGCTTTTAAAAAGATGAAAATTCGGACATAAAAGTCAAATTAGAAACAAGATTGCATTTGAGAAAAATGCTATGCCACCGCAATAAAACAACACTAAATAGTAGTGTAGGAACAGATTTTTTTGTTTCTATACAATTGAAAATTGTCATAATGCATATCTAATTCTTATTATCAGATTAGTGGTTAAATCTATTGTTAACTCAATAAAAGATCAGAGTAGGAATATATCAATGCACTTGAGTCTAGTGAATTTGGTGGTGAAGATCATATTTCACACAGCCTAAAATTTCATGACTGCATCAAAGGACAACATGTAATACACTTTGTCAAAATCTAGGTCAGCTGATATCAAAGTTCACTTTTAATTTTGACACTAGAGGCAAAATTTGAACAACTTTGGTAGAGTACCTATATATGATATCATTTAACAAATATTAAAGCTCTAAGCCTTGTACCTTCAGACAATAAGATTTTTTTGATTTTTTACTATATGTATATATTGAAAATCAATGACCCCGAGGCGGGGGCAATTTTGACCCCAGGGCTATAATTTGAACAATCTGGATAGAGGTCTATCAGACAATGCCTTATGCAAAATATCTAAGCTCTAGGCCATTTGGGTCTTTACAAGAAGGTATTTTAAATTTTTACTATATGTACATATAGTGAAAATCCATGACCCCCGGGGCAGGGCTGATTTTGACCCCAGGTCTATAATTTGAACAATATTGGTAGAGGTCTACCAGACAATGCCTTATGCAAAATATCTAAGCTCTATGCCTATGGGTCTTTACAAAAAGGTATTTTACGTTTTTACTATATGTACATATAGTGAAAATCAATGACCCCCGGGGTGGGGCCGATCTTGACCCCAGGGCTATAATTTGAACAATCTTGGTAGAGGTCTACCAGACAATGCCTTATGCAAAATATCTAAGCTCTAGGCCTTTTGGGTCTTTACAAGAAGATTTTTTAAATTTATTCTTATAATTCCTTTTGGTTGCCATGGCAACCAGATTTCTGCATGGAATTAAATTCTTTGAACAACTTTGGAAGCCCTTCACCCAAGGATCAATCCTGCCAAGTTTGGTTGAAATTGGACTAGTGGTTTTTCACAAGAAGATTTTTTAAGTTCACTATATAATCTATATAACACACACACACACAAACAAACAAACGAACAAACACACACACACACAGGTGAATCGCTATATGCCACCGCATCGCAGATGCTGCGGTGGCATAAAAAACATATAGGTATGAAACTTTGACGAACAATTCACTGATTTGAAAAAACCATCTTAATCTCTCAATTCATTAATTGATCTTTACTTTATATATCAGATATTTTTCTAAACAACAGTAAGAGGAAAATCGTTTATTAAACAAAAAGCTGTCAAAATAGTTTGGACAGTTATTTTTGCACAAAACCTAACCAAAACTTACGTGTAACAATGACAGTAAAAGTGCAAGAGACTGAATTAAGCTGGGCATCAAATGCTGTGTAAGTAACTGGATATTCTCCAAAAGTGAATATTTGTCCTGAAAGAAAGATGTTGCAATAGTTGAAAGTCATATTTCTTTCGTTTTATTGTCATTACAGTGGGTTGGTTTTTCATCACATAAGAAGACTCTCAAAAAAATGTTTGAAATAAATTCATAAAGTATTCAATACACTCATTAAATTAATATTGAATAAAATACACACATAGTTATTTCAAAATACCTTTTTCTGATGTGATGTACTATACTGTATAATTTGATTAAATACACCATACAAATTTATTTTTTTTGCACAATATTTAAAAGACAAAGTTTCACATGATATTAACCTGGTTGATGGGACTGCTTTATATCTACAACCCCAAAATCATCTTTAAACAGGGGTGAAGGCCAACTGATCTCTGTGGAAAGGTCATCATTCAACATGACCTCTACAACATCTTTAGGACAGAAAACAATTTCAGGTGGAATCTTATCTGTAAAAAACAAAACAATATTTTTACTCTTTAAGTGTATATATTTGTAATTGTATGGTCAAAGTATGTTGACAAACTACACACATGAATATCATGATGCATCTTGCTGTACTCTAATGACTAAACAATGTGACCACTTTAATCTTATATTTTAGCAAGAGAACGTATGCACTGGCTATAAGGAAAGGTAAACCAAATATTTTGTGCTCTTTGACAAGAGTTTTATATGATTATGTAAATTATGTGACTCCTTTAATAAAGCCTTTTTTGCCTAAGGTCAAGTCAAATCAAATGCTACATTTAGTAAATAATTAACAAAGATCGAAACTAGTAAATATATTGACTGTCAATGTTATAATCAGAGATTTTCATTCAAAACTGACAAGACATCTAAATGTAAGAAAAAACTTAACTTAGATCAGATATATAATGTTTTCAGGAATGAATATACACTTACTGAAAAGCACATTATGCCTGAGAAACAAATAAGTTTTTCATTTTTTAAAAGGGGAAAACAGGAGTTTTAATATGTTTAAAAATGTTTGAGAGCATACTAGTATTAGATCCTTATCCCCTGATAAAGTGGCACTGAATGTTAAATTATTTGTCATAACAGTAGCAAAATGTAAATAAAGTAGTATTTTGACTTCCATACAAAATATTAAATCACTAGAAATGTACTTAAATGCCAAAAGGCAGTAGAAAGTAGAAACCAAAGTTGGTCCTGGCAATTGATAAATGAATAACTTTTTGAAACCCCAAAAATAAAAGACTTTTGAGAGATAAAAATAAAAGCAATGATGGGGTATAATTGACCTTTAAGTGGAGCTTTTTATGAATGACAGAAGATTTCATATAAGATACATACCTGAAATATTACAATCTGTAGTTAGTAATCCCGAACATTGACTCTCTGGACAGGAACTTGGTGAAACAGCCATATCATTCTGCCTGGCACAAGACTCAAACTCGAACCAGCTTACAACATCTCCCTCATTACTAGTGCATTTATCTACGTTACTATAAACATTAATTCCAGTGACAGCCCCTCCAATAGAACCATCTATGTTACCTGCTATCACCCTAAATCTAAACGTAAATAAAAATTCTATCAATATTTTCATGACATAGCAGCATTCATTTCTTGAAAATGCAGTGTTAATAACAATATATATAATTACTGTTTTTAACTAAGATTATAAAATAGCCCTTAAAAGACAAACCCGATAGCATGTACTTATTTATATTAAGTTCAAGCTTCAGATCTTATCAACATTAAAGTAGAAAGAAAATAAAGAAAATTTTATTAGATATTATAAAATTACGAGGATTGTTACTACTAAACCACTCTGCCAGTTCTAATTTACCTGTTTAATTCATTTCCCGAGCCATATCCGTTGCTGGTATGCTTCAATACAGCATCAACATAGACTGCCCATTCACCATCAGCTGACCATGTAAAACAAACCTGATGCCATGATTGGTCAGTTATATCTAGACTGACTACATGTCTCGTGGCTCCCTCTGTTGGCCAGAAGGAAACTACAAGCCTATCTTTCTTGATTGTCAATAATGACTGTTCACTGAAATATTAAGATATCAGATTAACAAGAGCACCGCTAGGCGGAGCATTATATGCCCGAAAGTGTTTTGTTTTTTTAGTAAGGATGAAGCATTTGTAAGACATGGGAATTAGCTGTTCATTCTATAAAATTTTACAGATGTAGGTTGATTAATACTTAAGTTATTAATAATAACCTGAACTTTTGACCTTGTGACCCCAAAATCAATAGGGGTCTTCAACCTTATATGGACAATCATCCTAAGAAGTTTGAATATTGTGGGCCAAATGGAACTTTAGATATGCTCCGGAAACTGTTTTCAATTTTAAGGTAATAGTGACTTTGACCTTGTAACCCCAAAATCAATAGGGGTCTTCTACCCAATATGGACAATCATCCTATGAAGTTTGAATATTGTGGGCCAAATGGAACTTTAGTTATGCTCCGGAAACTGTTTTCAGTTTTAAGGTAATTGTGACCTTGACCTTTGACCTAGTGACCCCAAAATCAATAGGGGTCTTTTGCCCAATATGGACAATCATCCTATGAAGTTTGAATATTGTGGGCCAAATGGAACTTAAGTTATGCTTCGGAAACTGTTTTCAGTATTAAGGTAATTGTGACCTTGACCTTTGACCTAGTGACCCAAAATCAATAGGGGTCTTTTGCCCAATATGGACAATCATCCAATGAAGTTTGAATATTGTGGGCCAAATGGAACTTAAGTTATGCTCCGGAAACTGTTTTCAGTATTAAGGTAATAGTGACCTTGACCTTTGACCTTGTGACCCCAAAATCAATAGGGGTCTTCTACCCAATATGGACAATCATCCTATGAAGTTTGAATATTGTGGGCCAAATGGAACTTAAGTTATGCTCTGGAAACTGTTTTCAGTATCAAGATAATAGTGACCTTGACCTTTGACCTTGTGACCCCAAAATCAATAGGGGTCTTCTACCCAATATTGACAATCATCCTATAAAGTTTGAACATTGTGGGCCAAATGGAACTTAAGTTATGCACCGGAAACCAAATTGCTAACAGACAGAACTGTTTTCAGTTTTAAGGTAATAGTGACCTTGACCTTTGACCTTTGACCCCAAAATCAATAGCGGTCTTCTACTCAATATGGACAATCATCCTATGAAGTTTGAACATTGTGGACCAAATGGAACTTAAGTTATGCTCCGGAAACCAAATTGCTAATGGACAGAAACTGTTCTCAGTTTTAAGGTAATAGTGACCTTGACCTTTGACCTTTTGACCCCAAAATCAATAGGGGTCTTCTGCCTAATATGGACAATCATCCTATGAAGTTTGAACATTGTGGGCCAAATAGAACTTAAGTTATGATCCGGAAACCAAATTGCTAACGGACTGAAAATTGATAACGGACGGAAACTGTTTTCAGTTTTAAGGTAATAGTGACCTTCACCTTTGAAGTGACCTAGTGACCCCAAAATCAATAGGGGTCTTCTGCCCAATATGGACAATCATCCTATGAAGTTTGAACATTGTGGGTCAAATGGAACTTAAGTTATGCTCCGGAAACTGTTTTCAGTATCAAGGTAATAATGACCTTGACCTTTGACCCCAAAATCAATAGGGGTCTTCTACCCAATATGGACAATCATCCTATGAAGTTTGAACATTGTGGGCCAAATGGAACTTAAGTTATGCTCCGGAAACCAAATTACTAACGGACAGAAACTGTTTTCAGTTTTAAGGTAATAGTGACCTTGACCTTTGACCTAGTGACCCCAAAATCAATAGGGGTCTTCTACCCAATATGGACAATCATCCTATGAAGTTTGAACATTGTGGGTCAAATCGAACTTAAGTTATGCTCCGGAAACTGTTTTCAGTATCAAGGTAATAGTGACTTTGACCTTTTGACCCCAAAATCAATAGGGGTCTTCTACCCAATATGGACAATCATCCTATGATGTTTAAACATTGTGGGCCAAATGGAACTTAAGTTATGCTCTGGAAACCAAATTGCTAACGGACAGAAACTGTTTTCAGTTTTAAGGTAATAGTGACCTTGACCTTTGACCTAGTGACCCCAAAATCAATAGGGGTCTTCTACCCAATATGGACAATCATCCTATGAAGTTTGAACATTGTGGGTCAAATGGAACTTAAGTTATGCTCCGGAAACCAAATTGCTAACAGACAGACAGACGGACAGACAGACGGACGCCAGGGGGTATAACATAATATGCCCTTTCGGTGTATCATATGACTAAAGGGCAGACTTTTGTTGAATGTTACACAACAATTATCTATCAGGTGAATTGATGGTCAAGATATGACATAAAATATGTAAAAATCTGCGTAAAAACCAAACACTGAAACAATATATAATTCAGTGCAAAGATGACATGCAGACGATTAATAGTTTCTTTTAAAGTTTTTGTTTCAGTGTTGGGTTTTTACGCAGATTTTTACATATTTTGTCATATCTTGGCCATCAATTCACCTGACTGGTTTCCCTAGATAACTAACAAGTAATAACCAAATTCTCTGCAAGTGATCTACTACTCATTATACATGATTTCTGATAGGTGGTGGGAGATCAACTGTCACAGAGAAATTTTGCCTCCCCAGATCTTCACCCAAGGATCGCACAAGCGACCCCTGGAATACAAATCTGATGCTCTCTCTATTAAGCTAAGCCGGCATACTTTAGAGCTATGCAATATATGTAATGTAAAGGGTTCAATATTTATCTTATCTATTATTCAGCAATTAACAAAAATACCTTGAATGTCTAATTAAATTCAATATTAATATATCTTGAATCAGTAACTCTTTAGAAAAATACAGAAAACATAAAAATCATGGTAACTTACCTATCATCTAGCATCTGTAATATATCCTTACCACCGGGCATGTCACCACCTTCAACAATTTTAAACCAGCAACATATAGTAATAGCTGATACTGCTTTTGTTACCATGTCTGTGCTGCAAGATACTGGTTTATCCAATGTTAATGTCATCTCAAAGTCTGGCGAGTTTTCTGTAAAAATATATACAAGTCTGGTGAGTACTCTTTAAAATTATAAATTGTTTCAGAACTTTCCTGATTACTGAAGCTTCAAGCTTGGTCTTGTACCTTACAAACAAACTGTGAAAATCTCACAGAGAATCATTTCAAGTATCCATCATGAAGTTATAATGTAAATGATAATGTTAACTACCTTCCTGACATCTTGATCCATAAAATCCTGGTAAGCACTGACACCGGACATTTGAATCTTCTTCTATACATTTCCCACCATTCTTACACACAGTGTAATTACATTGTGCCACACTTTTATCACATCTGTCACCATAGTAACCAGATAAACAATGACACACAAATGTCTGACTAGAAACTGTACAAATTCCACCATTCAAGCAAGGACCTGAAGCACATGGGCTGACCTCTGATTCACAGTTTTTACCAGTGTATTCTACAAAGAAAAAATTAGAACATACTCATTAACTGAAATTTTAAAAAAGAAATCTGAATTGATACTGAATAAAGTGACATTCAATTTAATAACCTTCCTAAATTATGTAACTTTGCCATATTCATAAAAAAAAACCTACAAGCAGAATGATAAAAGAATGAAAGATACACACACACATTATAAAGTATAACAATATAAACCATACCTGGTGTGCAGGCACAAAATGCAATTTCATTATGTGATGAACAGGTACCATTGTTCTGGCATGGTAATGACAAACATGGGTTTATAGGTGTATCACACTGTACCCCTGTCCATTCATTCTCACATCTGAAAACAAAGCCTTTTTATTTCTAATGCCAAAATTAGTCACAAAAATTTATCGATTTAAAAAAAAAAAAAAATTGTGAAAAATTTGTTATGGACTCTTTAAATGCTTATTTATAAACCAAAAGTCATACTTATTTTAAAATCAATTATTTGAAAAATAAGCCATAAACATTTTACTTGTTTATTTATGAAAATATGTCAATCATTTTGTCTGCTTATTTTAATTTCAATTCAATTTAAAACATGAAACTTATCTTAAAAAAAATGTTAAAATGACACATACATTGTACATTGTATGCACCGCCCTCCTACCTTTAATGTGTAGTAACAAAAAGTGTATGCCCCTCCCTCCTGCCTTTAATGGGTAGTAAGAATAAGTAACTATTATGAAAGTCACAGAGAAACTGATTATGTACAGTAATAGCAAATGTATATGTTTATGAATAAGGAGAAAAGTACACAATTATCTTTTAAAAATTGTAGGTTTACAACAATTATAACAATCATAGTCATTTCTACAAACAAGATGAATGTGACCTTGACCTTTGGCCCCCTGCTCCCAAAATCAATAGGAGTCATATACTTGCCAAGACCAATGCACCTGTGAAGTTTGAGGGCAAAAGGTTGTCAAGGTACTGGTCCGAAACCGTTTTTATATAAAAGGTCAATGTGACCTTTGTCCTACTGACCCCCAAATCTACAGGTCTTGACCACTTTTCATACCAAGTTTTAAGTTCCTAGGACCAGACATTCTTAACTTATTGATGGAAACAATTTGGTCTTCCGATCGAGCTACCAAGGAACCAACTAACAGACATGTGCAAAGCAACATACCCCCACTTCTTTAATATGGAGCATAATAAATGTTTCAACCTCCATAATATCAAGTTCCCTAAGAAAGAGTTGCACTAAATATGGACAGCTCTCATAAAAATAATCAAGTTCTCTTTTAAAATAATAATTTATAAATCACTTACAAACAAACATAACCCTGCATTTTATCACGACATGTTCCATGTACACATGGTGAGGATATACAGGCGTCGTGTTCCTCGGTACATCTGTCACCTGACCAACCTATCTGACATATACATTTGTACTCATTGACCCCATCCTCACATACACCGCCATTTACACATGGACTGTTGATACATTCATCCAAGTTTGTCTGTAATTTAAACATATAATATTAAAGAAAATTAAATATACATGTACAGTCTAACTTGCCCATGCGACCACGTGTATTAAGCGACTTTTGTCTTAAACGACCACTTTAAATTCCCCCCGATCATTTTCTCTCTATATCTTTAATGTATTAAGCGACTTTTGCTCAACGCGACCAGCGACCGCTAATTAGTCACCTAATTGACATCAATCTTTTCATTGAACGACCACTTTTACCTGTCAAGTAATTGTGTTTTAAGAGAACGCCACCTCGTGTCAGCAATCAAAACACAACAATAAACGTGTGAAAAACTCTATTTCCCATACCGTTTTAGCGTATGCAAATGAAGTTAAGTATACGCGTGACGTGTATTATCCAATAATATCGGATAAACAATGCAACGCTCCGCCCATACTGAGATGGTGTATACGCTTCGCTTGTTGACATTTAGACTGCATTGAATTGACCTTGAACTTGATCAGCCATTAAATTAATCGTAACAAATAGATGTAGTTTGTTTATTTCAAATGAAAAAATGCACAACAGAAAACATCTTCACTAATAGGGGTTTCGTGTTGGAGACAAGGAAAAACAACGGAGAAGTTAAAAAATTCTGGAAAAAATGTCAAACATGTACGTAATGGATCAAAACTGTTTTGTCAATAAATATCGGACCGTTATTTTTACATTTGCATCCGTTTAGATTATCGGACCGTACTTATTATTCAACATTTATATAAAAATGAAGTTGAAAAACAATCCAATCGAATAAAAAAGATGTCATTTATAAATTTTGACTTTTATATCATACTGACTGTCTTAAGAGACCGTTTCATTAAGCGACCGTTTTTGGTGTTTCCCTTGCCCGGTCGCTTAATACACGTTTGACTGTACATGTATATTCATGTAAAGAAACATAATTTTAGAAATCAATCTTTACGATCACTACATTAATTTACTTAGTTAAACAGAAGTAATCTTTTTCCATTGAACAAACTATTTTCTATATTATATATCTATATATATATTATAATATGCATACAAATCTAACTTAATTAAAAGCTATCAATTATAACAATGATAAGTACTTAATCTTCAAAAATTCATTCAGCTATTATCTTTCATTTTTATATTTCTACGATGACTTTTCATTAAAATTTTTTTTTTCAAAGTTCCAGCAATAATCACCTGACAAGTTTCACCAGCAAATCCTGCAGCACAATGACATATGAAACTGTCTCCATGGTTACTACAGGTAGCCCCATTCTCACATGGTTCTGAATCACAATGGTTTATCTCCTCAACACATAGCTTTCCTGTAATGTACATGATTACCTTGTGGCAGTGAGAGAATGAAATGTAAACCATTTAAGAAGTTTAAAATGCTTCAAGATAAAGAAATTCAAATTCTGGGTACAGGTGAAAAATACCATCTTCTACTAAGTGCAGGTAGACAGGGTAGATTTTGTTTGTTTAATTGGGTTTTACGTCACACCCACACAATATAGCGACATTCTAGCTTTCACATGCCCTTCCATGACTTATTTCAGGCACGAACAGGCACCTGAGTTGAACCACCAGTAGATATTTGGAGTTACGAGCCTCTACTCTTTCATGTTGATAGGGGTGGGGCATGGATACTGCACATCACCTTGTTGAAGTTAACACTTGAGTAAAATTTGAAGAAAAGCCTTCAAGGGAATAGGATTTACTGATAAAGAAAAGACACAAAATTGTCTGACCCCTGACCTTATTATGTGACTTTGAGCCAGCACATGGTTGACAAAGGTTCTGCACATGGTCTCGTTGATATTAACATTTGAACCAAGTTTGAAAAAAAACAACCTTTAAAAGGTTAAAGATAATAAATTTAAAGGATGCAGATTGATGGATGAGACAAAGGGATTCCAGTATAACACCCCACCCCCATATATGTTGGGGTATAATAAATTTATAAATTCTGTTCAAAACAATTTTCAATAAACATTATATATCGTAAAAAATTTTTAAGAGTTATTACCTTGCCAACCTGTATCACATATACATTTAAAGCCATAAGCATCATCTATACATTCTAGAGAGTTGTTTTCATTGCAAGGGCTACTGTCACAATGGCGAACAATTTTCTCTTCACATATTTCCCCTGTGAAACCTAAAATGATATTATACACAAACCTCTAATCAACACAATATATAACAACGTAATAACATTTATCTGAAAACCATGAAAAAAATGAATAAATAATTAAAAAAACAACAACAGTAATACAGACAAATCTTTCTTAAAACCGAAAGGCTATAATGGCTCTGAGCAAATTGTACACTTGACTTTTAACTCATTGGTCTTTGAATATTTGAAACTGAGGAGAATTGTCTTTTAAGTCTTAGTTCAGGTGACAGACTGCCATCTCATTCAACAGACTGTAAACATTTCATAAATTTTTGTACCAGACCACCCAAGGATAATTGATTAATTCTTATTGAAATAAAAAAAAAAAACACACGTTCAAACAGCTAAGAAATTGTTATTTAAAGTTTATTTCTTCTTATAACAAGCATCAAACAAACAATAAAGTTTTAGAGTAAGTAAAAAAATATTACTATCAGAATTAAACAACTCACCTTCATGACAACTACATGTTATTCCATTCTTGCTTTGGAAACAATAACCATGGTAACTACAATGACTCTCATCACAATGTAATTTAACTGAACAGTCTTCACCAGTATAACTTGTCTGAATAAAATATTAAACAAAATTTTATGTTTCATATATTTGTATCATAACTTTAAGCTCAGATTTGAAACCACTATTTACAAGTGAAGAAAGTCCTTCTGGTTTCAAGAATTAATATTTTTAATATGTTGAGGTAAAAAACAATATCTGTTTAATGTTTCTACATGTAGTATACTTTCCAGCAAAAAGGTCATCACTGGTAGGTAGCTTCTTCTTTTCCTTATCAAAGACAATACAGTTCTTTAAATATCATTAAAGTCTATGTTAGTATACAATAAAACTTAAGTGTTTGTCCAACATTTTAGGCCTATGAGAAAAGAAAATATCTTTTAGGGATTTCAGGATACATTTCTCACCAAGAAAGATAATAAAGTATGTACATGTATTATACAGTTTTGTTTAACTTACATTACAGACACAGACAATGTTTGGTAGACTGGAAACACAAACACCATTGTTACTACAGACATCATCACTACATGTAGATATCTCCTCTTCACAAAATTCACCACTATACTCTGAAAATACAAATAACCTTATGACCTTTAGAAGAAATAAAGAAACGTCTATGCCACAAGTAAAGAGTGAGATACATGTTGACTAATATAATTCTACAGTATGGCCAGTTACAAGTTTTCATGATGAACCACCTAAAAGTAACAAAAGACAGTTTCTAAAATTTAAAGCAGGTCAAGTCTACTTCTTAACTTAAGTATTGACACTATGGTAAAATTTCTGATCATGCCTATTTTTATATGAGAGTCTACATAAGTACCTGTGTTAAAAGTTATTTCTGTACTGATAACAAATATCTGATTTCATTCTTAAGCACTAACAAGCTTGTCAACATTATTCAATTAAAATGTATTAAACATATATACAGTCTAACTTGCCCATGCAACCACGTGTATTAAGCGACTTTTGTCTTAAACGACCACTTTAAATTCCCCCCGATCATTTTCTCTCTATATCTTTAATGTATTAAGCGACTTTTGCTCAACGCGACCAGCGACCGCTAATTAGTCACCTAATTGACATCAATCTTTTCATTAAACGACCACTTTTACCTGTCAAGTAATTGTGTTTTTAGAGAACGCCACCTCGTTATGTCACAAGTGTCAACAATCAAAACACAACAATAAACGTGAGAAAAACTCTATTTCCCATACCGTTTTAGCGTATGCAAATGAAGTTAAGAATACGCGTGACGTGTATTATCCAATAATATCGGATAAACAATGCAACGCTCCGCCCATACTGAGATGGTGTATACGCTTCGCTTGTTGACATTTAGACTGCATTGAATTGACCTTGAACTTGATCAGCCATTAAATTTATCGTAACAAATAAATGTAGTTTGTTTATTTCAAATGAAAAAAATGTACTACAGAAAACATATTCACTAATAGGGTTTTCGTGTTGGAGACAAGGAAAAACAACGGAGAAGTTAAAAAATTCTGGAAAAAATGTCAAACATGTACGGAATGGATCTTGAAACTGTTTTGTCAATAAATATCAGAAAGTTATTTTTTACATTTGCATCCATTTATATTACCTTTTTTCAACATTTATATAAAAATGAAGTTGAAAAACCATCCCATCGAATAAAAAAGATGTCATTTATAAATTTTGACTTTTATATCATGCTGACTGTCTTAAGAGACCGTTTCATTAAGCGAACGTTTTGGGAGTTTCCCTTGCCCGGTCGCTTAATACACGTTTGACTGTACCTTATTAAAATTGTTTGAATACTTAAATGCCTATGATCTTTGTTCTAATCAAGAACATTAAAGAACTACTTAAAATACCAAGCCAGAGTGAATAAAAATTTCAAAGTTGATATATTACCTTCTGAACAGTTGCAAGTAAATCCATTGTCCACTTCAATACATTCACCTCCATTCAAACAGTTGCTATGGTTACAATAATTTATCTTGTGTTCACAGTATTCTCCAAAATAACCAGTATCCTTTCGAAAAAAAGCCAAGATTAATAAATCATCAAAATTGTCCATACATTTGTATTTTAATAAAATCATAATATATAACCAGTTAAAACAAGCCTTTACTTATTTTAACAAAGAACTGTTCTTTGCTTAAGAACCAAATTAAACAAATAGATGTGCCTACAACAAGATGTTATTCTAAAGATTTTACAAATGCATATTGTTTGAGTGGCATAACTATTAAGTTTATTCATTGTTAAACTAACTTCGTATTGCCACTGTCTTGTACATGTAAATTCACTAAATAAATTTTACCAACAGATAGGTATTCTCTTATGAAACAAGTACTTATTAAGAAAGAACATCGAAAAACGAGGCTATCTGATTTGTACCAGGGGGCCTAGCCCCCGAGCATTAATCAGATTGCAGTGTTTTGATGTTATTTCTCTTTTGCATTATAATCAAAAATAAAAACACATTCCCTGTTGTCACAATATGAAACCCCAGAAAAAAAAGTAACCAATGAACAGGCATCTGAATATGATAATTTTATCGCTTCCCCTTTCCCTGCTAAAACAATAAGCAAACCCCAGCAAAAATGAGCCAATCAGTGGGCATGCTCTGGAGTTCAGGTAACTATTACCTGCACTCCAGTTAATGCACTGTGCATGTATATGTATACAATTTAACTCTGACATATTTTCAACAAAAAGGTCCCCTACTATGATACAATAGATTGCTTATGTTCCAAAAGTTGGTGTGTGCCCCAAAATCTTGAAAATGAAAACAAATTGGATTAAATGAGAGAACATGTATAAATTTTACTTACTGTACAGTTACAGATATATGAGTTAATCATATCATGACACACACCTCCATTCTGACATTTGTTGTCTATACAATCATCAATGTTCTCCGAACAACTGTAATATATTACAACATTTCAATAGAAATACTCCAGAAATCTGCAAATGTAGACACCCCATCTTATCCATGCGTATAAATCAACTTTTACAGTTAAAACTTGAACCACAATGATGGATTATCGTATTGTGACCAGCAGTGCACATGGAAGCTATAATGGTTGTTTGTATGGAAAAACCCACATTTGCCACGTTCTAGATAAGACATTCTTACTCAAAGAAATTCAATAGAAATTCATGGGAATATTATATTACTTTTTAAACAATTGTTAACTAAACACTGTTTTGTGTGCTCGGTTTTAAGTTGGTAGGTTAAAAAAGTTAATAATAAATTTACTCTTTTCCAGTAAATCCTGCATAGCAATAACATGTTGTTTGTTTATCAACCTGGTTAAAGACACAATTGCCATAGTTACAAGGGTCATCAGTACAGGGGTCAACAGGAAGCTCACACTGGTCACCTGTATAACCTAGATAAAAATGATTGCCATAAGAGTTTTTTTTATTAATTTTTATTATTTCCTTTTAATTTTACAATAATATTTTGTGCAAATTTTAGTTAAAAAAGTTAATAGATCTACTGCTGACAACAAAAATGTTTTCATACAACTGAAGTTTCAACTTCTTATTATTTGCATAAGCAATACATATAACAAACCACAAATATTTCATTCTGAATATTATTTTAAAATAAGACTCAAGTTTTTAAAAAAATTACTTAGCATGCAATACCTGAATCAAAGTTTTTTTTAGATTTTATTCAGTAACTCAGAGAAAGTAATATACCTTCAGTACAATGACAATAGTAAGATCCACCTATATCTGAACATTTCCCAGAATGTTGACAAGGTGAACTGGAGCACTTTCCCTTCACACAGTTACTCTCTATAAAATGACAAGTTATAATCATGTGAACTGTGAAATATAAACAATATCTTAAATAAAGTTTAACAAAACAAGAGGGCCATGATGGCCCTAGATCGCTCACCTGACTTATCAAACTCATCCAAACAATTACCTAGACAAGCATTCTGACCAAGTCTCATGACAGGTGAGTCAAAAATGTGACCACTACAGTGTTAACAAGGATTATCCATATTTGAGCAGTGCGACCTAGTTTTTTACCCAGGTGACACATATTCAAACTTGACCTAGAAATCATCAAAACAAACTTTCAAACCAATTTCCAGGATACTTGGATCAAAACAGTAGCAACTACAGTGTTAACAAGATTTTTCTATTTATAGCTCCGGTGACCTAGTTTCACATGTGATTTCGAACTCCTCCAAGCAATTACCTAGACAAGCATCCTGACCAAGTTTGATGATAATTGAGTTGAAAATGTGACCACTAGAATGTTAGAATGAACAGAATATTTGGATCACAACAGTTAAGAGGGTTAACAAGATTTTTCTATTTTTAGCTCCTGTGACCTAGTTTTTCATCTAAGATGACCCATGTTCGATTTATTCCCAGCAATGACCTAAAAGACAAGTTTCCTGACCAAGTTTGATGACAATTGAGTCAAAATTGTGACCACTAGAGTGTTAACAAGGTTTTTCTATTTTTAGCTCCGGTGACCTAGTTTTTCATCCGAGATGACCCATGTTCAAACTCATCCAAGCTATCACCTAGACAAGCATTTTGACCAAGTTTGATGATGATTGATGCAAAAATGTGACCGCTAGGGTGTTACATGTAACAAGGTTTTTCTATTTTTAGCTCCGGTGACCTAGTTTCTCATCCGAGATGACCCATGTTCATACTCATCCGAGCTATCAACTAGATAAGCATCCTCACCAAGTTTGATGATGATTGAGGCAAAATTGTGACCTCTAGAGTGTTAACATGGTTTTTCTATTTTTAGCTCTGGTGACCTAGTTTTTCATCCGAGATGACCCATGTTCGAACTCATCCGAGCTTTCACTTAGACAAGCATCTTGACCAAGTTTGATGATGACTGATGCAAAAATGTGACTGCTAGAGTGTTAACAAGGTTTTTATATTTTTAGCTCCGGTGACCTACTTTTTCATCCGAGATGACCCATGTTCGAACTCATCTCAGCTATCAACTAGATAAGCATCCTGACCAAGTTTGATGATGATTGATGCAAAAATGTGACCGCTAGAGTGTTAACAAGGTTTTTCTATTTTTAGCTCCGGTGACCTACTTTTTCATCCGAGATGACCCATGTTCGAACTCATCCGATTCATCCGAGCTATCACCTAGACAAACATCCTGACCAAGTTTGATGATGATTGATGCAAAAATGTGACCGCTAGAGTGTTAACAAGGTTTTTCTATTTTTAGCTCCTGTGACCTACTTTTTCATCCGAGATGACCCATGTTAGAACTCATCCGAGCTATCACCTAGACAAACATCCTGACCAAGTTTGATGATGATTGAGGAAAAAATGTGACCTCTAGAGTGTTAACAAGGTTTTCCTATTTTTAGCTCTTGTGACCTAGTTTCTCATCCGAGATGACCCATGTTCGAACTCATCCGAGCTATCAACTAGATAAGCATCCTGACCAAGTTTGATGATGATTGAGGCAAAAATGTGACCGCTAGAGTGTTAACAACTAAATGTGAACGGACGACGGACGGACGGACGACGGACAATCATCGATCCTAAAAGCTCACTCTGAGCATGCTCAGGTGAGTTAAAAAAAAACATCCAATTCCTCTTTTGTGAAATGAACTTTAATGCTAAACTACAAAAAGAGAGAATAATAGTTAAAACTTTCAAATTAATTAAAATCAGCTCCTTAGTTCAACTAAACACTTGTCTACTACCACCAACTTATGATAAAAAAATCATTTTAAACTGATTAAATAACAAGAGCTGTCGGTAGGACAGCAACGCTCGACTATTCTTAGTGCTTGAAAGTAAAAAAAGCCTTCATTAAAAAGTAAATTTTCTAAATAAAGAAAAAGGCAAAATTTTTCTTTAAATCCATATTACAGTTTTAGGCCTTGGAGAGAGTCCTGCTATGCTCTCAAAAAAGAGTATAAAATTTCAAAATGTTTCGAAGCCTTTATAATGTCAATGAACTTTGAAAATATTTGAGGTATTACAAAAACTTTAACGTAAATTCTTAGTCGAAAAAGGGACATAATTCTGTCAAAATGCTTGATAGAGTTACCTCCTCCTGTCTACAAGTTGGGGTCATGATGGTGAACAAGTGTGCAAAGTTTCAAAGCCATATGTCAATTGACTGAAAATATTTGAACTATTACAAAAACTTTAACGTAAATTCTAAGTCAAAACTAGGGAAATACATTTCATTACAATTCTTAATCTTTGAATGAGCTGAACTGATATTTACTTGAAAATTAAAATATAATTAAATTTCTATGAGAAAGTATTTACATTTGATAAGGTAATTACTGTATGATCTTTATGAACAAATACCAAGTCTACAGAACACCATAGTTATCACAGTTAAGAATCTTGACCAATGAATGAAACATGATTGTGTAAATAAATGTTACATTCTTTAGAACATACTCAAGTCCAAGAAAGAGGATTATTTCATGCCCTTTGATTAAATTCTATTTTTAGAATTGAAAGTGAAAATAGATCAAGGGGAGTAATTGTGTAAGTCATTTATGAACAAAGTAATAACTTTGTTGTCTCCCTTTGATTAAATTCTATTTACAAAATCTGCATATTTCATCATCTTTAGTGACCTTGACCTTGTATATATTGACCTAAATTATATGTATCACAGCCATAGTCTTGATAATGACCATTTGTGTTACAATCCCTCAATAAATGATGACTAAATGGTCCATATACACATCTTCATATTTTTATCTGAACTTTGACCTCTATGTGTGACCTTGACCTTGGCCGCAAGGACCTGAATCTTGCACGCGACACTCCGCCTCACAATGGTGAACATTTGTGCCAAGTAATATTGAAATCCCTCTATACATGTGGAAGTTTTGCTCCGGACAAGCATTTTTCAATGAGCTCTAAGTGTGACCTTGACCTTTGACCTAGAGACCTGGTTCATGTGCGCGACACTGCTCCTCATAGTGGTGAACATTTATATGAAGTTTCATTAAAATCCCTCCATACATGTAGGAGATATGCTCCGGACAAAATTGGACGCCGCCCGCCCGCCCGCCAGGGGCGTTCCCATAATACGTCCCGTTTTTCAAACGGGCGTATAAAAAGGGGCATAATTCTGTCAAAATGCTTGATAGAGTTACCTCCTCCTGTCTACAGGTTGGGGTCATGATGGTGAACAAGTGTGCAAAGTTTCAAAGCCATATGTCAATGGACTTTGAAAATATTTGAACTATTACAAAAACTTTAACGTAAATTCTAAGTCGAAAAAGGGGCATAATTCTGTCAAAATGCTTGATAGAGTTACCTCCTCCTGTCTACAGGTTGAGGTCATGATGGTGAACAAGTGTGCAAAGTTTCAAAGCCATATGTCAATGGACTCTGAAAATATTTGAACTATTACAAAAACTTTAACATAAATTCTAAGTTGAAAGGGGGCATAATTCTGTCAAAATGCTTGATAGAGTTACCTCCTCCTGTCTACAGGTTGAGGTCATGATTGTGAACAAGTGTGCAAAGTTTCAAAGCCATATGTCCATGGACTCTGAAAATATTTGAACTATTACAAATACTTTAACATAAAAGGTTACGCCAACACGGACGCCGACGCTTCGGTGACTACAATAGCTCTACTTATTCTTATAGAATAGTCGAGCTAAAAATTGTAAATCTTTCCACCTGCCTGTTGGATAATTTAACATTGAAATTCTCTATTGTCAACTTACCACTACAGTCGAGTATAGATTTAGACCCATTACCAGAGGTACACATTCCTGTCGGACAATGTTCACAACTTTTCTGGGTATCCTCTGACTGGTAGGTATTTACTGGACAGCTGTGGCATGGTGCCAAACCAGTAGTGGAGAAAGTACCTGCATCACATATTACTAAAACAGAAAATTTAAATGCAAAACTTGTATTACATTTATCCTAAGTAGGTTCCTCTCACTCATGTGTAACACAGAATCATTCATAATGTCAATAAGTTTATGTCTATTATCTCTGCTAAACTTACACTGTTTCATTGTTGAAACTATCTTAAGTAGTTAAAAGGATTTTAATATCCAGTGGAGCAGCCAACTCTACACTGGTGGCATATACCTGTTATTATAGCTGCTAGCAATATAATAATTTGAATATCATATAAACCTAGCAAAGTCTTACTTACCAAGGCGGATATATCAAAGAGTTAGGGTGACAAAAATAGTCCCGAAATAGTTCATTTGCAATTTAACAACATAAAGTACTTAATTGCATATGCCTTAACATATTAATATTCAGATTATTCACAAAAAAGAGTTACAGAATCATTATGCAGGGCAATTCCATGATACATTTTAGACACAACAGTAAATGTGTAGAAAAAAAGTATAACAAACCTTTACAGTCAGACTGGTTTCTAGAATGTGTATGTTCTGTTGATTTGTTTTCAGGACAAAGCACACATGAAGTTTGTGACAGACTGTCACGATAACTTCCAACTACACAAGGTAGACACACATCTGTCCTAGCTTCCATTCCTAGTGGACACGGCCCTGTCAAATAAAATCCCTTCTTTTGTATCAAAAAGACAAATGATATTTAATCTAAACAATACAGAAACAAAAACATGATTATGTCCTATTCAAAATAATGTTTAATGGGAATGGTGGCCTAGAAGTTAAGATGTCTGTCTCCCAACCATGGGATGGTTGGTTTAAGCCCACCAGCACATTTCCTCATATGACACCAATACTGGAAGCAGACAAGCTAAACTACCAGCTTTCTTCCCTACCGTGCTTACAAAAGTAAAATTCAAACTAAAACTGTATCTTTATAGTATGAATATTATTCAAATCATTCAATTTCTCTGTATTTAAGTACATGTTTTAAATACATATCAAGACATGATTAATTTATTTTTAAAACCCTACAAGATTTTTTCATTCAAAATCTAATATTTGTAAATTTGAACTTACAACACAAGTCATCAGCTTTTGGGTCAACTGACCGGACTCGATATCTGGGACAGAGATGATCTGTTTGGTTATTATGTAACATTGGGTCCACTAATTTTGCAGCTTTGTTACAATTGTTCACCAACTGTAGGTTATTAAGTACAGTAAGATCAGTCAGCCTAGGACAGGTATCTTGTGATGATCGACGGGTACCCGTGAGATTGAACAATGAATGAATGAGAATCTGAAAACAAATAATTGTGTATAAAACTGTGCATATATAAATAAAATTAACACAATCATTTAATCATAATCTGAAAAGTTTTGCCAAGAAATTACAATATCTACTTATTTCCAGTCTGAAAATCTTTGTGATATTTTATCTTATATTCTAGCACATGCAGTGATACTAAGAGAAGAAACATGCATTAATGCATCAAAGAACTTGACCATATGCAATAATGGTATATCTTTAAATATGCTTTATTCAGGGCACTTTGTAAATATGAGTATGACTGCAGTATGACTTAATGATTCTAGTCACTTTGTAATCAAAACAAAATTGTCAAATAACTAAATATTTCTGTGTTAAAAACTGGTCTATCTATATGAAAAACAAACAAAAAATGACTGAACATGAAATTACCAAATGAAAATGCAAGAATAGCACTTATGCACATTTTTTGTGCATTAACATCTGCAGAGACACTGAATTCCCCAGTATAAAATACATCAAAGTGCCTCTGCAGATGTTAATGCATGAAAAATGGTGCATTGACCCGCTATTATTATTAGTATATTAAAGAGCCATTCAACCTTTGATATAAAATGAGTCTTGTTTTTAACATGAATATTATGTGGCACTGATGGGTATTCTGAAACAATAAATAAAGGCACTATCATGAAAGAGTGTGACAGCTGGAAAGTTTGAAGGACAATTGGGCATTAATGTGCTTTCAAAAGAATTTTTACAGGTGGCATATAAAGGTAGTATAGAAAGATTTAAATGCAATACCAACCTCTCCATTAACATTACTGGACACAATCTTAATCACTGAAACTTTAGCAGTGTTGTTTGCTAGTTTTTTGTTGAGTGCATCTTCCACAGCAGACGTAAATTCACAATTACACTGTATACCCACGCATTCATCTGCCACTAAAGTCCAGGTAACATTGTATTTCCATATAGGGCATTCACTATAGCCTGCAAACATACAAGGCGAAGAGCAATTTGAATCAAAATGCACACACCATGATAATATGTAAAAACATTTTAATATAAGAAAAAATGCCTAGTACAATAAACTAACCTTATATGAGAATAGTTTATTTAATGCATGTTACTATTTAATTGAAATGAATAAAATTTTACTCAAAATAAATCCTCATAAAAGTCAACCAGTTGAATGAATAAACTATTCACATATTATTCAAAATATTTAGGATATCTTTAATTATATCAACTTCTTTAGAAAATACCAAGTGACTTTCTTTTGAAACAACATTATAAATCCTTAAACATTATTGTATTTTTTTCATCATGATCTTGAAGGTTGATGGCTGACAATTTTGGATAAAAGGGATTTAAATACAAAATATGATTTACAAAGAAATAAGCTGTAGTATAAAGCCATTTCATAAAGTAGACCTGCAAACAGACAGCATAAAAGTGTAGACTGGTCTTGGCTATATTGGTGGCATTGGCAGTTAACACTGGTAAAAGTTAGAAATATTACTAGAAGATACATTGTGTAAGAAATTACCATCTAGGACACAGTCTGGTATAAAGTATGATGGAGTCCATGTTCCATTTCCTGTACATATATATTGATCAACTGGTTGTTGTATAAACACTGAGTTATCTTTACACGTTGCTACGCACATCTCCACCAGTTCATGCTGTTTACATGACAGTTGGACACTTGGTGGTACATGAAGCCTAGGACATCCAGTCTCCACTGATAATAACAAGAATAACAAGCAATTATCAAAGTATTGAAAGCAATACAAAAGTTCCCTAGAGGTTAGAACCACACAAGAAGTTTGTCGGCAACATCCTGAAGCGCCACAGTCTTTCAATTATGCCATTGTAAAAGCCATGAATTAATTATTTTGAATTCTGAGGTAAACCTTCTGGGTTTTTCTGTATTATTGTAATGTGTTCAGCTTTCCTGCCTAATATGGAAATTATGTTTATGCAACAGATAATTAAAACATCAGAATTTTCTCAGTATAACTAACATTACTCTGCTTTATTTTATATTTACTCTGTAAATTGTATGAAAAGTTCAAAAGTACTTTTTGTAAGTGATTTCTGACTGTAGGGGACTAATAAAATTTTACCATTTTCAAATACATGTTTACTGTGAAAGCTCCTTGTAACACTGGAGTCTACTGTGAAATTATCTGATATTTAGGGGTTTAAGTTTACTGGATAGTATGTTTAAATAAAAAAGTACATGTATTTATCTAAGTCAAAGTAAAAGTAGAAATTGCCTAAAAACAAGGAGGATATAAAATCCTTTTGATATAACCTTCATTACAACATTATGATGGGGACAATACATGTAGGTAAATTTTGTGTGAAACAAAACTAATATTAAAGCTATTCACAAATCTATATAATACTTACACGCAACCTGTACAGTAATCTTACAGGTGGCCGAGTTCAACATACTGTCAGTAGCTGTCACTGTTAGTACTGTATCCTGAAATAGTTAAATAATACCCTAAATTAATTCATCACACACTACCAATATTCTAACAAGGGTTACACAGGAACACACAGGAAAAAACATAAAAATTGAATTTGTTCAAAGTCATGACTAAACTAACTTATAATTATGACTTACATTTTTTCTAGTTTTGTTTGGACTTTTTTCTTTCTATGCCTAAAACTTGGATAAAACACTGTAGTAAATATTCTGACAGATTTTTACTACAAATACATTTCCATAATAGCCTTTGAATTGATATTCAAAAGTAATAGTTTAAAGTTACACTAATTTACCTCTATAAAAATGTCTTGAATGTTCATCTCATAATTGTAAAACTTCCTTAATTTTTCATTTCACCACCAAAAACAACAATACTATGGCCTGAACATCACATTTTAGCTTATAGCCGAACAGTAAATAAATCTGATTGAAAATATATAATTAAAACCTATCAGTAAATCATACCTCAGTAACCTCAAAGTAAGGCCATGTAAAGTCAGGCTCTACGGTAATGACCGGTTCCATGCCCGAGTTGTCAGTGGCAACAGGTAACTTTATTGTTACAAGCACAGGTAATATAGAACCAGTCACTTTTATCGGCTCCTTAGGACAGTCACTGAATACTGGATTCTCCATATCTAAACATATAAATCAAGCTTTTGTAAAACTGTACAATTATATCAATTTAAAAAGTTATTTTTTTCTCAAACAGCAGTTCAAATTCTTATGATCATCTTACATTAATATTGTTTTTTAAAAAATTCTAAGAAATAACAATGTGCATGTTGCATCTTTGTATCTTTACAATTATGTCAAGTATAATAACAAAATCTGATATACATAAATACAGTTAATTTAGACTAGAAATAGAATTGAAAGATCAAGTGATCTTACTAGAAGCTTACGGATAATTCCAGCCAGGTTACACATATAGACTAGCAATAGTCTGTTCTAAGATAACAGTGTGGTAAACATACTACAGTGCATATTCTAAACTTTTGTGTCATAACAAACTTTCATAATCACAAACCTAAGTTACAAGGTAATAACTGTTTAATACTTAGTTACAAGTAAAAATGAAATCTTTTTACCTATACATTTTGGTACAGTTCCATTCCATTTCCCCAATGACCCCTCCTGAAAAATTGACCTCTTCTTTATTCTCTTTTCATGCTCTTCTCTATTTGCATCTTTTAAGTACAAAGATTCTCTTACATTACTCTTGCCATTATCCACTGTATTTTCTTCAGCATCATATACAAAATTTGATCCACTTGATCGTTTTCTTCGACCTTTGTCGTTTCCTGGTTTTTCAAAATTCAGCAAGTCAACATCTCTGTTGCATCTCTTCTCATCACAACAGTATATACATCGGGCATTATTAGAAGTTACGCTACAAGTTGAAGAACCTTGGTTTAACTCACAAACACTTCTTTCCTGACATGATTTAGAGATGGATTTTAATTGTTTTCCACTATAATCAACCTGTGTCTGACAAACAGCCTGTAAATAATGTTGTTTATATATCAGTTCAAAATAAAGATATAAATTTGGGTGTTAATATTCTAGTTCAGTTAAGCTCTATATGAAGAACAGAACACGACGCTATTCTAAATGTTATCAACAACAAGGTTAGTGTATTTGATGTTATTGTAATTGTATTTGTCAATACTTGAAGACATAGTAACAAACATAGTTTTCAGTCTCTTCACTGAAATAAAGACTTTCTAAAATGACTAAGTTTTTTTTAACTTAGTTTTATAAGCTACCTGCTTTAATATGTTAACTTTTTTATCTTATTTATCAGTTAAAATAAACAATCGTATAATATATGCATTTTTGTAAAATTTTGTTTAAACTCATCCAAGTGAAATGGAATGAAGGGTATTTTTTTTGTTCTTATATTTTATTTGCAATTGATATCCATGGCCCCATATTTGGTTTAAACAGGTTGAAGTCTATTCTTTCCTTCATTTTACTTATTGTAAGATAATCCCTCAGCCTAATCTAGTTGTTGGGACGGATAAATAAAACATGCTTAATACATCCCTTCAAGCTTTATAATATCTAAAAACTTACTCAGCTGCCCACTCATGACTGAAATAATGCAAAAAAAGGAACCTGAGATCTTTCTCCACCAATACAGCTAGAAAGGCGCCTTATAACCTTTTATAGTGTTGGTGAGAATTAAAATCCAAGAAACAAACTAGCATTTAACTTACATCTTCCTTAACACAATTCTCAAATGTTGTATTACAGGCATGGTTACTGGCACCATATGAGCATGTGTAACATTCCAACTTCTCTAGTGGTTTTGTTGTTGTTGTGGTGGTGGTCACTGTTGTTGTTGTAATCTCTGGTACAGCTGTAAGTTTTAGTTTCAAATAAAGTTAGGTCATACTATAACAAATAATAACTAAAGAGTCATATTGGTCACCATTAGATCCTGTTGCTCTACTGGTGTATAGCATAGCTAAGATAATATAGAAAATTTATTTGAAATCTGATGTATGTCACTAGTTGTCCTAAGCAGGCATTTTTTTCAGCTCCTTACTATTTGATACATTCATACAATCAAATCAACCACTTGTAAAATATGGCTCAAAAATGGCAATTTTCTTTTAAAAAAAATACAATTCTAAGAATCTAATCTGGGTCTCTCTTATGTTTTAATCAGCAAGTGATAATTAACCCTTTGCCTCCTGGGGACCTAAATGACCTGGACCTAAATGACCAGTGCAGATCAAGATTAACTGGAACATCTGTGCTGTTTGATCATTGGTCAACACTGTTTGCTATTCAGTCAGTACTAGTATATACATTGCATTTGTAATTTTTCCCTCAAAGTGATGAATGATTTTGTCAAGATTAAAAGATGGCCGAGTTCATTTAAAATACAAAGTTTATTTATTTAGCATTGTAATGGTTAAATGTAACCTATTAATTTAAAACTGTAGTTCAAGTCCTTTGTTTGAATAAAAATAAAATGAAAAAATAAATAAGCACTGAACAACTAAAAACATTGTTTCAAAAAAATATAAATAAATAAAATAAACACTCAAACAACATAGAACATTAAGCTGGGGGAAGCAAATACTTTTTATAGCAATTTTTGCCAAGCTTAGAGCATAGTTTTGCATGACTGTACCAAATACTTCACAAAAGTAGTATTTTTGTCTTATTTCAAATTCATTTTTGATATAATATACTCAAAAGCATGGTGATCAAAGCCACTGTGATAGATATATACTAAGAATAGTTTCAAATACTGACTCAAAGATAAGAAGTCTGAGTTAGGTGTAGCTGTATCAAGAAATATGCATATATATTTTGTAAATACAAAACTGGACAGTGAAACTTAGCTTAAGCAAAGGATAAATATAGGTGCACTAGTATTGACTTACATGGTGTAATATAGACAAGAGGGCCATGATGGCCCTTTTATTGCTCACCTGATTATCAAGGCTCACAATGGTAAAGAACAATTAATATTGTTAAGTATAAACAAGAAGCAGATATAATGTTTTAAACTCAAACTGATATCACAATGCTCAATCCTGCAGCTGAAATAGTGCAAATGTAAACAATGTTTTTCCATATTTGGCTTGTGTTACCTAGTTTTCGACCCCAGATGAACCATATTCAAACTTGAACTAGAAATCAAACTTTCTAACAAATTTCCAGAATTTTTGGGCAAAAATGTAACCTCTAGGTTAGATGATTAATATTCAAACTTGGGCATGAAATCATCTAAACAACCTTTCTGACAAATTTCCACGTAATTTGGGCTGAATATTGTCCTTCTAGAGTTTCAACAGTTTTCCATATTTGGGCTGTGTGACCTAATTTTTGACACCAGATGACCTACATTCAATCATTAGTTAGAAAACGCCTGAAGAGCCTTTTTGACAAATTTCCAGAATATCTGGACTGAAATTGTAGCCTCTAAAGTGTTCACAAGAATTTTCTATGTTTGGGTCCTCTGACCTTGTTTTTATCCCTTATTTGAATGTGCCACTAATAACTGGGACAAACATTCTAACCAGATCCTATGACAATTAAGACAAAAATGTGACCACAAGAGAGTTAAAGAAGTAAATATAGACGGATAACAGACATTCATGGATCCTAAAAGCTCATCCTGAGCCAGCTCAGTTGAGCTAGATAATATAACCATTAAATATACAAAATTCTGTCAGCTGCTGAAAATGGAATGGATATTATGATACAATTAAAATTAATAAAAAACTTCAAATTTAATTTAATTAAATTGCAGGTAATTTGTATCAAGGAAAATTTAAATGATGTGGCATGAGTCTTAATATCACTCCCTTGCCTGTGATACTGAATTGCCTACATTATCAGCACAGTCACTAAATAGTGCTCACTGGTCAAATTTAGTTTGACCCGTAAAAGGGAATGCAGCTTTCCATACATATTTATTCATTCTTTTATTCAAATTAAACATATTCAGTAAGAATTTCATGGATTTCAATATATTTCTAAGATAAAAATATTTTACCAAAGATGAGCATAGTATATCTTTAATATTGAAATGATGGAAAGTTAGTTATTTATTCAAAGGGAACCAAATTCAATACACTGATTTAACAGTGTAAATGTTAAATAGCAAATGCTGATACTGCAATTTGGCGGAGAAAGACAAACTTCCTAGTGTTCAATAAATTGTATATAAAGTTATAAGCTCTTTATAGTTGACTTCTTACTATGAGAAATTTTCATGGGACTAAGCATGACTGTGATGAATATCAAGAAGCAATTCATAAACCAGTAGTTTGGCAGTACAAAAGCATGTGGACCAATAATACAAAACTAGGTAATGTACAATATTAAATGAGGGTCTACACATGTATACATTGTTTTTAAAAAAATTGTTTTGCTGCTAATTAAGCTTGTTTTTATCTTCTGCCCTTTCAACTATTTAACATCATGACTCCCTCTGGCAACATAGCCAATGCCATTACACATATACCTGATGTCAACTCTGGTGTAGTCGTAACTTGCTCACATACACCACTAGGGCCTTTTGTCCATCCTTCTGTACACTCCACTGACACATGGTATGATTTTAATGTAATTCCAAGTGTAGATATTGGCCTACAATCTGTACCTAGTGAATCACCATTCAAAGTTTGAATTTCAGTTACCCCTAGAAGGCATACAACTTGTTGAAGATCATCATCTTGTAGGATAGAGGATGCACAGGGTCCCAACTGATTGACACCAACATCATAGCCAGCCATTGTTGCCATAGAAACAACTGATATAAACTCCACCTGGTAACATTAGTGCATATATTGTATTAAGGGTTCATGAATCATTTTTAGAAGTACAAGTATATTGTATTACAATTTTCTGAATTTTCATTAAACTTCGCAGTTTGCTAATTATGACTTTGTGATCTCAAAATCAATGGGGTTATCTACTACTCATGACCAACCTGAAGACTATTTGCCAAAGTGTTTTCTAGTTATTAGTTAGATAAACATTAAGTAGTCAAGGTCGATGTGACCTTAACTTTTGATTTACAGCCCTCAAAATCAACAGAGATCATTTACTTATTATGAAAGTTGTTCTTTGTTACAGTTTAGGTGCAAAGTATTTTGTAATTCAGGGTGCAATAATTGTTAAATGTCATCTTTTCTGAATATTCACATAATAATTATATCATCTTTGCATACCTATATATTTCAAAATTAATCAAAAACAATTCAATTTACAAAATCTATGAGGATATAAATTGACTTGTGAGTAGAAACTGATCTGTCTGGCAGACTGGGAAATTTGGTATAAAGAACTAACCTTGTTTGCTGAGAATGCCTCTACTGTAAAGCTTAATTTCAGGTAAATGCCAACACAATTTTCTTTCCAGCTGTCCATACTATTGATGTAAAGCTCCCGGTCAGGTAAAATATTTGCTAGCCATGCATTATACCCAGTAATGCAGACATTATTATTTGTTTGGCAATCCATTTGTTGTTTCCACCAGACTTTCATCTGTTCCTTTGAAAAATCTAAATCTGGTTGTGCAAAAATTTCTTCCCCAGCAAGTTTAGCATTACATTCAAGAAAAGGGTATTCTGTTGTTGTGACTGACTTGGTTGTAGTTTCAGATGTTTTCGGTGTAGAAGCACTAGGTTTTGTTGTATCTGAAGTTGAAGGTACATCTAAAGCAGAAATAGATTTTGTTGTTTGAAATGATTGTGTTAGAGAATCATTTAAGTTATACACCAATCCCACTGATGAAGCAGTAGAGTCCGCTGATGAAAAGAATGCTGAATCTGTTGACAAATCTGCATGCAACAAAGGTTCCTTAACAAAGGATGATGCATCAGGGTTAAATGAAGCAGAAGTAGTTAATGAGCTAGATTCCCCATCTGAAGTGTTTGGTGATATTCCAACTGTTGGTGTCATCAAAGGAAGTTTATCTGAAGGGGTTGGAAAGGCTGCATGCGACATAGGGATTACAGATGGAGTAGCATTAGATGCAAAGGATGAAGACATGCTAGATGTTAAAGTGGTTAGTCCTGAATCTAAAGTAGAAATCGAGTCTGTTGTTGACACTGCTGGAGGTAAGGTACTAAAATGTTCACCAACTGTAATTTTTTCAGACATATTTGAAATGAAAGTATCTGGTGTTTCTGTTTCAACATCAATTTCATGTACTTTCGTTGATGATTTATCTGTAGTTTTAGTAGGTGGCATATCTGTGGCAAAAGTTTGTGTAGTTAATGGTCCAAAAGTACTTGTTAGATATTCTACACTATCTGGTGAGGATATATTTAAAGCAGTGAAAGCATGCAAGGAAGGAGTGAAAAAGTCCAATGGAGAAGAAGAAGAAGACATAGCAGTATTAAGATCTGATGGTGAACCTGAAACTAAAAGCAATTAAACTGTTATAGAAGTAGTAAAAGAAAAGGAAGGTAGAAGCTGCTGTTAACAGTAAAATACAACAGTGTAGCTAAAATAAATTTGCAATATACATAATAAAAATCATATTAATTAGACAAACTATAGTAAGATAATAAAAACCCAAATATAATCACTAGTAAAACCAAAGGAAAAGGAAAATCTTTTGGGCAGGCGATTCTAAAGCTTTGTTTTAAGATACCTTGAAACAGCAACAAAAGAAAAAATTGCAAAACAGGTAAACAATTTAAGATGTATCCATATCAAAAGACAAAAAGAAAATCAATACAGACTAGATGGAATAGAATACAAATTATTTTGATATTGACAAACTTTTTACCAGTTTTACCTGAGACCGTTGTAGTTTCAGCTGTGGTTGTTGATGATATAACGGACTCTGAGGATATCTGATCTAAAGTTGTTGACTCAGTTATGGCTGATGGTTTAGTAGTTGGTGCTGTAGTGGTTGTAGTTGGTGTTGTTGTAGTTGTAGTGGTTGGTGTTGTTGTGGTTTGTGTTGTAGTGGTTGTAGTTGGTGTTGTTGTAGTGGTTGGTGTTGTAGTAGTTGGTGTTGTTGTGGTTGGTGTTGTAGTGGTTGGTGTTGTTGTGGTTGGTGTTGTAGTGGTTGTGGTTGGTGTTGTAGTAGTTGGTGTTGTTGTGGTTGGTGTTGTAGTGGTTGGTGTTGTTGTGGTTGGTGTTGTAGTGGTTGGTGTTGTAGTAGTTGGTGTTGTAGTAGTTGGTGTTGTTGTGGTTGGTGTTGTTGTGGTTGGTGTTGTAGTAGTTGGTGTTGTAGTAGTTGGTGTTGTAGTAGTTGGTGTTGTTGTTGTAGTTGGTGTTGTAGTGGTTGTGGTTGGTTTTGTTGTGGTGGTGGTTGTTGTTGTTGTGGTTTGTGTTGTAGTAGTTGGTGTTGTAGTAGTTGGTGTTGTTGTTGTGGTTGGTGTTGTCATGGTTGTGGTTGGTGTTGTTGTGGCTGGTGTTGTAGTGGTTGGTGTTGTAGTGGTTGGTGTTGTTGTGGTTGTTGTAGTGGTGGTTGCGCTTGGTGTTGTTGGTGTAGTGGTTGGTGTTGTTGTGGTTGGTGGTGGTGATGTGGTTGTTGTAGGTGTTGTGGTTGGTGTTGTTGTTGTAGGTGTTGTGGTTGGTCTTTTGCTTAGCGTTGTCAATGTTGTCACCTTGGTTGTAGTGGTTGGTATTGTTGTCTTAGTTGTAGAAGATTTTGGTGAGGTTATATTTGTTGATGTTGTTACTTTGGCAGTGGATGATGTCAATTCTGTTTTTTCAGATGTTTGAGCTGAAGCTGATGCTGAGGGTTTTGGAACAGAGGATGTTAAGGTTAATGTTGAAATTGTTTTAGTTGATACTGTTGTTGTAGGCTTTGCAGTTTTTGTTGTGATTAGTTCAGTTATATTTGTTGTTTCTCTGGTACTACTAATTTCTGTTGGCTGTGCAGATTGGGAGCTTTTCATTGTGGTCATTGTGCTTTCAGTCAACTGAGTTGATATAAAAGGAGAAGTCTTAGCCTCTGTTGAATATGTTGTTGAGACACTAGCTTCACTCGCAGTTGTAATAACAGTTGCTGTTGTCTGAGTAGCCGAAGTTGTAACCGACTTTTCTGATGTTTTTGTTGTTTTAACAGAAGACACTGCTGTTGCTGTTGTCTCTATTGTAGGTGTTGTTACTGTAGATAACACTGGAATTGGAGTACGAATAATGTCACAATTCCCACAGATCACACATTCTCCAGACGGTTCATGATAATAGAAACCATGACGACATACAGCAAAAGATAGTGGGAAACCAAACTTTTCAGGTTCAAATGTCAATTTAGGGCAATCATTACGAAATGTTTCAGCAACTTTTTGAACTCTAGATTTGAATTGACTGTCAAAATTATCTTGAAGTCTTTTTGAACATAACTGAACATTCCGGAAAGATGTTGTTGTAAAGTCATACAGGAAAAATGGAATCTTGATTCCAACCTGAAATTAAAATAAATCTTTAATGATGATAATACAAGAGACAAATTGTGTTGTAATTATTATATCTCAAGTGTTATTATATATCAAGTGATATTGATGTCTTTAACTGTTTGTTTAAAAATATGTGAAAGTTTAATACTTAAGAAAGCTTAAATTGCAAAAGAAAACATGAATGTTGAAAAAGAAAAACAGTTTTTAAACAAAGCATTCTTTGGTCTTTTACATGAAAGTAAGTTTTTTCGTCTGTTTTGAGACCACATCATTTCGTAATATTCTATTAAAGACTAACCATAACAAAATGATATAAAGCTAAGAAAACAAAACTAACAAACTGTGATGGTATAATAAATATATTAACAATAGTAATACATTGTAATAATAATAATGATGATAATAATAATAATGATATATAGAAATACATCTAGTTATATAACCTGTTTGTTGTTTAACGTCATGGCTCCAGACGTGTCTGATATTACAATATTTGGTGTGTCAGGACACAAATCTGCAAGGTCAAGACCGTTTACAATCACCTGGGTAACATTTTTCACTTGTTCTCTGAGAGAATACAAACACTGCATTCCCATTACACTAGCTGTTGACAGTGACACTGTCACTAGCACCATGGAAACAGGACCTAAAAATGTTTTTTTTTGGGGTTAAATCAGAAAATCAAAATCTAAACACATGTGTCATTGCAGAGTGGAGCAACATGAGAAACGTTTAAAACTGAGTTCTTCCTAAAACTATGTTAATATAGATACAGAAGTAATCATCCTGTAAAGATACACAACAAGTGTTGCTATACAACACATGTAACAGTTACACTAGTTAAAAGCTATACAGTTATGTGCCAGAGTTACACTAGCTTGGTTAACACACACAAAACACTTAAAGACTATATCCAGTTAGAAAGCTCACAATTCAGCACAATACAATTGAGCCCAGATGTTAATCTTACAATACATTGAAACATTTAGAACTAGCATGTAACTCAATATCAGACTTGCAGGCTGACCTGAGTCTGTACTGCAATTGGCAAGTCAATATCACATCCAGCATTTAATACAGAGCTCAAAGAGGCAGAAAAAAGTCGTAATTTTCATTATACATGTTATGTTTCATACAAAACTTATATGACTATGTTTTTTTTCCAAAATGTAAAAAAAAAAACTGATGAAAGATAGATAAAAAGTAGGTTTATTTCAGACAAGTACCTAAACTGGGAACCATTAGTTGTGTTTAATTTACTATGACTTGAATGACTAATTATCAACTAACTAATGACATTATTAATTATTTGAAAAAGAATACCTAGAGTATAAATATTTGATATGTATACTGATTAGTAAAAAGCTGCTATACTAAAATTAGATACCTGAATATTGATTGAAACCCGATGGTAGATACATAGTCTCCATACTACATCTACAATTTCTCTGCTGACGTTGATCTGGTACAGTTAACACAGCTGTCTTTTTTACTTCTTCTTCTCTACCATCTTCAACATCATATATTGTCATTTCCTCCACATCTTCTGTTTCTGGTGCTTTGATATCTTCATCTTCTTGGAATTTTTCATCATTTTCAAAACTTTCCTTACCACTTACAATCATTTCATTTGGAGACTTAGTATGCTTTCCAGACATATATTCTATATGGGTAACACTAACACTTGCTCCTCTTGAAATGCTATCAGGAGATGTATCATTTGCTTTAATTAAATGCACAGAGTCATTGTAAACATCACTTTGTTTCTTTACACTCCCATGGGTAACAAAATGTTTGGCACTAGTTAGTTGAATGTGTGATAATGAACTGGATATATCAGTGCCAACCTCTAAACTTTGTGTATTTATATCACTAGAGACAGACATAGTAATTACTGAAGAAGTATGTGTTGGAACTAAACTTTTACTTTCTGAGGTACTATGTGAAATAAAATCAATGTCCTTTGGTACAAGTTGAGAAACTGATGTAACAGAGTCTGGTAAAGTACTAGCATAAAAATGTTGGGTTATAAAACTAGTCATGAATGAGGGATGTATTTCAAATTGTTTAGGTTTAGATAATAATTTACTATGAAATGAAGGTGCACTAGAATATTTTGAGGTTTCAATATATACAGGTACAATGTCAGTTTGGAACATACTAGTAGATCTACCTGCTTCTAAACCATAAGATTCCATTTTTCCCAGTGTAGTATGGTTATGTCTGGTATTTATTTCAGAACTTGTCTGAACCCAGATTCCTGGAGATGGTGTAACTCTTGTATTAGAAGGTTTCATTTTAGAATCAGCAGGCATGTTATTTATATCATGGACATTCACAACTGTTGTAGTAGGAAGAATTTCCAATTGAGATATAGCTAAATCAGTTTTTATAACAAGCTTTTGGATCTGGGAAGCACTTACATTAGAAACTACAGCCTGAGCAACTCTAGATACAGTTCCTGGTGAAATTGGTTTCGGACTGGTTTTTGTACTGCTGTATTCTTGTATTGACTTGGCAACACTCAATTTAATAGAGGTACTAGAAATTTCCTTTGTATTGGTTCTAACATTTTCTAGAAACCTTTTTGTACCATTGTTCACAATGTCATTCCTTCTATCTGTATTCCAAAGACTTTTATATGTACCATGTACATTAGCATCAAGATCTAATGATGTACTAAGTAAAGTCTCTGAGTCTAAGATCCTGATTTTTAGTGGCAAATTGTAAATGTCTGATATACTTTTTCCAGTTTCAATTGATGTTCCAGTAATTCTTTCTGTTTCTACTGTGTCTGTAGAAAAGATATCAGCTTTATCAACAGCTTGAACAACTGCAGTCTCTGATACTGTAGGATTTATTCCATCAAATTCTTCTTTTGTTACAGAGGCACTTTTACCACTGTTTTGCTGAACGTTCAAAGATTGAGCTGCACTGGTTTTATTATACATTATTATCAATGGAGTTCTTATAGTAGTGAAATCATAACTTGTTAATATTCTAGGAGTTGAAGAAGAATATTTTTTAACTTCTATGGATGTCTTTTCTGAAGGATATACATTTATTTCAGTTCCTGATGAACTTTCATTGTATGTTGTTGTTGGCATGACAGAAAGAGATACTGAACTATTCAATATTGTATTTCCTGCAGCACTTGAAATGTGTGATGTATCTCTTTCTGTTGATATAATCAAGACAGAAGGATAACTAGAAGAGCTTTCTAGGAAGCCTGATGAACTACTTGCAGCAGGAGCAGCACTGCTTTCAGATATTGCTAAAGATGTTGAATCTGGAGATTCTGAATCTGGAAAGTCTATCATTGCAGTAAAATTTTCTAAAAATGCATCTGTATTGGAACTAATTTCAGTCACTAATGCGGTTCTATAAGGTGCATTATCAGTTGCATCTTTGTCTGTATCCTCCCTGAAGTCATTCCTGACATTTTGTGATTCCATTGTTTTAGAGGGGCTTATGTCGGTCACTTCATCAGTCAAATGATCTGATGTGGCATTTGTCCTTGATATGTCTCCAATCTTTGTTGTGTAAGATTGAAAAGCTGAGTCATGCATTTGGGGGGACGAGGCACTTCTTATGGAAACTAGTTTATTACTTGAAATAGGAGATGAACTTAATTCAGGTACTTCCTTTATCCTTACAGTTGGTGAAGAACTAATATCAGTAACTGCTAAAGAATCAGTCAAGACAGTAACCCTTTTAGAAACTCCTTCAGCAATAGAATTGGTAAAGGTATTATTCTGAGAAGCAACATTAGTAGAAGAAGAAGATATTTTTTTCTCTGTGATTATTTCTGGTATGGTATGAGAAGACATATCTATTGTTTGCTCTTCTGAAAATGAAGCTGAAAGTGTTTTCATTTCAGCACTTGTTGATTCAGTATCTGAAACTGAAGATGCATTTGACACAGTAACTGACGATGTCCATGGATACTTCAAGATATTACTATCATTGTCTCCTGACAGCTTGATGGCTTTTGAAGAATGCATTTCAATCTCATATTCATTCCTCACTGTATGAAATGCATCAATTTTAGTTCTTGTGACTGATGTACCTGACAAACCAGAGGTTACTATTTCAATACCCGTCTTATGTTTGATCGCTGTTCTAACTAAGTCTATCCAAACTGCTTCTGATTCACCAGCACTTTCCGAAGCATGCCTAGCACCTGAATGTTTTTTATTTGACTTTGAGGCATTTAGTTTGCCATCAGTTTGCAAGGCTATTACAGTACCTGCTATAAAATTGCTAGATTTTATCAAGTCAATTTCAAACACTGACTGTGAAATATTTTCAACTTGCAATTTATTATCCAATTGAGAATTTTCAGATGATGGAGATAGTCGAGTCACATAATTTGCAGCTTCTGATTTCTTAATATCATGTTTGGTTATACTTGCCATAGTAAGTGATGAAGCTATTTTGAGAGCAGACTTTTCATCAATATATCCACTGGACAATAAGCCAATATATAACAAATCTGAGCTGTACTGGGTATACTCTTCTGACAATGGTTTTGATGACCAATGAAATGAAGGCAATAAAACGTTACTGGCATCTTGTGAATTATAGCCTTTTTCTAATGCATTTTGCATGTCCTCATCTGTTGGAATCAAGGATGCCTGTGTTGATGAATATGGTAAAGCAGATGATAAAGACATTTGTGATGATGAATACTTCGATGTTGTTTCCAGTTGGGATTCGGATGATGTAAACTGATGATCTCTGGTTGAAAACAATAATGAATGCTGCACAGATGCAAAAGTAGATGATGATGATGATGGTGGTGATGATGATGATGATAATGTTGATGATGGTACATGAATAGAAAATGTTAAATGTGTTGATGATGAAGGCTGTAAAACTGATGATAATGATGATGATGTCACAGTTATTTGTGGAAAGTATACAGCTGGTAAAGATAATGTTGATGATGACAGGTATAGCTCACTATCATTTTCTGATGACTTTGATAACTGAGAATCTACAGTTTCTGACAATAACAGTTCACTGGTGGATGATAATGGTACAGATATAAATGATGATGCAGATGAAATTAACATAGTATCTACAAATGATTGTGAAAATGTATACACAGTTTGTTCAATATTTTCTGTGAATTCTGTTAAAACAGAGGTTTTTAAACTATTACTATAGTCATAATAATTTGAATCAAGTTCTGTTGATTGATTTATCACTATCACATCTTCTTTCTTTGCATTTTCAACTTTCATATGCAAAGCACTTGATTGTAAAATTTCAGTTTTAATTTTTGTGTCTGAAAATTTGTTTTTCTGTCTACAATTTGAAGCATCTCTATGTCCATTAAAACAAAGTTTTTCTGTGTCTAGAGTGTCAATAACAGAAGCATTAGGCAAGAGAATGTTAGGTTCCAAGTTAGAATAGATATCAAGACTGTTAGAGAAGTTAGCAGCATGAAGCACAAAGTCTCTCAACATATTAGAAGATGCAACTGAAAACAGAGGGGGTTACATATACATGTACATGCAGACAGACAGACAAACAAAAAACAAACATTGTGAAATCATTATGGTACAGTGTTTGACTAAGTCGTTGTTCCTCTAATTGATGTTTGTGACATTGATGGTTTGTCCTATAGAAATATTGCATTTGTTGACTTTACTGTTTCCACCTTACAAATTTTCAAAAATGGCAAACACTGTTAAAAAACAGGCAAATGAAATTGAATGATTTCACAATAAGAAAAGTATCAAACTAACTAGAACAGTGCTAAAAGAACACAAAACTTTAACAGTAACACAATTCTTTCACAAAAAAATAACTCAAGTATAAAAATAGTAAAAAATGAAAAAAACTATATTTTAATATATCATAAGACGTTAAGTATCCAACTTATTGAATATAAAATTTTTAATCATTCTAAAATAATGTATACAGTAAAACTAACGGATATACTAATATCAAAGGTAAAGCAGCATTTACCTTTTGTATTGTGGACACAAAAAGTGATATTATTAAGAGTAACCATTTCTCCCTCTTCACACAATGGTACAGACTTGTGGACCAATATTTTCCCATAATTCTCTGAAATCTGAAAAATACAAAAAGTATTTACAGTTTTTTGTTGTTTTTCTTTTATGAAAGTTTGTTATTACATCAAATTTTATGTATCATTATATTTCACATTACTGACTTAAAATACTTGTTCATAAGAAACAACCCTATACATAGGATAAAAATGAATTGATTTTGACCAATAATTACAGCTTAAAGGCCTAATATGTCCCAGAAATGCTTTCATTTTCATTTCTTAAAATTTTTTTATTTTTGGTATTCTTTTATGGTTTCCAACAAGTATCTATTTGGCCCCTCACCAGAACTATCTTCTTCTGTTTCTTTTGGGAACATTTATTAGTACATTTATAGTGATTTAGTATTTTATATAGTCAAAATACTAATTCCTTTATGTTTTGCTACTTTTATGAAATATCATTTTACATTTAGCACTATTTTCTTGAGGTAATAGGCATCTAACATTCTCTAAAACCATTATTTAAACATTATAAAACTCATGATTGACCTGTCTAAAGAAGCAAATATTTATTCATTTCTAAGGCATAATGTGCTTTAAGAAAATTAACAACCATCAATTTCATAGGATATACCGAACAAGTAACTCAAGTCTGATCTAACAGAAAATGGAACAAAATACTAAGTGTTCAAAAGAGAATATAGGGAAGGCAACTTTAATTCCTTCAGGTTTCTAAATAAAAAGACGCATTTTCTGTATATGAAATCAACCTTTCACATGAAATAAACTTGTAATAAAAACATAATGTTATTCCAAAACCATATTTTATTATGTGTCACACATTATAATTTAGTCACAACATTTCATTTATTAAAAGCACATTATACATCAGAAATAATTTTTTCTTTCTTTTGCAGGAAGTTTTATAACATTTAGATAATATGTTACATGCTTTTCATCTGCCGAAAATAGCCCTGAATGGGTAATTATTTGTCATAAAAGTAGCAAACTATAAGCAAAGTTGTATATTTGGCTTCCATACAAAATACTAAATCGTTATAATTGTACTAATTGCCAATAAGCAACATAAGCCAAAGATAGTTCATGTAAATGTCAATAAGAAAATTTGAAAAATAAAAATAAAAGCTTTGCTGAGGCATAATGTGCCTTTAAAGGAATGCATTTACGAGTATAAACAAAAATCTGTATTAAAATGAGTACCTCTGGACATTCAGCACTGCTCTGTAGTTTGAACTGTGCTGAATTTCCTTGAAACCATTCTCCAATACTTCGCAAACATGAATCTACCATTGGTATAGATATATAGCCTGATGATAACACCAGTGTCTTGTTGATACTGATCTGTTTAAAAAAGAAACATTCTAACACATTATTGTTTGTTTGGTTTTATGGGGCACCAACCCAGTTCAGGTCATAAAAACCACCCCACTTGCTGCAGCTAAGAGATGCATAGACTACAGTTATTCAATCCCCTTCAATCACCTCCTACAATCACATAGGGATAAAAAGGTGGCTGCAATTTTTATGCCTCAGCCATTAAAGGCAACCCCTTAGTCACAAGGGTATTGTAAGGCATTAACCAAACATGTAAAACTTTGTTCTGAAACATACATTATTAGGATGAAATGAGCAATTAAAGGCAGATAAATAGCTGCAATAAAATGAAATGAAGAAACAAGAGCCTCAAGCCTGCTTATATCAAGCACTTTAGTTTTTATAAAAGTAGCTCATGTGTTTCCAATATCATTGTCAAATTTTACACAAGGTTTTAATTTTACACAAATGTTGCAGAAACCAACTTAACAATGCAACATTACCATATAATTATGTGACCTTTAGTTCCAACTTCAATAACATAAAATATTTTTCCCTATATCAAATTACTCAAAAATGCTACTTTTGGGCTAATTTTTGCTCCAATATGTCATGATTAATAGACCAGTTAAAGACAAATATAAACACCAAATACACAAGATAGAGGTCAGAGTTGTTTTTTTTTTTAATGATTTTCCTAGATACATCTTAGTAACAAAATTCTAAAGAATATGAGGAAAAAAAACAAGAGGGCCATCATGGCCCTGAGTCGCTCACCAGAAACAACTGCTTTTCAGTGTTGGAATGTAAAAATATTCTAATATTAAATTGGATAGAATATTAAATGCCATAAGCCCATCCCCGGACAGTCCCCGGGAAAAAAGGTGCTGGGAGGGGGGTTGGCCCGGGAAATGATTTTTGCCCGGTTAAAAAAAAAAACTAAAATAATTACTTTGAAGAAGAAATTTTTCATTTTTATATAAAATTTTATTGTTTTAAGTTTTTATAAAATAGTCGAAGGCAATAAAAACGATTATCCCCTAACGCATTGCAAGGGGGACACTAAACTTTTTTATTATATATCTACGTCCCCTTCCAACAAAAAATTTCGGCAAATTTTTTGATCATTAAAAAAAATTAATTTTTTAACCCCCTTGGCTTCCTGAGCGGGGGGTGTATAAAATTGTAATTAAAAACTGGCCCGGTTTTAAATTTAATCCCCTGGGGGCAGTTTTAGTGGTCAAACACGGTCACCGTGACAATTACCGCTAAATTTGAGGTGATAAAAATCTACAAGATTCAGCGATTGTTTCAGGTAAACGACATGGCTAATTGTCATTACTTAACATACATGTAGCTTTATTCTATTCTGTGACTGATTGAATTAACGATGCCTAAATACTTGAAAAAGATAGAAAACTATTAATAATTATTGACATTCTGTCTTTTGTTTATGGTGTCATTAAATTTGCAAGTTGTACCGGTAATGTAGGTTGAATGCCACTATGTAAATTAAAAAAAAAAACGTTTGCTGATCAATGCCCCAACTCCAAATGAAAAGTGTCCCGGAAATAAGTGTAACTAGAAATGTGTCCATAGGACACGGATGCCCCCACACGCCACTGTTCTGTCAATCTTATGACTCTAGGTCAAATATTTTTTGGACTACATGTGCCACAAGTTGAAAACTAAAAATCAACAAAGGGCCATAATTCTGTTAAATTTGGTCGCAGCAAAAATTCCTACCTTTACTACCATCTACACATTAAGGTTGTTAATCCCTGGAAGTTTAAGCAAAATCTGTCATCCGGTTTAAGTGGAGTTGCGTTCACAAAATTTCTACATAGTATATAATGAAAAAATCAACAAAGGGCCATAATTCTGTAAATTTGGTTGCAGCAAAAATTCCTTCCTTTACTGCCATCTACACATAAAGGTTGTTCATCCTTGGAAGTTTAAGCAAAATCTGCCATCCCGTTTAAGAGGAGTTGCATTCACAAAATTTCTACAAGTATATAGTGAAAAAATCAACAAAGGGCCATAATTCTGTAAAATTTGGGTCGCAGCGAAAATTCCTTCCTTTACTACCATCTTCACCTTAAGTTGTTCATGCCCTGTAAGTTTAAGCAAAAATCTGCCATGCAGTTTAAGAGGAGTTGCGTTCACAAAATTTCTACATAGTATATAGTAAAAAATAACAAAGGGTCATAATTCTGTTAAATTTGGTCGGAGCAAAAATTCCTTCCTTTACTACCATCTACACATTAAGGTTGTTCATCCCTGTAAGTTTAAGCAAAAATCTGCCATGCGGTTTAAGAGGAGTTGCGTTCACAAAATTTCTACATAGTATCTAGTGAAAAAATCAACAAAGGGCCATAATTCTGTTAAATTTGGTCGCAAAAAGAGGAGTTGCATTCACAAGATTTCAGGACGTACGGACGGACTGACAGACGGACTGACGGACGGACAAGTGCATCGCTATATGCTCCCACATTGTGGGGGCATAAAAATTATGGCATGTATGGAAAATGTTTAAACAATAATTTGAAGAAATGCCATGACCTGGGGTATTTAAGCTTTAGCTTAAACAGGGCAAATCAAATTAATATGAGCTAACTTGATAAAAGACTACCTAAGAATGCTACTAAGTTTGGTGATCATCTATCAATTATTTCAGTAGGAAATGATTTTCGAAGGTTTTTTCTATTTTTAGCTTTAGTGGCCCCTAAAAGGGGCTAATCAAATTAATATAAGTAAACTTGAAAAAAGAGTACCCAAGAATGCTACATACAAAGTTTGGTGATCATCCATCAATTGGTTCCGAAGAAGATGTTTAAAGGTTTTTCTATTTTTAGCTTTAGCGGCCCCTAAAAGGGCCAATCAAAATAATATGAGCAAACTTGATAAAAGATTACCCAAAAATGCTACAGACAAAGTTTGGTGATCATCCATTAATTAGTAGGAGAGATGTTTAAATGTATTTCTATTTTTTAATTTTAGCTGCCCATAAAAGGGGCTAATCAAAATAATATAAGCAAACTTGATAAAAGACTACCCAAGAATGCTACAGACAAAGTTTGGTGATCATCCATCAATTAGTTCTCTAGAAATAGACGTTTAAATGTATATCTATTTAAATTTGAGCGGCCCCTAAAAGGGGCCAATCAAAATAATATGAGCAAACTCGATAAAAGACTACCCAACAATGCTTCAGACAAAGTTTGGTGATCATCCATCCATTAGTTCTGTAGAAATAGACATTTAAAGGTATTTCTATTTTTAGCTTAAGCAGCCCCTAAAAGGAGCCAATCATATTCATATGAGCAAACTTGATAAAAGACTACCCAAGAATGCTACAGACAAAGTTTGGTGATCATCCATCAATTAGTTTTCTAGAAATAGACATTTAACGGTATTTCTATTTTTAGCTATAGAGACCCCTAAAAGGGGCTGATCAAATTCATATGAGCAAACTTGATAAAAGACTACCAAAGAATGCTACAGACAAAGTTTGGTGATCTTCCATCAATTAGTTCTGTAGAAATAGACATTTAAAGGTATTTCTATTTTTAGCTTTTGCGGCCCTTAAAAGGGGCCAATCAGAATAATATTAGCAAACTTGATAAAAGACTACCCAAGAATGCTACAGACAATGTTTGGTGATCATCCATCAATTAGTTCTCTAGAAATAGACATTTAAAGGTATTTCTATTTTTAGCTTTTGCGGCCCCTAAAAGGGGCCAATCAAATTAATATGAGCAAAGTTGATAAAACACTACCCAAGAATGCTACAGACAAAATTTGGTGATCATCCATCAATTAGTTCTGTAGGAGAAGATGTTTTAAGGTTTTTCTATTTTTAACCCTAGAGACCCCTCAAAGGGGCCAATCAAAATAATATTAGCAAACTTGATAAAATGCTACTCAAGAATGCTACAGACAAAGTTTGGTGATCATCCATCAATTGGTTCTGAAGAAGATGTTTAAAGGTTTTTCTATTTTTAGCTTTAGCGGCCCCTAAAAGGGGCCAATCAAATTAATAAGAGCAAACTTGATAAAACACTACCCAAGAATGCTACAGACAAAGTTTGGTGATCATCCATCAATTAGTTCTGTAGGAGAAGATGTTGAAAGGGTTTTCTATTTTTAGTCCTAGAGACCCCTAAAAGGGGCCAATCAAAATAATATTAACAAACTTGATAAAAGACTACCCAAGAATGCTAGAGACAAAGTTTGGTGATCATCCATCAATTAGTTCTGTAGGAGAAGATGTTGAAAGGGTTTTCTATTTTTAGTCCTAGAGACCCCTAAAAGGGGCCAATCAAAATAATATTAACAGACTTGATAAAAGATTACCCAAGAATGCTACAGACAAAGTTTGGTGATCATCCATCAATTAGTTCTCTAGAAATAGACGTTTAAAGGTTTTCCTATTTTTAGCTTAAGCAGCCCCTAAAAGGGGCCAATCAAATTCATATGAGCAAACTTGATAAAAGACTACCCAAGAATGCTACAGACAAAGTTTGGTGATCATCCATCCATTAGTTCTGTAGAAGAAGATGTTTAAAGGTTTTTCTATTTTTAGCTATAGAGACCCCTAAAAGGGGCTGATCAAATTCATATGAGCAAACTTGATAAAAGACTACCAAAGAATGCTACAGACAAAGTTTGGTGATCTTCCATCAATTAGTTCTGTAGAAATAGACATTTAAAGGTATTTCTATTTTTAGCTTTTGCGGCCCTTAAAAGGGGCCAATCAGAATAATATTAGCAAACTTGATAAAAGACTACCCAAGAATGCTACAGACAATGTTTGGTGATCATCCATCAATTAGTTCTCTAGAAATAGACATTTAAAGGTATTTCTATTTTTAGCTTTTGCGGCCCCTAAAAGGGGCCAATCAAATTAATATGAGCAAAGTTGATAAAACACTACCCAAGAATGCTACAGACAAAATTTGGTGATCATCCATCAATTAGTTCTATAGGAGAAGATGTTTTAAGGTTTTTTTATTTTTAGCCCTAGAGACCCCTCAAAGGGGCCAATCAAAATAATATTAGCAAACTTGATAAAATGCTACTCAAGAATGCTACATACAAAGTTTGGTGATCATCCATCAATTGGTTCTGAAGAAGATGTTTAAAGGTTTTTCTATTTTTAGCTTTAGCGGCCCCTAAAAGGGGCCAATCAAATTAATAAGAGCAAACTTGATAAAACACTACCCAAGAATGCTACAGACAAAGTTTGGTGATCATCCATCCATTAGTTCTGTAGGAGAAGATGTTGAAAGGGTTTTCTATTTTTAGTCCTAGAGACCCCTAAAAGGGGCCAATCAAAATAATATTAACAAACTTGATAAAAGACTACCCAAGAATGCTATAGAAAAAGTTTGGTGATCATCCATCAATTAGTTCTGTAGGAGAAGATGTTGAAAGGGTTTTCTACTTTTAGTCCTAGAGACCCCTAAAAGGGCCAATCAAAATAATATTAACAGACTTGATAAAAGATTACCCAAGAATGCTACAGACAAAGTTTGGTGATCATCCATCAATTAGTTCTCTAGAAATAGACGTTTAAAGGTTTTCTATTTTTAGCTTTAGCAGCCCCTAAAAGGGGCCAATCATATTCATATGAGCAAACTTGATAAAAGACTACCCAAGAATGCTACAGACAAAGTTTGGTGATCATCCATCCATTAGTTCTGTAGAAGAAGATGTTTAAAGGTTTTTCTATTTTTAGCTATAGAGACCCCTAAAAGGGGCTGATCAAATTCATATGAGCAAACTTGATAAAAGACTACCAAAGAATGCTACAGACAAAGTTTGGTGATCTTCCATCAATTAGTTCTGTAGAAATAGACATTTAAAGGTATTTCTATTTTTAGCTTTTGCGGCCCTTAAAAGGGGCCAATCAGAATAATTTTAGCAAACTTGATAAAAGACTACCCAAGAATGCTACAGACAATGTTTGGTGATCATCCATCAATTAGTTCTCTAGAAATAGACATTTAAAGGTATTTCTATTTTTAGCTTTTGCGGCCCCTAAAAGGGGCCAATCAAATTAATATGAGCAAAGTTGATAAAACACTACCCAAGAATGCTACAGACAAAATTTGGTGATCATCCATCAATTAGTTCTGTAGGAGAAGATGTTTTAAGGTTTTTCTATTTTTAGCCCTAGAGACCCCTCAAAGGGGCCAATCAAAATAATATTAGCAAACTTGATAAAATGCTACTCAAGAATGCTACATACAAAGTTTGGTGATCATCCATCAATTGGTTCTGAAGAAGATGTTTAAAGGTTTTTCTATTTTTAGCTTGAGCGGCCCCTAAAAGGGGCCAATCAAATTAATAAGAGCAAACTTGATAAAACACTACCCAAGAATGCTACGACAAAGTTTGGTGATCATCCATCCATTAGTTCTGTAGGAGAAGATGTTGAAAGGGTTTTCTATTTTTAGTCCTAGAGACCCCTAAAAGGGGCCAATCAAAATAATATTAACTATTAACAAACTTGATAAAAGACTACACAAGAATGCTACAGACAAAGTTTGGTGATCATCCATCAATTAGTTCTCTAGAAATAGACGTTTAAAGGTTTTCCTATTTTTAGCTTTAGCAGCCCCTAAAAGGGGCCAATCAAATTCATATGAGCAAACTTGATAAAAGACTACCCAAGAATGCTACAGACAAAGTTTGGTGATCATCCATCCATTAGTTCTGTAGAAGAAGATGTTTAAAGGTTTTTCTATTTTTAGCCCTAGAGACCCCTAAAAGGGGCCAATCAAATTAATATGAGCAAACTTGATAAAAGACTACCCAAGAATGCTACAGACAAAGTTTGGTGATCATCCATCAATTAGTTCTCTAGAAATAGACGTTTAAAGGTTTTTCTATTTTTAGCTTTAGCGGCCCCTAAAAGGGGCCAATCAAATTCATATGAGCAAACTTGATAAAAGACTACCCAAGAATGCTACAGACAAAGTTTGGTGATCATCCATCCATTAGTTCTGTAGAAGAAGATGTTTAAAGGTTTTTCTATTTTTAGCCCTAGAGACCCCTAAAAGGGGCCAATCAAATTAATATGAGCAAACTTGATAAAAGACTACCCAAGAATGCTACAGACAAAGTTTGGTGATCATCCATCAATTAGTTCTCTAGAAATAGACGTTTAAAGGTTTTCCTATTTTTAGCTTTAGCAGCCCCTAAAAGGGGCCAATCAAATTCATATGAGAAAACTTGATAAAAGACTACCCAAGAATGCTACAGACAAAGTTTGGTGATCATCCATCCATTAGTTCTGTAGAAGAAGATGTTTAAAGCTTTTTCTATTTTTAGCCCTAGAGACCCCTAAAAGGGGCCAATCAAATTAATATGAGCAAACTTGATAAAAAACTACCCAAGAATGCTACAGACAATGTTTGGTGATCATCCATCCAATAGATCTGTAGAAGAAGATGTTTAAAGGTTTTTCTATTTTTAGCTCTGCTGACCCCTCAAAGGGGCCAATGGAACAACATGAGCAAATTCAAGTGTGACTGTCACAAGGATGCTACAGACCAAATTTGAAGTAAATCTGCTTAGTAGTTTCAGAGGAGAAGACGATTGTTGACGCATGACGACGGACGATGGAGTCCGGAGCATCCCCCTTTGATACTAATAGCTCACCCTGAGCCTTCGGCTCTGGTGAGCTAAAAATAAAAACATGTTGTTTTTTTGTTGCTCAAACACAGTTTCAGGTCAAAAGGTGCTAAAACAGGAAAGATGATTTTGGCAAATCTTAAGAGTTACAAACGAACAAAAAGCAACACCATGGGGTCAAAACCACTTCACCTGCTGGAGCTAAGAGATATATAGACTCTGTTTAGGTTATATGGCGACTTTCCAGCTTTATTGGTGGTGCAAGACTTTGAAGGCCCCACAGAGCATTATTTCCGGCAAAAATGAACACCTGATAGGAACCACAAACTAAGCTAGCTGGATAGCTTCCTCACTTGAAAGAATCTAAAGTCCCTGGTGGGCTTTTAACCATTAGCAAAAAGTGGTTTGAAGTCAACAAATTTGATTAGCCATGGACACCCCAAGGACATTTGTAAGAATAAAGAACAGAAAGAAAAATGATAAAAATTTGAGATTTATGACTATCATATGCTTCTAAGGTACATTCTAAGCTTACCTTTTTAGAATCATTATCAATTCTAACCCCAGCATCTTGTACTTGTATTTCACTTGGTGTGAGATATTTACAGCTCTCTATTAGTTTGTTTTTTATTGACTGCTGAGTTAACCAATCATACACTTTCTGACTGTAATGTAGTGAACAGTTTTGTAGGTGCTCAGCAGACGATACTTGCAAGGTCACCGTCAAGGTCAAATGATGTATAGGTAGTTTGATGTCAGGTGAATATTTCTGTTCAGATGAAACTTGACACATCAATGGGTACGGATCTGAAAAGGGATCAAAAATAAATGTCTTCTTATACATGTATATGACTAATACATGACTGTGACATATCAAATACAATATTGAGTTTAGTGAAGGATAAGCAATGGCATAGAAACCATCTAGAGCATGGGCTGTATACAGCAAAAGAAATATAAACAAATCAGTGCCAAAATGCATCATTTAAGCCTTTTATGTAACTTTTTTGTAGAGGTCCACTTGACAATGCTACAAGCTAAATATCTTAGCTCAAGGCATTGCAGTTTCATAAAAAATAACTTTAATGAATTTTCTTAAATAAGCCTATGCCCACTAAGTGGCCTATATACGCCTTTTTGCAGAGGACCACCTAAGTCATCCTGTAAAGTTTGGTCAAAATCCATCAGTTGTATGGAAATCCATCAGTGGTATGGAGAAGATGTTGTTTAAAGAAATTAGGAAACAAAGAAAAACAGACAAAGTGGATCACAAAAGCTCTCCTCTAAGCACTTTGTATTCAGGTGTGCTCAGGTGACTGCCAGTAGTATAAAGCCTGGTCAGAGAGCAAAGACATGCTCACATGCTCCTAAATCACTTTCTGTTCCAACTGTTCAATGGTTAAGTTTTGAATAATGTAAAATTTACCAGCTATCTTATATCCATTCTTATTGCAGGTGAAAGTCACTAGTGAGCTGTTTGTGTATACATGAGGCTCTGGTTTCATGGATGTATACTCTGACATCACAGGTGTTGGACAGGTATCAGCTAAGAAAAGAGATGAACCATATCATAAGAATTGACATTAGCAAAGTGGCAAAAAGTAGTATAATATATACAAATACTTTGATCAATTTCAAAACCAGTAGGTTAATGGATGGACTAATATCATAACCATTAGGTAAATGAATGGCAACATCATAACCAGTAAGTAAATGGATGATAATATCATAACCAGTAGGTAAATGGATGGCAAACATCATAAACAGTAGATAAATGGATGACAATATCATAACCAGTAAGTAAAATTAATGGATGATAAATATCATAACCAGTAGGTAAATGGATGGCAAACATCATAACCAGTAGGTAAATGGATGACAATATCATAACCAGTAGGTAAATGGATGGCAAACATCATAACCAGTAAGTAAATGGATGACAATATCATAACCAGTAGGTAAATGGATGGCAAACATCATAACCAGTATGTAAATGGATGGCAAACATCATAACCAGTAGGTTAATGGATGATAATATCATAACCAGTAAGTAAAATTAATGCATGATAAATATCATAACCAGTAGGTAAATGGATGGCAAACATCATAACCAGCAGGTAAATGGATGACAATATCATAACCAGTAGGTTAATGGATGGCAAACATCATAACCAGTAGGTAAATGGATGGCAAACATCATAAACAGTAGGTAAATGGATGGCAAACATCATAACCAGTAGGTAAATGGATGACAAACATCATAAACAGTAGGTAAATGGATGGCAAACACCATAAACAGTATGTAAATGGATGGCAAACATCATAAACAGTAGGTTAATGGATGGCAAACATCATAACCAGTAGATACATGGATGACAATATCATAACCAGTAGGTAAATGGATGGCAAACATCATCAACAGTAGGTAAATGGATGACAAACATCATAACCAGTAGGTTAATGGATGACAAACATCATAACCAGTAGGTTAATGGATGGCAAACAGCATAACCAGTAGGTAAATGGATGGCAAACATAACCAGTAGGTAAATGGATGGCAAACATCATAACCAGTAGGTAAATGGATGACAAACATAACCAGTAGGTAAATGGATGACAAACATCATAAACAGTAGGTAAATGGATGACAAACATCATAAACAGTATGTAAATTGATGGCAAACATCATAAACAGTATGTAAATTGATGGCAAACATCATAACCAGTAGGTTAATGGATGGCAAACATCATAACCAGTAGGTTAATGGATGACAATATCATAACCAGTAGGTAAATGGATGGCAATCATCAAAAACAATAGGTAAATGGATGGCAAACATCATAAAAAATAGGTAAATGGATGGCAAACATCATAACCAGTAGGTTAATGGATGGCAAACATCATAACCAGTAGGTTAATGGATGGCAAACATTATAAACCAGTAGGTTAATGGATGGCAATATCATAACCAGTAGGTAAATTGATGGCAAACATCATAAACAGTAGGTAAATGGATGGCAAACATCATAACCAGTAGGTTAATGGATGGCAAACATCATAACCAGTAAATAAATGGATGGCAAACATCATAACCAGTAGGTTAATGGATGGCAAACATCATAACCAGTAGATAAATGGATGGCAAACATCATAACCAGTAGGTAAATGGATGGCAAACATCATAAACAGTAGGTAAATGGATGGCAAACATCATAACCAGTAGGTTAATGGATGGCAAACATCATAACAAGTAGGTAAATGGATGGATAAACAGGATAAATACTGCAATAACTCTCAGATAAATGTAATTGAAGTAACATAAAATCATTCACTAAAAACCTGTAAAGAAAACACAATCAAAGTATTCAAACTTCTACAAAATAGACAAACAGAACAATTATTATCTGTTACAAATTCTTCAATAATTCAAATGTCAATTTATATGCCATACTTTCAGAACAATGAACTACTCACCAACACACATAATTATGTCCGGGCTCCAAAGTCCTGATGCCAAACATGTTCTTACAACATTAAGATCCTGAGTGACCAGTCTGTATCCTGGTTTACATGTATAGACTGCTGCACTGTTATATGTAGTTGTTCTGAATGTCTCTATACCATTTGGTACTTCAGGGGGCATGCCACAGTCTACAGCTGTATAAAACAGAAATGGTATTCTTCAATGTTTATTTCACAATATTAAAATAGCCAAAGACTTTAAGAAATATTATACTAAAAGTTAGGGAAATAAAGATGTTCAAAGTTCAATTGCTTGTTGGAATCAGATGGATAACTGTCACTATACAACTGTAAGTTCCTGACACCATTTCTGACAAGACTGGTAACCTAGCCAGCTTATTTCTTTTACCTTGACAAGATGGCTGTTCTCCACTCCATATTGGAATTTCTTCCACCAGGTGGCAGTACCGATGTTGGTTTCCATCAAGATTGTAACCATGGTTACATGAAAATTTTACAAATGTACCAAGTTGCCTGTCAGATACATACTCCACCATTCCATTTTCTAATGCAGGTACTTCTTCACACTGGACCTCTGGAAAAAGAAAATAATATACAAATGTACAAACAGATAATAATATAATAAAGCCGAAAGGAAAAAAGAAATCTGCAGAAAGCAGGGGAGGGGGAATTAATGAAAGATAATTTACAATTGTATCATTTTATAGAAACCTTTTTTTGATACATTAATAGAAAATGCAGTTACTACTTTTCCAGTTAAGAGTAATAGTTGATTGGCATCACCGTCAATATTTTCAATAATTAAAATAAAATGAGGAATACATGTAATTTCCATTTTCCCTTTTCAACTAAAATGAAAACAATTCATTTTCAACAAAGGAACTGCCAAATAAGCACCAACTGTTAAACAGACTGTATTTGAGGAAATAAAATACATGTGTTTACCTTCACATATAGTTACATTGTAGTTCCAATTTCCATCTTCAAGACAATCTAAATATGTTGGACCATTAAGAAGAGTGTTACTAGGACATTTTATAAACACTGAGGTTGGGTACAGGTAACTACCATCGGGTATTGGTGTTGTATTGTAAAACAAAGTTGCATCTTTAACTTGCAAAGCAGGGCATAATACTGAAAATAAAATGTGTCTAGAAAAATCATCTATCTGCCTCAACAATGGGATTTGCAAATAATATAATAGTCCGAGTTGACTGCATAATTAAATAAGACATATTTCTTACTTGACTACATTTCAACTTTAATTGACCATAATTATACCGCAGCAATATTTTAAGGTAAGAAATCACATAATTTTTAGACTCATCAATTCCAAATCTTTATAATAATCAGTTCAAGACTGATTTCAACTTTACTAAAACACAGAGTGCAAGAATAGTTAACTAAAATTCTTTGCATGTAATGTACATGTGTAAATATGAATAAGGATACCACTGACCATAGCAAGATTTATTATGTTTTAGAACACGATCATCAACAACTGTAGTATTGTCAACATAACGACGGTAACCATCTTTACATATACATGTATAACTTCCTGCGGTGTTTTCACATTCATGCTCGCATCCACCATTATCTTCCAGACATTCATTTATATCTGTAATAATAAAATAGTACCAGTAAAGCCACTTTATTTTGAAGTTATATTGAGCACTATACACTGTCGCAGTTGACCTTTGTGACATGGCCAACTATATAGTAGATAATAAACTGAAGATTAAAATACCAAATTGTCTGCATAGAGCAGATGCTGCTGAAACAGACCTATCATTTTACACTAATATTCACATAAGTGATTGTGCCAACGAAATACCATGGTAACAATAAACCGAGGAAATGCCTAAGCTTTAGCCTTTCGGCTTTCAGAAAAGAAGTTTTTGAAGGTTTTACTATATACGTGTACATATGAGGAAAAACCCACAACCCCTTTGGCACCGCCAATTTTGACCCATTGATCATAATTTGATTTCTTTTTTTGGTAGAAATCCATTAGATGATGTTTCATGCCAGTTTCAGCCCTTGGAGTTTCAGTTTCAGAGAAAAGGATTTTATTTTTGTGCTCCCACTTTAGTGGCGGGCATTTAAATTTACCCTTGTCAGTCCATCCGTTCTCTTTTGTGTCGCACGTAACTCAAAAAGTATTTGACCGAGAGTCATGAAACTTTACAGGAATGTTGATCAGCATGTGTAGTTGTGCACCTGGGTTTTTTCGCCTGGATATTTTTAGTATTTTTAGAGTTATTGCCCTTGACTTAGTAAAATTTTGCAATTTTCAACTTGTGTCGCATGTAACTCAAAAAGTATTTGACCTAGAGTCATGAAACTTTACAGGAATGTTGATCAGCATGTGTAGTTGTGCACCTGGGTATTTTCGTCTAGATATCTTTAGCATTTTTAGAGTTATTGCCCTTGACTTAGTAAAATTTTGCAGTTTTCAACTTGTGTCGCATGTACATGTAACTCAAAAAGGATTTGACCTAGTCATGAAACTTTACAGGAATGTTGATCAGCATGTGTAGCTTTGCACCTGGGGTTTCGCTTGTGGATTTATCCAGTATTTGTAGAGTTATTTCCCTTGACTTAGTAAAAATCGTTTTATTATGTTGTTATTTGTTCCTTGAGTGCTTGAGTTAGAATCAACCACTTTTACAGGAATAATGATCAACATCACTAAATTACTGGAATAATGATTCACATCACTGTGAAGCTATGAACCTGGGACTTTGCATGTGGATTTTTTTCAGTTTTGTTAAGAGTTATTGCCCTTGAATTACAGTAGTATAAATTTGCAATTTTCAACTTGTTCATGCATAGCTCAAAAAGTATTTCACTTGTAGGCCTGAAAGATTACAAGAATGTTGGTCAGCATGTGTACGTATGCACCTTGGGGTTTGCTTGTGGATTTATTCAGAATTTGTAACGTTCTTGCCCTTTACTTAGTAAAAAATTTTAGTTTTCAAAAAATATTTGACCTAGAGTCATAAGATTGACAGAACAGTGGCGCGATGGGGGCACCTGTGTCCTATGGACACATATATAGTTTTATTAAAGTTTTTACTATATAAGAAAATCCCATGACCACCCTGGGTGGAGATATAACTTGCACAACTTTGGAAGAGGACCTCTAGCTATAAAATAAAACTTTGACTCACCTTCACATCCAAATTCTGATTCTTCTGTATGCTGGTATCCATCTGCACAAGTGCACCAGAATGATCCAACAGTGTTAACACATTCATGATCAGAACCACAAACCATCTCTATGGTAACACATTCATCAACATCTGCAAATAAAAAGGTTTTGATATTGTTCTAGGATACTATAGAAACAGGAAGAAAATCTTTGCCCACAGGCAAAATGTTGAGCCCACACTTCTTAATTCAAAACTGAAGCTTCAGATCAAGGGGAAACATGTATAGGTGAGATGTGCTCAACACATCCTCTTTATACCCAAGGCAAAATCTTCATATTGCATCATCTTAAGTGACCTTGACCTCTGACTCAGTGACCTGGTTCATGTGCATGACACAAAGTCTCATGATGAACATTTGTGCCTAAAAACTCATTCATGTTATTAGAAAATTCCTTCATGTACAAAGAAGTTATGGCATGGACAAGTTTGGACACACTCACACACACACAAACACTGAACAGCCATTTTGACAACCATGTCGAGCTCAGCAAAAGTCCTCTGACCACTAAGCATAAAACTTCAAAGCATAAACAAGATACAGTGCAGAGAAACAAATTTTGATATTATTAATCTATATTTGACCTTTTACCTCTTGTGACCTTGACCTTCATTTTGGGAAGACAACTCAACTCACCATGGAGAACATTTGGTCTAAGTTATATTAAAATCTATCCATGTATATAGAAGTTAAAAATAATACTCACAAATGAATGTTTTATTTTGTTATTTAGACTTTGACCACTAAGTGTGAGCTTGACCTTTGCCACAGCTTAATTTTTTCGCGCAACTCTCTGCCTCACTATGGAGAATATTTATCAAAAGTTATAATAATTTCACTCTATACATGTAGAAGTTATGTTCCAGACCCATTTTTTTCCGTTGACCACCGCGGCGGATCTGGGTTTTGTATGCGATAAACCACTCCTTTACAGTGAACATTTGAACCAAATTATTTTGTAATCCCTCAAAGAATGAGCAAGATATAGACCAGACAAATCTACACGGATGGACGCATATACACCTAAAAATACAAAGTCCAACTCACGCAGGCTTGACAAAAACTGAATGCTACATAAACATGTGCTTCTGCTATTTTTCAGATGCACCTGTTAAATATGTGCTACTGCCTGCACAAGGTTCAAATATTTGCATTATTAATCAGTTTTCTTTGTTTATTTTATTGAAAAAATAATTCAGGTAAATCTCTTTTTTACCTATACACTCTGGAACTGGGGTACTATATTCCCCAGTCTCTGTACAAGTTAAAGTACCACGAAGCTCTGTAGATAACCTAAACCCATCATTACATATCACTGTGACATTGTCTCCAACTTTGACAGGTTCTTGTCTGGTCACAAAACCATGGATGATCTTCAACTCTGGGCACATAGTCTCTGCAATTGTAGAAAACATACAAGATCAAGGTACTAAACACACATACTTTCAACTCTAAAAATTAAACTACAACTATTTTTTTGTGAGACAGAAACAAAAGACCTAAAAGGTAGACACTGAAAAAGAAATATTGTTGAGAAACAGAATTCACGCGAACAATGAAACATGTACTGTTAGGTTCCAATGTGTTTCTAAGAATACAGTGTCTTTCTTTTCTTTTATAGTCTTTTTTTAAAAAGTTTTTGGTAATTTTTTTATGTGTATGTTCACTATTTATTTACTTGATCTCTTTATCAGCATTCTGAGAATATTTAATAAAAATTTATATAACAGCCATACCATTACCGGGGACACATTTTGGAAGGTCATGTGACCACATGCCAACAGCAACACACTCTGCAAAGGTATAACCAACCAGTTGGTAGCCAGGATCACAGGTAAATCTAACCCTTTCATTCACACTGTTGTAGTATGGTGCATACGTCCTTCCATTTGAGAGAGGAAGTAACTTCGGACAGAGAATATCTAGAATATTAAAAAAAAGTCCTCTGTTGTTAATAATTATGTATAAAATATTCTATGTGATAAAAAAGGCACACAAATTATCACATCTTTACTTACTTTAATGTCTTAATAAAAAGAGAATAATGGAAGAGTTAAGATTGAATACTAATTTTATTGAACTATTTGAATAAAATCATATTATCCGAGCCTCTGGCAAGCGTAACATTGTTTTATTCAACAAGTTCAATAAATTTAGTACTGAATCTACACAAATTTAATAGTCTATTTTAGTTATCTTGATATGCAATCACTTTTAGCACATAAATAATATCACCAAAATTTAATGAAAAGTTAAATTACATTATTATATTTGTGATGCTATAGAGAAAATTTACTGACTGTGAAACGATATAGATCCAAGAGTTCAAGGAGCTTCTTGACTTTGTCTGTCAGGGTAGGTACATGGTTCTAGCATCTTTAACAATAAATAGTCTAGAAATGTGACCTTGTGTTAATAAATTAAATCAACAAAAATATATGACTAAATATCATTATACCTTCACAAACAGGTAAGTTAGACCAGCCATGATCTGTACAGGTGACTACACTACTTCCTGTCAGCTCATACCCAGGATTACATTTATACGATGCCACGCCCGAAAAATAACGACTGGTTATGTTCAGAAGTTCACCATTCTTCAATATCCCAGGAGGACCACAATAAATATCTGTAACAAGTTACAAAGAAATGAAGCAAAATACTTCAAATCCAAATATTTTAAACATATTTGCTTATTTTGATACTTTAAAATTAACTTTTTAACAAATTTTCTTATTTTGATAGATCAAAATGACTTTTCAAACAAAACTCATCTATTTTAAAAGTACCACTTACATTTACATGTTGGCCTGGGTGATCCCCAAAGCCCGCCAATATCACAGTATCTATGCCGGGAACCAACTACCTGGTACCCAGTATCACAGTCGTACAGCACAGAGGAGCCATATGCAGTATGTTTAGATGAAATGCTAAGTTTAGCAGGTAATTCACCATTGTCATGACAACCTAAAAAATAATAAATTTTTCAAAATGTATAAATCAGTAAGTAAATTAATATTTAATAAAACAAACTCAAATGGAATAGTCTTAGTGTTAATATACAAACTGAAATCAAGATAACTAAAAATTTCAAATAAGGTAATTTCAGGTGGCATATCTTTGAATAATTTGGTGTGTAAACTACAAGACTGTTTGTTATATTTAAGAAATAATATATCCCAAACAGTGATTTTATCGCTCAATAACATCACAGTTTGGAGTTTGGATGCGAGGAATTACTTATTGTCAGCGCGTCGGATTTTATAGTGGTTACGTCACATGTATAATGATTACGTCACATGTCTAAATATAGAACGTCAAACAGTGACTCTATTGCATAATAACACACACTTTCGGTTCTTCTATGTTCAATAGGTAAAAATGCGGGTTGTGTTAGAATTCACCATATAATCAATTTAGTGCCTCCAATGCCAATGTTAATTTACTTGCTCCAATGTTTAATCAAGTACAAGAATAGAAAATTCTCACCGTATGAAAAAGAAACTGTCCATCCGAGTCCTGATAAACTAGTGTCACTTGTAAACTTGATCACAAACTGACCACTAGCTGTAGAGACTGACCACGGCTCCAAATAACCACTTGCGTTCTTGAGCAATGTTTTACCAGATATTTCTGCACCTTCATAAACCTATAAAATATCTCAAATAATGTATATAATTTGTGTATTTATATTACATAACAAAATTTATTTGACTCCTTACCATGCTAAGTATCTTAAATGGACTTTCATATCAATAAATCCTATGACTTTACAGCTCTCACAAAATCATATAATTTACATTTAGCATAATTTAACAACCCATCTACAACCTTTTACAATAAAGTTCATCAAAATCTACAGAGTCTATGAAATAAAGTCTATAAGTATGTGTGGACTTTTGTTTAGACGAGTCTTATTCTGACAATTAAATTGAATTTCATTGCCTTTTTATTTTGTAAAATGAAAAGCTATACCTGAACTAAATCATAATTTTGTTCTGTATCAAACTTTTTAAACAACAGAGTTGTCTCCTGGGAACCAGACTCTAGCTTAGAGATGGTACATTGTAGCTTTGGTGGATACTGGTGCTCGGCTGTGAATCCAGGGGAACTAATCCATCCAAAACTTGCTTGAACTTTAATATCACAACCTGGCAGATGAGAAAATAGTATATAAATTTTGAGAACAGCATAATGGTGGAGTAAAAGATAATCATAAAGGGTCAAAACAATGGAATAACGAAAGCCATAGATATCCATCTTACAGAAAACAGAATGAGTGAATGATTCACAGGACAGTCTACACAACATACACAGCACATCTCATATTTGTATGGTCAAATTTATCTTCTACAGAAATTTTGTTTTGGAATTTACCTTAATTTTTGTAAAAATTATTTAAAAAATTGAAGTTAACAAAATTACTAGATAGGATAGAGATATGGCATCAAAGTTAAATTATGTCATGCTTGTAATGTATAGGATTTAAATGTTCCAAATGTTGCTTCAAATTCTCAAAAAAATCCATGAACTCCAATTAAATGAGCAAGTACATTTGGACTAAAATAAAATCCAAATTTAATGTAACTGTCCACCGATATATGACTTAAAACGCAAAACAGGGTGGCTATTAAAAAAGTCAATCAATAAAACAAGCTACAAGACTCTAATTACACTTTGATACATTAACATTTTACCTTTTTGATATGTTAAATTGAAACCCCTCCCTGTGTCCTTGAGATCAGTATTGAGCTGAATGAATGAATACTCTCCAGAAGTGAAGAGCACTTCTAGTACATTATCACCTCCTCCAATGAAGAATGCCATCAAATTAGCATCCTCATTTCTCCCATCATAAATCTTCAATGTATCTCCATTTCTTAAGTCTAAGTCAATTAACTGAAAGTATATGAAGCCAGACTATGTATTCATTCACATGAAATATCACCATTTAAACTGGGTAATTAATTACCTATGCAAAAAAAAATAGTGACAGGCCAGCCTGTTATCTGACCCGGCACTACTGTAGGCTGCTTAATTTCAATTATATTTAAATCCCTTTAATTAATTATGGGCAGTTCCAAATTCAAAATGGGACCAAAAAAGATTTAACTCAATGAGCAAAAAAGGTTAACTAGATAGGATTTATTGACAATGAAGTGTAAGTTCTTATTTACTTCAATCATTTAAGAGACTCAAATGAAGGTACATGTATATGTCATACAGAACATGAAAAACTTTTTTTTTCTTCAAGATTGGTGTACCATTTGATGTAGATTTCTACCAATGACTTAAGTGCAAAATTTCTGATTTTGACATACTTGTTAGCAAAATCAGTTATTGCATGCATGACCCAAAAATGAAAAAATATTAACATGACATTTATTCAAATCAGGATGAGAGTCAGACAATTTTTTTTAATGTTTTAGGCTAATTGGCCTTAGTGGAGCCCCTTTAATTATACATGATATGTCATTTCAGTTAAGTATGTATTCTTTGGAGGTTCAAACTTAAAGCAAAAGTTTTTCTAAGAAAATATAACAATTTATAAGTGTTCTTTAAATTCCACTTATAGATATGTGTAAATGACGTCATTTGCCATTGAAACACACCAAAAAACTTGCAAAATAAATAGACGAAAACCTCTATCAAGGGAGTAAACTCTTTCACATTTAAAATTAAATTTTAAATGATTAATTATCTTTCTTAGTTTATCATAAAATGAAATAAATTTATCAATGTTGAATATATTTTTTACCTGTAGACCAATGATGTCCCCCTCTGCCCAGATTGTCCATGAAGCGTGAATATTACCCATAGCAGTATCCGGATAGCCAGGGGAGGTAATAAATTTTGGTGTTTCCTTGGCAACCAGATTGTCCGTATATCCAGCATCCACTGAAAACAGTATTGTATACATTAATACATGTGCAAAGAATTAATTCAGTAAAATGTGCTGGCTGGCCAACACCACATTAAAAGACAGATAAATCTATTAAGCCAAGTGATCTTTTTTAAACACTGAAAATTTCACTCTGTAAAATGGACTTAAGGTTCATTCACTAAAGACCATATTTCCCGGAATGGCTACACAAAATTTTTTATGGCTTGGTTATCAGTGACACTAAAATCGTTAAAACTTTGTCAATTTTTCAGCTCTTCTTGGAGGAAGAACCTCAGGTGCCCCTCTGTGCATTATTTCAAGTAGGAGTCACACCTGAGTAAAACTACCCACCTTCCATAAGCTAGCTGGTTAGCTACCATTCAAGAAAAGAAACATTACAGGCCCTGAAGAGATTCAAACTAGCAGCAGTGAGGGGCCAGTAATTTATAGACAGTGAACTAAACAATTCAGCCACTGAAGCCCCTTAACATCAGTCTTTTAAATAGACTGATTGCACATACAAATCAAAGGGCTACAAGCTCTGTGGTATTTTCTGATATTTGAAATCTAAATCGTACTGTATATCTGTATGTATTTTCCTGTATAAGTTTATTTTTATATATTAAACTATAATTCATCTTGCAGGGCACCAAGATGCAGCGACTGGGTTTAGATTTTTTACTACAACAGTTTGAGTTTTCTGCGATCACAAAATATACTGTAAACTGTTGTCAGGTGACTTTTGACAAAAAAAATTTATTTATCCTCAGCATTTATTTTAGCATTTCAAATATAGGGGAGATAATCCTTGAGAGCTTGTTGAAACAAAGTTAGGTTTTTTGTAAGAAATAAATTTGATAAAACAATTCTCATGATAAAATGGGTTTTTGTCTTTTTGTTGCTTTTTGTTGTAAATAAATTAATTTTTCAAAAAATAAGATACTGAAGACTGTTCAATGCTTCGCTTCAATAGTTTGATTTTAATATTTCATTTTTGATACTATAATTCCTACAATGGTCAGTTCTAAATTTTAAGCAGGATCAAGTCCATTACACAAATTCAGCATGGTATAAGTTAAAACGAAATCAACAAAACAAGTGAGGGCCTGCTGTTGAATCAATTAGAAAAATTGTTTTTATAAATAATTATGCAAACTTTAGGTAAGTGTATGTATATGTATGTATGGGTGTGAAGGACAAGTTGTCACTCTGTCTGTCAGGCAGAATGTCAGCTCACACATTTATTAAATCACAACATTTATAATATTGACCTTTAAACATTGCCTGTAAAGTTTACATTTAAATTCAATATCTTTCCAAACATATGCATAATATTATATGTAATAAGACCTATGCTTTAGAGCAATTATTAATCTTCATATTAAAGATTTCAATATCAAATTTTGCTCAATGTCTGCACACACCCTACAGTCTTCAGGGATCTGGGGGGTAGGCCTAAAACTCAGACAATTTGTTTTGCTGTTAAAGTACAGTATACAAGGAATCAATTTAAACATATTCAGTATCTTTCAGTATTACAGCTGATATGCAGCTTTCATGTTAGGTGTTTTTTTGCTGATATATTTATCTTAAGTTGTAAACAGAATGATTTTCCCACATAGGCATGGAACAGCTCTCTTCAACTATCACTGCACACAGTTTGCCAGCTTTATTTCTGTCACAATCATGTCCAAAATATATTTTAGTGCCTTGCGAAAAAGTTCTTACATAAATTTATCCTGCTTTAATTAAACAGAAAAGATGAATGTTCAGAATTATACATGTAGGGATAGCAAGGATACTGTTCTCAATATTTCAGTTAACACATAAGATGCCAAAACTGAAAGTGATTCAAATCCTTGCCCCCAGTAGAGAGCCTTGTCAAACCTCACATATGTTAGTGGCTCTTTTTTGTATTTTGATACTGAAATTACAGAAATTCCATTAAGATTTGAATGGAATATTCCAAATTCAAAGCGGGGAAAATCCATTACACAAAGTTATGGTAAGAATTGTGAACCAAAGATTTTTTTCAAGTATAAGAATATGCTATCTTTACTATAATTGAAATACAGAATCTAAGATTTTCCATATCAGGCTGTCGGGGGGAAAAAACAACAAAAATTTATGTCAACACAGATGACTGAAAAAAAAATTTGAGTAATTTTGTTACAAAAATCAAGACATTAGGTGCAACTCAAATGATAATCACAAAAAACCTGATACATAATCAAGTAAACAACCATGTGTTTGCACTTATATTTCTATTTCTAACAACTACTTCATTACTTGATGAATGCAATGAAATAGAATGACAAAAACTACCAGAGCCTCATGACAGGAAAAATATTTAATATTCTCATAATTTTATGTAAAACATATGTAGCAAAATAATTTATGATCAGTTTCTATTCACAAGAATCAACCATTACACATGATTTCATTGCTTTTTATTTAAACTTATCATAAACAAGATTAAAATTCATATGACTGTCCTGTAAATTTGTCAGAAAAGTAAAGTCAAAGTAAAAAACTTAGACATCCCAGCAGTATATTTTAAAAGAACAATTAAGAGAAACACTGAAACAAATAATAAAATGAACACATGGAGCTTATTTGAAAAACAAAACAGGAAAACTTTTCAAAGAACACTTAAAAGCCTCACAGTATAATGTCACTATTAACTATTAACAGTCTCTGAATAACCTTTAAGCCCCCCCCCCCCCCCCCCAAAAAAAAAAAAAAATCTAGAGGGTTTACAAAAAAATCTGGACAGAAAACAAATAGTTTTGACCAAGAAAGAAAACACACAAAAACAATACTTAATCTCATACAAAAATAATTTGGACCAAAAAAATCATTCTGTAAAGCAACCAAACCATTTCCCAACATTTTTTTATTAAAACACCCATGTTTGTAACTAATGCCATTACAAATTACCTTTCATCATTTGGACCTAGCTTGACCTTAAATAAATTAAGATAAAAAGTTCAACAAACATTGCAATGGTCTTACCTGGAGACTGGGTGTGTGATTAAAACATGTTTAACTAATGAAGTAATTATAATATGCTTACTTGTTAATTAATCTTTGCCACAGTAATGGCAAATCAACAGTCACGGAAGTTATGGTAAGGTCATGCAGTTGCACACAATAATGTAACCACCTTTTAACATATTCTCTATATGAGCCACGTCATGACAAAACCAACATAGTAGTGTGTTTGCGACCAGCATGGATCCAGACCAGCCTGCGCATCCCTGCAGTCTGATCAGGATCCATGCTGTTCGCTATCAGTTTCTCTATTTGTAATAGAGTTTATAAGTGAACAGCATGGATCCTAATCAGACTGCTTGGATGCGCAGGCTGGTCTGGATCCATGCTGGTCGCAAACCCATTATGTTGGTTTTGTCGTGACGCGGCTTATATAAGCCCTTTGACACTGAGTATGTTTTTTTTTATAACTGGACATGTTACATTCACTTCCTTATGATGAAAGCAAGTCAAGTATCTTCCTAAATTATTTTTTTTCTCAAGGATTCAGATGGAAACTTGTTTACTTAATACGCCCTTTGATGTTGAGATATTTTTTTTTAATAATGGGCATAAATCACTTATTTCCTCATCATTGATGAAGGCAACTTAAGTAGGTCCCCTATATATATATTGGATGACATTCATATTTTTAATCTATATATTTTCTTGGAAGAATTAAACTAAACTACTTTTTATGCAAAATTTGATATTGTTTTTTTCTTCTTTTTTTTTCTCCAGATGTTAGACAATTGTGATTAATAGATCACTGTATGTTTACAAGTATTTAAGTTATTTCTTACGCAGCTTTCTGAAGGCATACATTTTCAAAAAGGCATATATTATCGAAAACACCCGCTACAAAATATATTTTAGTGCATATGTCTTGTTAGCTGGAACTCTTTGAATGTTAGCATTGACAAAGATTTGCTTAAAGTCAGGCTACCCTGCTATAATATGACTAGAAACACTTGATATAATGGCTGCTTGATTTTGATAATTTGATAATAATACAAACAACTGACAGTTCCAAAGTCAATGCAAGACAAAGGATAAGTACATTACAAGGTAAAGGTTTATATTTTGATATAAATTGTCACCTAAGTGCAAAAAACTCCTATTAAATTTAGAAGGACTTAACCCATTACTGCACTAAAGTGACAATAATATGTACTAAAATATGATTCATAATTAACCCTTCGTAATTCAACCCTTAACATGCTGGAACTGTAAGTAATCAGCCTTTGCCACTAGAATATAGACAGGCCAGCCTACACTTCACTGCAGTGTGACCAGGTTCTATACTATTAGCTAACATTAAATTTTCATCTTGAAATCCCCAAAATTGATAATGGACAGGTCCAAAAACAGCAAAAAAGAATGCTGGACAAGTTCATCTAAGAAATTCAGTAGGTTATGTTTGTATTGACATACTTATCACTTTCTAATGCTGATATACCTTGCTGTATTACAATCACACTGTATGAGAGATAGCTACAAATATTTCTGGCATCATAAGAACACTTTAGAATATTTGTTAAATAAAAGTCATCTGGCATTAACATCTTACAACAACCTACACTAGTCTACATTGATTAACATTTTACAGGTTTTAAACAGGTAACATATCACAATAGACAGTAACTTCACACTACCCTAATAATAAATGACATATTTTTTCTTCTAAATATTTTCATTAGTTATCAATCTTGACAGCAGGTAAACAAAGAAGTAAATTTAGCAGTTTGTCTTATTTTATTTCCACTTTCACTCAATTTATCAAAAAATGTTTCACTGTTTTGACCTTTAACACCTTAACAGTGCTGAAAGGACTTGTTCAGCTTCCATTAAGAAACAATCCATGATTAATGTTGGGGATGTCAAGATAAGAATTTAGTCAGCCTGGTTAAACATTATGGAAATACAAGCTGGCCTGGCCCTATACTAGTGCCAAAGGTCAATCACTTTCCGATCCAGCACGATAGGCTTTAAACAAATTGGCAACACTCAACCAAGCTCTTTTTTCAAAGCACTTACATCAATTCATATTTTTGCAAAAAATATGTGCAAAATAACTTCCAAAACCTTTTATTTTTCTTTAAAAAAGAAAAAGGAAAACATATTTAACAATGACACAAACATGACAATCAGTTCAATGTCAATTTTCTTGTGAACTCCACCTATTGCTACTGACATAGTGGGTACCCTGTGTGACCCAGGCTTTGTTAATAGTTCAATCTTCTACCTGCTTATTTGTTTGGTTTTAAATTTGAAACAGTCCATTCAAAGTTTAATGAGTACAAAATATGAGCTACCAACAGTAAAGAGCCTTTGGAGTGCAGACTAGCTATACTGGTGACAATTTCTAGACTAATCATTTTCAGTTTTAACAACCATTTCAGCAATCGGAATGTCCAAAAAGTTGCGAAAAAGTTTCACAAAACCGTAAGGGCGTTGCACTTTGACGCTGTCGTCAATGAAGAGCAAGGAACAGACAATGAACAGAGCATGCAGGATAACTAGGATGTTTAAATCTCATTTCTCACTAGTATCTTGTACTGGAACAATCAGAGAACAAGGAAAATGTGGTAAATTAATAGATCCGTGCAGATTGCATCTGCGGTTTGTGTCTAAACTTTTGCATCTTATCTCTACCACTCAGATGACCCTACTTGACAAATGCTTTCAACTCAATTATATCAAAAACCACTTCTGACTTTTACTACTTGAACAAATTCTTCTGCGTTCCTTTTTTCCTTGTATAAATCTGAATGGCAAGGCTCATTTCCATTTATAAGCGTTGTAAAAACCCACAAAACAACCACTGAGCTGTAAGGGATTCCACTGAAGTGCTTTGATAGGAAAGGACTTAATATTTCCTATATTTGTATACCATTTGACCAATAACGTATTTGTATTCCGCAAAATTACCAAATAATGACAAAAGCAGCATTACAACATATGTATTTTAAATAAAGCTGAGGACCCCACAAAGACTTTTCAATTTAGTTCTGAGTATATTTCTTTATCATCTTTTAAGAACACCAGGACTGGTGATCTATGTAAAAATTTCAAACTTTATGGATTTAGGCTTTTGAACCAAAGTGGAGGTCTTCTAATTATATGTATTTCTGAGATGATTATCATAATTATACAATACATGACTGATAATTTAAATTTCTTAAAATTGTGCAGTGAATTTCCCCAATGAAACCTAAACAGACAATTCAAAGAGGCTGATCTCTATAAAACTTGGAACATGTACTCTAACAGAATTACAGCAAGACACACCCATTTAATAACTAAACTTTCATCATGTTTCAGTCACTTTAATAAAATCATCTTATAAACATAAATCTGGGTTAATTCCCTACATCTTTCGATTTCGTGATATATATAATGGAACATTATTGTATATTGCAAGGATAATCTGCAGTCATGATTATCCAATAACATAACCCTAAAACAAGACTTAAAACCTCTTCAAGTTCCATCATACTTATTTTATTTTTTAAAACATATGGTAGGAATCAGTGCCATCAAATAAAGAATTTATTCTCAGCATAATTTCCTGTCAAACCCAGCATCTTACAAGTGCTTGTGCATTAATTTCTGAGTGCAGTGAGCAATAAATTATACTTCACAAATTACGACAGAAGTCGTGAATTACATCAGACCACACCCTATCCATGTAAATGCTGCAGCACAGAACAGGATGGGTGAAAAATAATACTCATGAATGTTTTATTGCTTAATTATTAAACAAGAAAGGCAAAATATAAATTCTAAGAGCTACTTAGCCTATTATTTATATTCCTAATTGGTTGCCTATATTTGAGTCTAAAGGTTATTGACAGATTCTTTAGGCCTAGATTTAATTCTATATGTTATTGAGTAAATGCCTAGATATGAGTATCTATGTTATTGACTAAATGCCTAGATTTAAGTCTTTAGACCTAGATTAAGGTCTATATGTTATTGTGTTATTGACTAAATGCCTAGATTTAAGTCTTTAGACCTAGATTAAGGTTTATATGTTATTGACTAGAGGCCTAGGTTTTAGTCTATCTGTTATAGACTAAATGCCTAGATTTAAGTCTTAAGGCCTAGATTTAAGTCTATATGGTATTGACTGCATGCCAAGATTAAAGTCTTTAGGTCTAGATTTAAGTCTTTATGTTATTGACTAAGTGCCTAGATTTGAGGCTATAGGTTCTTGATTGAATCCATAATATAACCCTTCCCCAAGTAAAAAATAAATTCAGAACGGTAAGGGGGTTTCAGTGTAAAAAAATATTTATACAAATAATAGACAACAGACTGCATCCATGTTCAAATCTGGCCTAGCACGATATTAATGGCATAGGTATGTTTTATATCATTGCAAGCACTGAAATAGTTAATTGCTCCAAGATTTCCAACATCACATTAATATGATTATGGGATTCCTGATACACTTCCAATGCAATAAAAATTTCTTCATTTGCTGATATAGAATCTTCATAACTAAATGAATAATAAAAGCAGAAATTTCATCAACTTGAAAATTTATCAATGAAAATATATTAAATGCAACCTTTATTTGCAGTTTTGGAAAAGATTTAAAGAGCTGAGCGGCATGCTTTTTCAACAAGATCAAAATACCTGGTTCCCATTTTGCCTTGAACCCAGTTTTCTCTACACTGCGATCTGAGAAGAAGGTGACAAGCAGGAAGTTAGTGGTAGATGTGATAGGAGCTGGTATGGTAGAGCCAGTGTATACAGCAAGGATCTTGTCTTCTAATGTAGGACCATCTCTCACCATCAATGTGTCATAGTCATCTTCAAGGTCAAATAAGGTGAACTGAAAAGACAAAATGATAATTTCAAGACTATTTCAGTATACCCAGATTCAGCTATTTTAGAATATTTTAAATCATGATGATCGGGGTCATATACATCAAACTGAAAGAAATAGGTGGCTATATGTCAATGATAAAGGATATATAGCTATACCTTATGGAATATTTTTATAAAATTTATCAACTGGTTCCATGTACATATTATTCAGCTTTCAGTAGGGCTTTATCTGTTCAGCATGCAGAATTTGCTTTTAATGCAATCTATTTCCATTTATATTACATTAAAGCATTTTGGAAGTTTTGTTGTCTTTTAAAATTCAAACAACAATTTTTGCAGCAGATATATAGCTTTATACACTTTAAATTTATACTACTGATAAAAAAAATATTGATTTTGATATATAACTTTATTTATTTCTGCCTGCCTGTACCACAGTTGTGCACCACAAAAAAAATGTGCTTTGAAAACCCTAGAAATCTTAAAGCTATCATGAAATCAGTAATCACACAGAATGGGTATTTGCCTAACACAGAATGGGTATTTGCCTAACAGAAACAAGTACCACAAAAGGTTAAATGTAGTAATATCAATTTTTGTGTCACCTCTACGGAGTAGTGGCGACATATAGGGATCACTTCTCCGTCGTCTGTCTGTCCGTCTGACTGTCCGTCTGTCCGTCACAAAACTTGTCCGGACTACTCCTCATAAACTACTGATGCAATTTCATCCAAACTTTACAGGAATGATCAGTACCAAGTCTAGTTGTGCATATTGTCAGCATTTTCCGGTTCAATGATTTTTGGCAGAGTTATGGCCCTTAAATAATTTTTAATTTTAAAGTTTGTCCGGACTACTTCTCTTATACCACTAAAGCAATTTCAATGAAACTTTACAGGATTGATCTGTAGCTCAAGTCCTTGCGCATATTGCAAGGGTTTTCCGGTTGAATGATTTTTGGCCGAGTTATGGCCCTTTGAAAAAAAAAGTGTTTTTTTCTGTGTGTTGCCAGATACACAAAAGCTTGTCCGGACTACTCCTCATAAACTACTGGTGCAATTTTATCCAAACTATACAGGAATGATCAGTACCAAGTCTAGTTGTGCATATTATCAGCATTTTCCGGTTCAATGATTTTTGTCAGAGTTATTGCCCTTTAATAATTTTTATTTTTAAAGTTTGTCCGGACTACTTCTCTTATACCACTAAAGCAATTTCAATGAAACTTTACAGGATTGATCTGTAGCTCAAGTCCTTGCCAATATTGCACGGGTTTTTCGGTTGAATGATTTTTGCCGAGTTATGGCCCTTTGATAAAAATGTGTTTTTTCTGTGTGTTGCCAGATACGCAAAAGCTTGTCCGGACTACTCCTTATAAACTACTGGTACAATTTTATCCAAACTTTACAGGAATGATCAGTACCAAGTCTAGTTATGCACTGTCCATCTGTCTGTCCGTCTGTCACAAACTTTGTCCCAACATGAAATTGGCCATCATGAGGCGACACATGTGATTACTGATCGCTCTTGTTTAATAATTGAGACACGCCTTATCTCACTTTAATTTCTATATATTTCTATGTACTTTATTTCATGATGTCATATGTAATATAAATGTTTATTGGAACAGGTTCATTGAATTTTGCAACACCCATTTTATTTATCTTTTAACTTTTACTACTGAAATCAGAACATGAATAAATTTACACATAATTATTATGTTAACAATTATGACAGTGTGCAGCAACTTAAATGTTGAAGTAATTTAACCTGCAAACACTTAAAACTGTAATGAAATTGAAATGCGACAATATTTTATGACATAAAATTCAACAAATTTTGAAATATAACACTTAACACGGATATTGTAAAGTAACTTTTAATTTGTTGCAGATACATTTTCCAAACTATCGGAAAACTAGCTTACCGATTCAACCAAAATTTTGCACTCGTATTCACTCTAATAAAATATGTTTTTAATATGTTTTTAATTGCCTAATTTTAGAAATTTCAAAATTAATCAATTAATTGGAAAGCTGAGTTTCAAAAACATGATTTTAAGCACAGTTGTGAAACAAATACTTGCTTTTTACATAATTATATAGATACATATGTTTTGATTATATCCTGAAATCTATGTATTGATTCTATAAGAAAATATAATCACATTAATTAAAGAGGCTGCATACCCAATAATGCAGCTAATTCAGCTTGCAACTGATTGTCTATTTTATAAAGTTATAAAAAACAAGTGTCATGGTTCAGAACTATTCACTATTTAGGGGAGAAGATGTGTAAGCGGCCAGATAGCTCAGTCGGTAGAGCCGCAGTACAGTATTCCGACAGTCCCAAGTTCACTCTGTTAAATTTGGCACCCAACGGGGACCATGACTGCATATAGCTGTGTTTAATTCACATTGCTCTGTAAACCTGAGAAATTAAAGGACGAATTTCAATATAGCGGGGAAGTATGTCACGGTACAGAACTGCTCACTAATAAGGGGAGATAGTGTGTAAGCGGCCATCAGTTGGTAGAGCCACAGTACGGTATTCCGATGGTCCCAGGTTCGAGTCCCAGTCAGGCTGCACATTTTCTCACCCTGTGACACAAGAATATGGATAACAGCAATGATGCTCCCCAATGTCTTTTATACAAAGCCTTAGGTGGTGGTTTTTGTTGTTTACCCTATGGATCACAGCTGTTAGCTACTCAAGCAGTTTACTAGTACTAGTGCCTTCACTTTCACAAGGAACTGAAAACTTCTGTACATGCTCAAGCAATTTACATACATGTGAACTTTTGATGATCAAGCCGGAGGTTTTTCTTCAAAAAAGAGAGATTTAAGAATTTGCAATAAAAAAATAAGAAAATTCTGACATAAAAAAGAGGGAGATTTCTTTAATTTGTGAAAATATCCTTTATCTTAAGAAAATTCTTTGAAAATATGGTTGCAGAAAGTGGCAGTCTCCCACTAAAAGAGGAAGAGTTCACATGTATGAATTTAGGTACAGTGGGAATGACCATAGAAAGTATTCATGGTCAGTGGTCAGTCACAATGAAAGTGCCCTGGACCGTTTAGAAATCAAACCCAGACAACTATATATTTTGCAGTTCTTAGGTATCATCATACTTCAAATTATAAATAAATGTACTATAACAACAGGTCAACAAGCATGACAGACAGACTAAAGGACCACAGGGAGGACAAAGCAGCAAATATATGCTACCTGCAGAAAAATTTCAAGAAGCAATAATAACAAAAAGAATTTAGATTATGTAAGCACCAGAAACTGTGTACATTGTGCCATTATGATTAACTTCCATAAAGGTGAAAACACTTGATGCATTTTGAAATGTTACTTGTTTTCTTCAGTTAAAGATATAACTTAGAAATTTGCATAAAAATGACTGTATTATTTGCATAAAATTAAAATATAAAACACAGGGTTTACTGTATTATGGATATAGATATTAAGTAACAGAAACTAATAATTTGAACATCAACTACTTTAATATCGTGTTATCTAAAAAGTGAAAAGAAAAAATCTTTTTTTAATGTCGCTTTGATGTTACTAGGGCTTTCATCTTTATCATCTTAAACATGTTACTTAAACCATAATTTGCATCATTTTTTGCCTACATATGAGAAAAAAAACATCAGCTTAATTGTGAACCAATCAAAGTACCAGTCTAACCCATTCACTGATGAATTTCTGGAATGATATGCCCTGTTTTGATTGTGGAATGGTCCATTATAAGTTTTAGGGATATCACAATGAAATGTTCGCAAAAATAAACCTAAAACTTTTAATGTTGCTAACTTGAACAATGGACAGCATACAGCTAGACTCACTGGATCTATACTAGTTGACACTAATAAAATGTTGTAAATCTGTCCTGGTGTTAACGCATATTATTCTTTTATCTTGAACTTATATTGGTTGGTTCTATACTAGTGCAAAGGCTTTCCAGTATCAGTATTGTTAGCTATTATATTATAAAGAACTAGAACACCAAGTAGGTAAGTTATACAGGTAAAAAAACAACAACAAATAATCTAACATCAGGTATCAAATATTCAAAAACCTCTGTATCACACTCACTTGTAGAACAACTGGAACAATCTTAGATGATTAATTGAAATAACGGGTGCAATACATCAGCTGTTGAATTATGTTTTATCTGTTTTCTCTATTGCATTTCAGTTTATCTGTTGAAATGATAGTAAATTTTACTATTATGATTGTACTCAGCTTCAAGGAATAGTTTTAAGCAACTCTAAATATGCATAATTCTGATGATAATAGTGAAGTAGTGTTGCTTTCAATTTTGAAACGGTCCATAGTTAAAATAATCAAAATTTATGAATTAAACAGTCAACAGTATCCTGGCCGACTGCAAGCATGGGTAGGATAGTCATTTTCTATTTTTGTGCTATATAGGCTACAAAATTCAAAAAGTTGCAGACCAATTATGATTTCCAACTGATACACTGGCATTGAATATCATTTAAAGGAAATGATATCCATTGATGTGGCATTCTCATTATGTTATCAAAGGAATGATAATGGGTGGTGAAGAAAAAACAACAACATGATATGCATTGCAGTTAAGAACCAAGGAGTGGTTTAACACAGAATTAAACGATAAATCAAGCACACCACCCTCAGAGTTTTTCTTGTCTTTTTTAATCAAGCAACCTCTGCAAAGTGTTAATTTTATAATTTTAACATTTTTTTTTTAAACAGAACAGTACTTGACAAAATTGTTAATAAGTTTTGATTATAAAAATACAGAAGTCACCCTTTATTACTTTGATAAAAAATACTACTAAAGATTTTACATGTCCAAAAATTAAAAGAAAAATTCCATACAAAAAATAATGATAAATTTGTGTTTAATCGTGTTTAAACCATTTGGAATCACATATAGTCATATGTTTACTGTACCGGTATATTTCTGTGGCAGTATATTAAATCAATTCTGAGAAACCACATATTTCT